AAAAAGTGGTTTATTGAATTCGCATGAGTTTTCTGCATCTGTGATAGAAGTTATACATATTTTTTAGCTATTCTAACCTTAATCCTTTTCTGCAGGATTAAGGTCTGCAAAGTCGCCAAGAAATCTAAGATTAAGGTCGATTTTGACCTTAATCCTGTCAGGGATTGAGGATAGGATGACTCTAAATAAGAATTGCATGCCCCCGTATCCATCGTATACCCATAAGAACAAGTTCAGATCCTCAGTAACTTGCAATAGTGCGATTGGCTTGGGCTTATCAATAGTAGAGACGACTTCTGACTAGACGAGCTCCTGCTGAATATAGATATTCAGCACCTTATTGTTACTCTAATCGTATTCGTGGTTAATATGTAGCCTGATAGCACACTTGAGACTTGCGAGTCAATTTCGTATCCTGGTGTTGGTAACGTGATTCTACAACAATCTTGTTCTATAACATTGCTTGCACTAATTCTATGCAACGATCTACATCGCGATAGCTAGGATTGCTATGCTAGATATCAAGCAGCGGCGACAGTGCTACATCTGGTAACGATGCCACCAAAGAAAATGCCGCCACCATCGTTGGGCGAAAACTCAGTAGTGCTGCGTCCACCAACAGTTAGCTCCGTGACGGTTTCAGTGCCGCTGCAATCTCCAGTATCGTGGAACCTCGCAAACCGTATAGCACCCTGAGCAGGGATACACTCAGCATCTGTAAGTGGCTGATTCTCGGAAACGGGGGTATTAGGCCGGACGATACAGGCCCCCCAAGTGACAAGGGCGCTCTGGTCTGTGACTTCCGAGACGGAGCATCCTCCAGAAACACACACAGTATCTTCAACTTCATTGCCAATCGGGAGGGAAACGCCCTCCACAGAGCAAGCAAGCTGGTCTTCGTCGAAATTGACACGGACTGCGGCCTCGAATTGCCCGGATCCCTCTCCTCCAAGGTCAGAAGGAAGACCAAATACAGATTCCATTCTAAGAGAAGATAGACCATCAGTCAACGTATAACATTACTCGGGTGTACTCCCTACCTGCAATCTTCCCTGCTTTGCTGATCTCCTCCCGCGATAAAAAATTTCACAAGTTTGGCGATGGGATTGCCACCAAGGGGGCATGTTGGGCATGTTTGACGTTTTTCAAAGAGGGAAGGATGAAGGCTCGAGCCATATCCTCCAGCGATAAGGGAACTTGTAGTAAGCAGAAGAGCGAACGTGCGGAATGCCATAATGAAGTGATAAGAAGGCAAACTCGTAAAGAGTTAGAGGCTTGCAGAAGCTCAATCTTCAAATGTACCGTTGTAGAATAAGTGTGTTGCTTATAGAAGTGGTGCCTAGATAATTTGAAAGGGATATCAAGATGTCCAGGTATATATATACCTATCGCAACCTACCAGACCATGTAATCACTTATCACAAGTACCTACTTTTTTTAGAGCATTGTATCAGCCTCTTGGCTGACACGTTTGACAGCCGTTGATGGCATAATTCGCCAGCGATACAATGCATTCAATGCAGTATTGCCAAGCTCAGCGTCCTAGAGAATGCTGCTGAAAGAGAAGGCGGGCCGCTTGATAGTAGAGACAAAGCTACACTGGAGGTCCACATGAGACACTAGCGTCGCAGCTGTTACCATTACCATAAAAGGCCAGGAACAATGGCCTGTCGGTCATTTACTGCAATTTTGTTCGTTTGCCAGCAACGTGAGCATAGTCACTGACCTGGAGCGCCAAGCTGGATGGGACGAGAGGGGCTATTGCCGATGAAACACGGGGAAATGCGGGGAGTTATTATTAAAGCCTAGGAGTTACAGCGCGCCCCTGCCAACTGATTATAAATAGATGTAAGCTAGGTCGGTCGCGACCTGCCAATGTGTGCTATTGAATTGCACAGCAGTTCGTAAAGGGAGCTTTTAAAATCTACTGTGTATGAGCCTGTTGTGGAGATAGTGGATGACGTCGGTTGCGGCCAATTGTTCAAAGTAGACTAAATGGCCGGCAGAGGCAGGGGCAGTCGAACCATGAGGCCGTCTTTTCGGTAGTACTTCGGAAGATACAAAACATCTCTATTATACGGAGTAGTAATGTCACCACTTAATGCCTTCCCCCATAACGTAACCTACATCTGGTGACGGTGAACATCGAATATAGAAAATGGTTGAAGTTGCAGCCTGTCATTGGGGTTGATAATGAGTAGAACTCAATATATCACTTCGCGAAATGAAGCTCAAGACCAGTTCTTACTAATACATATCGTAGATATTGGGTCTAGTGTTCGCAGAAGCGTCGCGCCCCGCCCTGGTTTATGTTCGCGGTAGTGGCATATCTATAACGCATGTGACTACACCTGCGGCTATAGTAGATCTAAGGAAGAAACGTCTAAATCTATACATCACATAAGGTTGTGGTGAGGTCCCTTCGCGAGTATTACTGTTATGCTAGTTCGACGGAGTAGATATAGATCTGATGATTGACTAGTAGTCTCTATTAATTGATGTTAGTCATGGATGAATGGCTCCTAGGTCTCTACTGCTACCATGCCAGCCATTACTTCAAGAAGAGGGAAAACATCGTAGTCATGATACGGAGCGTTTTGAAAAATCTTTCCGTGACTTTTCATTCGTTATATAAAGAATGATTTCCTATGCTGAAGAAGCTCGAGTTTGGCGATTGAAAGATATTATGCCCTCGTTGTGGGTTGATGGCCGTAGAAAGATTGTTCCGATAGGCGATGTTGCCCGTGGTGCCCATTTCTGGGTGGAACGAGTGGGTCAATACCGTCGCTCTGATATTGAAACAAGACACCCATGCTCTTAGGGAGGTAGCATGGTACTCGAAGATGCAGCAACACTTGTAGAGTGCCTGGAGCGCGCACATTCAACGAATGATATTCCGAAAGTGCTTAAGACACCTCAAGAGATTCGACAACCGTGATATAAAGGGGCCCAAGAATGAAGCACCATAAAAGCTCGCCGGCCAACACTTCCTTATGGACCTGAGCAAGAGGAACGTGACAACAAGCTCAGATCATCCAATGCTTGGGTCCAAGCCGAATCTTGGGACAAATATAACATCAATGAGGTGCCCAAGCATGAGTCCTTGAACCAGAAAGTGTGGCTGAGAGGTCACAACGCAGTACAATTCGCAAGACGATGTTATATATGTTATACAAACTAAGCTGCATAACTACTTACCGGAAGTCGACCAATCATAGATTAGATGAGCGCTTTCTGTTACGCTAGCCAAAAAGAATATATGTGTGATGGATATCGTCCCTGGCGCATACATGTAAAGAGAGGCTGCTTTTTACTACGATTAGCTCCACGTATCACAAATGAGCAACTTTTGTTTCTACTAATCGCCTTTGTAGAGACCTCGGCTATGTAAATAACTTCAGATAAGGTTCAGGGTATGTTAAGGAATGCATTGGCCTCCGTGAATTGAGTATCTCGTGTACGGCGCAAACTGAAAGCCAGTTGTGCAAACGAGTGTGATGTTATCTAGAGAAAGTTTTCCGTCAAACAGGGACTAGTAGTGAAGATTCGCACGGCAACAAAATATATTCTCTTATTAAGCCATCAATTCTTTGGAGATTCAAGATATGGGTAGGTTGAATACTCAATATAAAAAACGATTCACGAAAGGAGCTGTTGTACATGGTAACACCGGAGTTATTAGCCGAACGAGGCCTGGCCTTGTCGTATAGCCGAGAATAAGTAACAGCCGTCCGGAGGCGAAACCCCTTAGTTCTTGGCCGGACAGGGCTTCGGCGTAGGGTACAGCCACGGGACGCCATCGCAGGCGGCACTGCAGCGGTAATTTGGCCGGTCTGAGAGGTTGCAGTTCCTCAGCAGCAGAGCCTTATCACCTGTAGCCCAAAACTCGCTGCTGCAGGGTAGCGCGTACTTGTAAGTCGGGTCCTCGAGTAGGGCCGGATCGTTGCGACAGCAAGCCTCACGCCCTTCGCCCCAAATGTAGCTCCAGCCTGTCGTGCAACAGCGACCGTTGTTGGCGGTGGCTGGTGTGACGACCGGGCGACCGGCAAATCCTTGGCCGAAGTCAGGGCACGTCCACGTGGTCTGGCGGGTCGCAAGGGTAGCGTCCTCGGCAATAGGTGAGGAGGAGGCAGTGGTAGCAGCGAGAAGGCTGACGAAGAGGTTGCGGGCGAACATCATTGTACTGGTGTTCTTTGCGTATACACTTGAGCGAGTGTCGGTGTTCGTATTATTGGTAGGAGTGCTATAAATAGTGAGAGCTGTGAATTGTACTATCTTGTGAACTCGAGAAGAGCTTCCTCTCTTTATATGTTCATCTCAAAATGGATGCGTAAACTTCCTTTTCGCTTTGTGATAAATAAACTGCCTTATTAGCTTACTTATCAATATATACTCCCTGTAGTCAACCTTGATGATATTCATAACTTATTAAGTGAGAATTGCCGAGGGGCAACCGGATGAATTGCTTGATACAGAACGGAAACCTGGGGTGGTATGGGATATGCTATGTCATGTGACAGGCCGGGTGCCTACGTTGGAGCCTTCGCCGCAGCTACCCTAGGAACTTATCCAGGACCGTCCCGGATGACTCCTGGGTCACTCTGAACAACCACCGGGTCTACATGTGCATACGCTATACGCGATGAAACTCCGCTTATCACTTCAGCCGTCATATCATTATCAGGGGTTTGCTTGTAGTGAATGTTATTAAATCAACATGATCATGTCAATGCCCGGTTCCGCTTTCTCCCAATGCTGACAGTCGACATCAAACATTACAGCTACCTTCCGATACACCATTTCTGAATACGGTCCTAATACCTTGCGCGACTCCGCATCAAACGCATCTTCCAATAGTAAGCAATGGAAGAACCAGCCTGAAGCTCGAGGCAGCGTTGCATGCGGCCCATTACTGACATGGCGTGCCACGACCGCAAAAAGCATTCTACTGGGCTGCGTCGATCGATACCAATTGTCCAGCGTGACTGAGCCAATCATCTGTTCTTCACTCTCGTCCAATGCAACATTAAACTTGGTCGGCCTGGAACTCATTGTGACTGGCTCCACAGCAGGACTAACGTAAAGACGCGCAGTTTGCGCAAAAAATCCGAGCATCCGTGGAAGCAGTACACGCATAGCGTGCGGAAACAGACAATGAGCTTGCGGATTCGTTCGAAGCACGGTGGCGAGTTCCACGTACTCTTCGACAGTCGAGTAGAAGCGGAGTGGGAGCATGGGCAGATGAACAAGGAGCTGGCGCTCAATCAAATACTCTGCGAATTCCTTGTCAGTATTGCCCTGAAAAACGCATGATTCAATCTTGGTCGCATCACCATCATAGTTGAAGCGATAATACTCTACCAGTGAGCAAATCTTCGGCGATTTTGCTCTGCGCAACCGGGTATGCGAGTCCATATACTCCGTGACGTTAGTCACCGCGCCCCAGAGCATTGAGGGGTGATTGTTGGTGATCGCGCGAGTACCATCATGAATGGAGAGTGAGATCCAGGACCAACTGGGAAAATATTTCAGGCGTGGGAGCCATGCGCGATTATAAGCGCCAGGCCAGTCCCAGATAATGACCGCATCTAAATACTTTTCTGGAATGCCACAGTGGAACGCGGATCCTAATCCTACTGAGAGTTTTCGATTGATCCCCTTGATGGCGTCTTCGGCGTCCCTCTCGTGCGAGAATTGACGAAACACGAATGCTGTAGCCAGGTGCTGATAGCGGTCAAAGTGATCCGCAGACTCGTCGTCGAAAAATCCCCAATCAGATTCCGCCGCAATCGAGTGAGCCAGAGGTGTCTCGAGCTTGCAGTCTTCGTACCAAGTCCCTTGAGAGCATTTCCAGAACATTTGGGTGGGAGTCACCACGATCACCCGATGCGATAGCAGCTTCTCTTGCAAAGTCCACCCTCTATTGTCCCACTCAGACGAGAGGACGCTAGCGCGTAATGGCTCGGCGAAGGGAGAAAGTTGGATGCCTTCGATTGTTTCGATCTCTGGTCTAAAGGAACGAGATTCGGGCTGCACTCCGGCAAGCCCAGAGTTACAATCTTGGCCACAGGCAGACTGTGAGGTGTAAGCGAGCTGCAAGAGATGAACGGCAACAACGTACTACTATAGTTACTAACGCCCTTGAGTAGACCTGGTCCATTTGGCCGAGCTGGGCGCCTTTATCCTCATTGTCATCTTGACGAATGCACAATGCATCTACCCACAGATATTTAAATCCCATTCTCTCAGCGAGAACCATGGCATCTTTGATAGTCTGCGGTATGTCTGCATGCGAGTCGCTTAGTCCACCCGGTATTCCCAGTCTGTCTCGTGTCTCCGCAGTATTCAACAGCTGTGCAGACTTACCCCATACATACGAGAGCGCTGCGTATGTGCCGTCGGGGCGGCTAGCATCTATCTCTTCCACGATGCATCGCATCTCGACGTCGATCACCCGGAATCCTGCATGATATGGTTTTGGACCTGGCAGTCTACATTTCCCTTCGTGGTCCACCAAACATCGGCCCAGCCAGGCACGCACTCGGTCGGTTGCCACCTGACTTCCTACTAATCTTCCATTGCCAAACCACGGGCATATTCGGCTATCATCGGAATACGGCGACTCCATGAGCTGGAAACCGTATGCGCAATTGGCTGAAGGGAGTAGCATGCTTTCATTTGCACATGCTTTCTCGTTCAAACTGCATAACAGACCGCTGACCATCTCAGTGTAGAATCGCCTGCTTTCTCCTATCGTCTGGACGGCGATTTGGCCGTTTTTAGGCACCACACGTATTAGCGACGCCCATGTGTCCCACCAGACTCGAATCACCGTATTCTCTCCGAAAATTGGTTTCTCAATATCGGCTAAGGGTTGCTTGCTCCCTCGAAACGTGGACAAAAGGACCCGACACATTGGGCAGCCTGGGGTAGTGGCAGTACTCTTGATCTCGTCCAACCGGAATACTACTGCACGTCCTTGAGGCTTGTTGCATACCATCATCCGATGCAACGGTTGTTTGGCGCAAGGCACGCATACACGATCGTTGGGGTGGGTGTTCCGCGTACCAAAGGGCCATGCGACGGTAGGCAAATGATCTCTGTTCCACAGTAATCATCAGCTCCAAGTCCAATGGCTAGCCAAATTCATCCCAAGAGAGCTGAAAGGAAAATCGCGCCGTAGAAGATAAGAAATAATACCTACGTTGGAATTTCTGTGTGTTTACCGTGTTTCAAATTTACATCTAACTTTTCAAGCGTCATATTAATGATGTCCACCGCTGTCCTCACAGCGGGATCTTCGGGGACTCTGTAGGCATCCGCATACGACTGTTCAAGTTCACGTTGATCCGTTTCGTCCATGTCCCACTCCGGATCGTCCCCCGGGGCCAATCCCAGTTGCTCACGACGCCACTTTCGCAGTTCAGTATTTGCTGGATTAGGTTTGGCTGACTCCGCCAGAACACGACAGGCGGCGCGAACGGCAGATCCAGAATCACAAGGCCCATCGCCTTGGTTCCGTGATATCCACTCAGCCCATGCGGCCTCTGCTTCCGGGTTGTAGCCATTTCCTGGGCGACGGATGCTTTCTTCCAAAGTATCAAAAGTGCTAGAGGCTAGTGCGCTTTCAGAATGAGGAGAATAGGATGTTTGAGCCACTGGCAGAGAACTCGCTTTTCGGTTAGTAAGAGGAGTCTGTGGTCGATTGGTCGAGGATTTGCTTTCGCTACTCTCAGCTTCAGGACTTTTTTCCACCTGTGTCTTGAATTTTCCAAGTAGACGACGCATGATTGTGAATTACAACACGAGGAGTGATAGAATACGTGATTATGTTTTTGATATAGGAGAGGGGTCGATGTTCAGCTGAGTCTTAGTCTAGATGCACCGGATGCTCTTGGCCGTGCAGCTGAGGAGCGCCACCTCCAATCAACACACGCCAACTTCATTCCGTTGAACTTCGTATATGGGAAAAAAGCATGAGATACATGTTGATGTTGATTGTAGCTCATCACAACAATCTTCATGATATTGAGTGCAACTATCTCGAATGGACGAGATGCACCGACTTTCCTATCCTATACGTGGAGAGATAATCTAGTGGGTGAGGCTTATCTTGTGAGAAATCTTCGCAATCGATCATACGTAGCATGCGAAGCTAGTAGATGGTTGTTGAACGGCCTGGACATTTTCTCCTAGATAGTCGATAGCACCGCTGCCCGCATGCGCCATTAGAAGATGAAGCTGGGATTTCGTAAGTGCGCCAGGCTTGCGAGGTTGAGCTCAGTTCGGAGGCCTGCTTTTACTAGTTACGAAAGCTATGTATTCAGCCGGTTGGGCTGATGGAGATGAAGCGCTAACCAATGACTCCTTAGGTATTGGGCATGTCATCGCATGTCTCGAATACTTCTCTCATAAACTTGACATCGCCCCGAAATGTATCAATAGCCATCAAAATCACGGGCAATGGCGCGTTTGAAATTTATCGCACAGTTCCTATTACTCCTCTCCTTTCCGAAGGTGCCGTCATTCGCACCGCTACTATAGCGCTGAACCCCATCGACGGAAAGATCCTAGAATTCAATTCCGCCCCTAACTATATCTCAGGTTACGAATTTGCGGACACTATATTCATACTTAGTAACAAGACCTCGATAGAATATAGATTATAAATCAGCAACCGATTATATAGGGAGGTGTATAGTATAATCGCTGAAAACCTATAGATAGCACGTTCGCCACCTATGTGTCCACAAGTATAGATCTGCTACTTAGTATTCTAGATAGAATTACTTAGGTAGATATAGCAACTTTAAGCATCGGTATTTTAACCGTAACTTTGGTACTTTTCGCAGAACTGAATATACCTGCGTCGCTATCTACATTAGAGGATATAGAGACTGAAGGAGTAGTAAACGCGCTGGGAGAAGAAAAAAAGTTTATCGTCGTTTCGGGCGGGTCTACAGCGGCAGCATTGAAGGGGATTTAATCATCGAAGCTATAGACCTTCTCCACCCATTTCTAGAGTTGTTTCGCTAGAGTTAGACCCCGATAACTGGCAATATTCTCAGCGTTGGCTTCCGACCTACAGCCACTTTTTCACCAGATTAATACCCGCTTGCAGCGTATTTTAGAGCGTCTGCAACCCTTAACTATCATGACACGTTTAACACTACATCCGCCACGCATACGTACAGGGCTGAATAGCCTGCCTATGCACTTAACTATAATGCTACGACCAAAACGACGTAACTCTGTTATGACGCTCTAGGTAGTGCGGGAGGCAGAAAATGTGCTCCTGAGCTTATCCGTTTTGCTATTATATTTAAGCGCAGTCTTGCTGTGATATCATGATGGCTTATTGCCCCGACTATCTTTGGAGTACCTATCGTACTCCATGTTGAATATATCATAAGGGAAACACCAACGTATCGCAAGATTGCTGTAGCAGAGATCAAGGGTCAAGGAAAAGTAGACGTTATCACGTGATATATATGTATATATCCTATATGGTATAGCCCACCCAATCATAGACATTTCGGTGGAAACTGATCTAAGTGATGCCGACGCGATTCAAGCGAGCGACTAAGAAAATCATGCGACGATTCATGGCTTGATACTTATGCATGATTTGAGGCACCTTTAGACGTGTGCCGAGGATCTTTGATATATGTTACAACGCGTTACAACATATAATTACCAAATTTAAAATTAGTTATCATTTCAAAGATACTCTTTTGTGAATACCTATAGAGAGGGGGCAGCTCAGGCGTATGATCTCTATGAAAACGAGTCTGATAGTCTCAGGAGGGGAGCGCGCTGCTAGGTCATGTACAGTGGCTTAATACAATGATGCTAGACTTAATCACCTCATCTAGCACATGGAACTGAGTCGTAACTTGAAGGACTAGCATTGGTAACCGACATTTCGATGCTATTTATCAAAAAAAATATAGATACTGGGAAACCATCACTCTGCAGACCGGTAAATGGGTGAAGGGACGATAAACGTTGTTGCATCGAAGTCTGGAGGCTTTTGCAACGACTATATCTGTCTGAACATCTAGTACTATGCGCTCAATGAGATTGACCTTTCTTAAGAGGTCGGACTGGTCAAGGTGACTCATTCGTATGCAGGCCGATTGCAAGTGATACAAGGCGGTCACGAAACATACCGGCATAGTTGCCATGAGACTGATGAGCGGTTTTGCTCCTCCGTATTAGGCACTGAGTATCCTTCATACATCCAATTTAGCCAGCGCTAATTTGCAGATTGGCTATCGGACCCTCGATCACGGCAATTCAAATAAGCCGTACTTTGAAAATAGTAGCATGATATGTTTCGGGTCAACCCGCACGCTCCACTTAGTTTCTTGTACTAAAGGTCACTTGGGAAGGTTGTCGGTGTCACTGTGGCGACCGAAGAGACTCCGCAACAAGAAAGATAACAATGCTCACGTAGTGGGCAAGATGGAGAGAAATACGGAAGTGAAGCGAGAAAGACGACTGAAGGGATCTCAGCATGGGTAGTTTACGAGCGTGAAATAGCGTGGCGCCGTGCTTGATACAGGGTTAGGAAATGCTTAATTCATAAGGAAGACCAGGTATCTATCAGAGAGCTCCAACAGTCCAACAGCATTACCAACAGAGTACAATGAACAGCAACTCACCCCAGCTGAGCAACCTCCTTCCCTCCTCGGATATCTCCAAGAGAGTGGCATGCATTCGTTGCCGTACACAGAAACTCAAATGTATCAAATCGACACGTGCAGCAGACTCAAGCAAATGTGACCGGTGCAGGAAGGCGGATGTGGCATGTACCTACGTTCCATCCAAGCCGATGGGACGGCCAAAGACATCGCGATCTCGACAGGCAAACCGGACAATGCATTGTTCAGCCTCACAACCAAACGAGCTACTCGATGAAGCGACCCACCCCGACACAATGACGGAAGACACGGAAAAAACGCTTGATATGCAAAACATGGCCATTTTCTTTGACGATATAACGCCGTACGACACGACCGATGCTTCGACAAAGAATGACTTCGCATTTTCAACGCTTGAGATGGAATTCCTCACGCCGTGCTCGAGTCAAGACACTGGAGCTATGTTTAGTAGCTCCGATACGTACGCAGCCGATATCATGCTCGAAGACGACGATGCCATCGACTTTGCACGGCCAGCAAGTAGTGCATGTGACAGCGAGCAAGGTCCACGAAGCAGTATGCAGCGCCTGGCAAAGATCGGTCTGGACCTCCATGAGCAAACGACAAAGTACCAAAAAGTCGGCGACAGCATTGTCATGCAGGACCTCGTCAGCGACGTCCTACGCAGCTCCACCGAGTATCTGAACTGCTTGCTCTCACTAGATGAGACGTTTATATCCAATCAGAGTAGCAGATTTGGCAATGCGTGGACAGACGACGGGCAGCCCTGTCAGCCCAGTCTGCAACTGGACATGTCAGCCGCATTTCAGTTGCTGATCCCTTACGTGCGGTTAGTCCAGCTGCACAATACACTATACCGGACAATGCTCCGCTATCTAGGTGGTAGTGGCAGTGGCAGTGGGGGAGGCAACGGCAACGGTAGCAACGGTAACGGCCCATCGGGTGCGCTGGTGCCACGGTCGAATTTTCCGTTCTTCACCGTCGGTGGTACTTGCGTCAACGCTAGCGAAACATTTCGCGCACGACTCTTGCTGCATATGAATGTAGATCTGTTGGCGGAGATTGAGATGGCTTTGGATTTGCCGCACGAGGCGCGAATATGCAATCCGCAGGTAGAAGGTGGAATGGGGAGTATGAGTGGCCCCATGAGCTTTCCGCTCAACGGCCAGGGCACGTGCGGCCTCTTGCGCAAGGCTGTCTCGCCGAGACTACTCAGTACGATCCTTGAAGAACGCAACTTGGGGGTGGATGGCATACAATCCATGCGAGATTCGATTGCTTGCATTAAGTGCTTTTTTCGATCTACCCGTCACCGGCCACAGTATAGTCTTTGAAATAAGATACACTTTATCGGACCTTCTTGAGCATATGTAGGGCTATGTGTGATGAGGCCATCGGCCCTTTTCTCTCCCTTCATATTGTTTCCTGACGTTGCAGTTGTGAGGCTTTTACATAAGCACTGATAGACCCGCATATTACGAGTTCGGTCACTTTCTGCGCGAGTGATAGGATGGATATATTGTGGTAGGCCGATACTTTGTCTGCAAACCACCAGTAAGTGGGGGGAGGGGAGGGGGGCATAAGCTGGGGTAGAGAGACTAAGAGCTATATGTGCACTGTAATCGTACACAATTGATTGAAGTTTCCAACAATAGCTTAAGGCTTCTCTCTAATGGATCCGGCAGAGAGTCACCCGAAGAAGAGGCTGATCTTCATTCTTAGCGTCTCCACGTGTATGCCGGCAATCACAGCAGTATGTACTTATTTGTACGCATGATTTCGAGCTCTCGGATAGTGCAATTGTTCATCCACGCCATTTCTGAAAGGTCCGAAACTAGGAGGTCACGGACCATATCTATGCATGTCACAAATACAACAAACGTAACCAAGATATGATCGTTCCAATGACCAATCTTGATGAATTGTACTCATATCGTTTTTTCGACCAGCCTAACGCGAAGCGGTTTGGGCTCAAACACAAGATAAGCCTTTTGATCCAGCCAGTCGTCTACCCGGCCACCTGGCTCGAGGCTAAACTCGAAGTTCCAGAGCGTACGTGCAATTAGGATTCGCGCTTCGGCGAGGAAGACCCTGCATGGTGTTAGAAACCACAATAGACGAGGCCATGGTAAGAAGACATGTCTCCAAAGTTAACATACCTCCCGCCTATACAGTTGCGAGTACCAATGGAGAAGGGTTTGAATGCCTCTGTGTCATCCTTGCTGAAACGAGCGTCATATAGAGGATGGGTAAGGGGCAGAAACCTCTCAGGGTGGAATGTCAACGGTTCGGTCCAATTTTGAGGCGATGTCTGTGCAGTGTGCATAGCGATGCCCATTACAGTCTATGGTAATAGCCAGGTGTTAGTCAACGTGATGATAGAGCTACGAATGACAGCAGGGTGGAAAAAGAAGGGTACGTGGACCAGCGGTCTATAGACTTACATTACCTGGGATCCACTCATTGTCTACGTGTAGTCCCTCGGAAGGAATCAGTCGGGGCAGGTGTATCGGGGTGGGGTGATGTATCCGCAACGTTTCATCGATAACCGCGCCTAGATAGGGCAGATTGGCTGTCGTTACGACGTTGATTTCGGACTCTTGTTGGAATGATGATCGAATTTCAGCAAGAAGACGCTTCAGTTGAACGGGGTGAGTCAGGAGCAGATATGTAGCCGTGGTCAGTGCAACTGTAGGCAATTGAGAGCCAGCGATGGTGATGGCGAGTGAGTGGGTATTCAGTTCGTTGCGAGTAATGCCCTTTTCCTTGGTCTCATTGATATTGCCGATGACGGGTGATACGAAATCAGAGCGCGAGGATCCAAGATCGCCCATCTCCAGGCGCTTGGTGACTAAGTCGGCTGTGTACTTCCAATTGCGCTTCCGGATTTTAGCCGTGAGCTGCAAAAATAGGTATCCAAATATTCTGTCCAACGGGTAAAAGTAGCTCAGATGATTGCGTACTGCACCAAACTTTGCGCCGAGGAAAAAACCCATGACCCAACCGTGCTCATTATCACCCTCGAGACCATGGAAACTCTCGCCATATGTCAGGTCCGAAACAATGTCTAGGGCTGCATAACCATAGTACTTTGCGAGGTCAATGACACCATCGGCACTTTTGGCTGCTTCGCGCCGCAACCGCTGGATGAACAGATCTGTATGAGATTGGATTATAGGCGACTGCGCACGCAAAGCTCGGTCGTTGAATGCATTCAGAAGTGTTCTTCGCATACGCTGATGCGTGCTTCCATCCGCCGTAAAGAGCGAGTCGGCGCCATTCAGGGGTGGCGTTTGCGGGTGTGGGTCTTTTGGTAACTGCGGTCGTTGGAGGTACAAATCTTTCCACGCACCGGATGAGATGGTTGTCAATTCATTGGGACCCACCCGGACGACCTTGCCATAACGCTCGTGTAGACTATCCATCCATTTGTATTGCTGGCCACGAACAGCTGATATGGCAAATGGAATACGAGAGAAGGCCGCAGATTTGGGCCCCGGAAACTTGGACAGAGGGTGAAAGTAGATACAATAAATGGCGCTCGTGATGTAGTACTGAACGACAGTGTGAGCTATACATACTTACACTGGACTCTGCATATTTGAAGGGGACTTACTACCACCGCCAATAGTGCACTTGTTGCCAGTGTCTGGCCTAACGGCGGCAACCAAGGCAACACCTCGTTTCTGAACACGTCCATGGCGTTACCGGCTCGGTAATCTGTGATATCATATCCTCTCTGACTCTTTCCTATCATTGTATTTATCCCTATAACATTTGTTGTTCCAGCAGTGGTTGAAGGGCGAGTAAGTACCCGATGCATATGTTACCGACTTGTGCTCGACCGAATATGTCCACTCGGAGTTGGGTTAGACAGCAGTCCGTCGGCGTGTAGCATCCATATCACCAGGATCCGGCCGACCGCAGAGATGAAAACCAGCTATGCGATTCTTAGTCATTCGTGGCGATTGCTTGGGCCGGCAGTTGCTTACCCCTGCGTCCTCTTCCGGCCGGACTTTTCGACGAGATTATATCGTGAGCGCCGAACACTCCGAACAGATGTATGAAATATAGCCCAGTGAACATCAGTTCTCTGGACAGACAACAACACCTCATTCTCAACATCCCTTGCGATACATTCAACATTCGCCACGTTGCTACTACATCATGGCACCATCAAAACCCACTCAGGCGGCATCGGTCGCCATATTCTGCCCGCAAAGCAAAGCACCAGACGCAGCATACCTTGAACAACTTCGCACATTTTTAATACAACAACCTCAACTACGCAAGCTAGCGGCCGATGTTCAGCGACTTGACGAAACATGGGACATTCTTGCAGCACGCAGACCCGGCATTGCTGCGCTGCACCAAGGGCCCAAGTATCTACGAGCTCTACACGAATGGGTAGAATCAGGTGTATCGGGACCTGTAGCGGGCGCCATGTCTGGAATCCTTTCACTACCACTATTGGTCATTGTTCAGACATGTCAATATTTCCAGTATCTACGGTTGACAGGTTTGGCACACGCCGAATTCCTCCAAGGTCTAGAGACTGGTGGTGCACAGGGATACTGCGGTGGACTTCTACCTGCCATGGCGATTGCATGCGCCAAGGACGAGGACGAGGTAGTGTACATGGCAGGAATTGCAATGCGTATTGCACTTGCAGTGGGTGCGTATGGAGAACTGGGCGATGATGAAAACTTACCTGGTCCAACGACGATTGTACTTCGTCTCCGACACGAGGGTCAAGGTGATGATATAGTGAGAAAGTTTCCGGGTGTAAGTACTGCTCAGCGTATGAACTGCTCTACTTAGCTGACCTGGCCTAGTCGTACGTTTCTGCCGTCACGGATCCGAAGACAATTAGTGTCGTGGGTCCAGTACCTACCCTCGAGAAAGTTACCGCGTACGCACGAGAATTGGGCCTACAGGCTCAGGGAGTGCATCTTAGGGGCAAGGTACACAATCCTGAGAATGCTGAACTTGCACGGGAGCTGTGCGAGTTATGCGATGAGATCGAAAATCTCAGACTGCCGCCTAGTACAGAGCTGCAGGTTCCAATATACTCCAACATTACGGGACGGCAGCTTCAAGATTGCTCACTCACACACGAAGCCGTTCTTACTATATTGGCGTCACGATGCGAATGGTGGACACTACTCGGCGAACTTGCATCTGCACTCCAATCAACAGGCGTCCAATCACACACATTCGCCATGTTTGGCATCGGCGATTGCGTGCCACTGATGCCTTTCCACCAGGCGAGGCTCAAGGTATCTAAAATCGACATCCATCGCACCATTCGAGAAGCAGAGCTCAGTGAATACACATATCCCGAAGATGCCATTGCTATTGTGGGAGCTGCTTGTCGACTTCCTGGCGCCAATGATATGGAAGAGCTCTGGGATCTTTTGGCGGGTGGTGTTTCCAAAGCAGAAGGGATTCGACCCGATCGTATACCGCTACATGCAAGCTTCAGAGCTTCGCAGGATCAGAAGGTGCGTTGGTAGTCGTCAAAAGTCCGTGTTCAAGAAGGGACGATGTACTGATGCATGTAAACAGTTCACAAGCAAGCGCAAGTTCTTTGGAAACTTTGTCGATGGGGTTGATGGCTTCGACCACACCTTTTTCCGCACCAATCCAAAGGAGGCTGCTAACATGGATCCGCAGCAGCGCGTCTTGCTAGAGCTGGCCTACCAGGCCATGGATTCGAGCGGATACCTCAGGTCGCACAAGCGTGAGAACGGGGACAACATAGGTTGTTTCATTGGCGCCTCTTTCAACGAATACCTTGACAACACTTCGGCACATGCCCCAACGGCCTATACATCGACCGGCACGATTCGAGCCTTCCTGTGTGGCAAAATCAGCTACTACTTTGGATGGAGCGGGCCGGCCGAAGTTATTGATACTGCGTGCTCGGCTTCGCTTGTGGCGATCAACCGTGCATGCCGGGCGGTTCTAAGTGGAGAATGCGCACAGGCATTAGCAGGAGGCATCAACATCATGTCTGGTATCAACAACTTTATGGATTTGGGCAAAGCTGGCTTCCTGAGCCCCACAGGGCAGTGCAAACCGTTTGACAAGAATGCCGATGGCTACTGTCGTGCCGACGGAGGAGGCCTTGTAGTTCTCAAGTTGTTGCGGCATGCACGAGCCGATGGGGATAACATTCTTGGTGTCATCCCTGGCATCGCGACAAACCAAGGTGGACTCTCTGCTTCAATCACAGTGCCCCATTCACCGGCGCAAATGACACTGTACCGGCGCATTCTCAAGCAAGCAGCGATGAAGCCAGAGCAGGTCTCGTACGTGGAATGCCATGGCACAGGCACGCAGGCGGGTGACCCGCTGGAGATAGCGTCAGTGCGTGAGGTGTTTTGTGGAGGCGACCGGCAAGGCAATCTGCACCTAGGTTCTCTCAAAGGCAACATTGGCCATTGTGAGACGGCAGCGGGAGTAGCGTCGCTACTCAAGGTGCTCGCCATGTTGCAGAAGCAACAGATTCCGCCGCTTGCCAGCTTCAAGTCTCTCAATCCTAAGATTCCTGCTTTGGCACCAGACAAGATGGCTGTCGCCAAGCAGGTGGAAACATGGGACGCACCTCTGCGTGCTGCATGTGTCAACAGCTATGGCGCTGCTGGAAGTAACGCGGCGCTGCTGTGTGTGGAAATGAAGTGCAAGGGTGCTGGGGCAACTGGGGAAGGTGCGGCAGCAGCCAGTGCGACTGCATGGCCCATTGTCATCAGCGCAGCCAGCAAAGAGTCTTTGACGCGATACTGCCAGGCCTTGGACGCATTTTTGGCAAAGAAGATGGACGTAGTGCTCGGTGACTTGAGCTTCACGCTGGCGGAGCGGAGGCAGCGCCATCGGTTCCAGCTTGTGACGACAGTGTCGGACGTGAGCAGTCTTGGACGAGTGTTGACAAGCGGCCAAGTCGAGACAAGCATGCTTGACGTGGCGAATGCTGCACGCCCTGTGGTTCTGGCATTTGGGGGACAGAGCAAGCGGGTAGTGGGGCTGGACAGAGGACTGTATGAGAGCAGCCCCAGGCTCCGGGCGTACATTGACGAGTGCAACACCATGCTCGCTGACATGGGATACCCGAGCATTGTGCCGGCAATCTTGTCGTCGGAACCGCTCGACGATGTAGTTGTGCTGCAAACGGGAACATTTGCGGTGCAATATGCGTGCGCGAAATGCTGGACCGACGCAGGAGTGCGGGTCGAGGCCGTTGTTGGACACAGCTTTGGAGAGCTCACGGCGCTCGCCTTTTCGGGCGCGCTCAGTCTTCGAAGCGGACTCAAGATGGTGGCGGCGCGGGCTCAGCTCATGGCGACCAAGTGGGGTGAAGAGCGAGGGACAATGCTGGCCATACACGCGACCCGCGACGTCGTGGAGCAGGTTATGTCCAAGGTGGACGGTGGCGAGCTCGAGGTTGCGTGCTACAACGCCGTTGGCAGCCAGGTGGTGGTGGGCTCTGCCTCGGCTGTGGCGCGGGCTGAGGCGGTGCTCTCGGGTGAGGCGCACTTTGCCAGTGTGCGCAGCCAGCGCGTCGACGTGACGCATGGCTTCCACAGTGCCTTCACCGAGCCGCTGCTCGACGAGCTGGCGGGCGTGGCGGCATCGCTGGCCTTTGGGGAGCCCCGGATCCCGCTGGAGATGTGTGTGCCCGACGAATGTGCACAGCAGAGCCCGGGGCCGCTTCGCATTGCCCAGCACACGCGCCAGCCCGTCTACTTTGTCGACGCCGTCCGCCGCATCGAAGCACGCCTGGGCCCGCGGTGCCTGTGGCTCGAAGCGGGCACCGACTCGCCCATCATCCCCATGGCCAAGCGTGCCGTGGCCCAACCCGCCCAGCACGTCTTTGTCGGCCTGCGCCTTGCGGGTGCACAGCATTCGGCGCGTGTGCTGGCCGAGGCTACCGCTGCCTTGTGGCGCGAGGGAGTCGACGTCTCCTTCTGGCCTCACCTGGGCGGGCCCGCTGAGTCAGGGCTGAGTCACATCTACCTCCCCCCCTACGAGTTCGTCCGCACCCCCCACTGGCTCCCCAACATTGACCGTGCCGCCGAAGCCTGCGCCCGCGCCCACCACGATACCGTCGTGAAGCCCGCAATCCAGCCAGAGAAGCTCCAGACGCTGCTCGTCACTCCTCAGCAGCCCGGCTCCCTGGCCTTCACCGTCAACATTGCGTCGAAGCGCTTTCGCGACATTGTCAGCGGCCATGCAGTGCGTGCTCGTCCCCTCTGTCCAGCCTCCATGTACATGGAGTGTGCCGTCATGGCCCTCCAGTGCCACCTGGGCTCTCGTTTCAACAAGGCCTGGGCCCTTTCCTTTGAGAAGCTGAGCTTCGAACATGCCCTGGGCGTTGACCCGAATCGCGACGTGTCCGTTGTGCTGAGTGATGCTGGTGAGCCTGGCCTGTGGACCTTCCAACTGCGCAGCGCCCCCAAATCGTCCACCACGTCCCGCTTCTCTACACACGGCCGTGGTAAGATCCGGCTCGCCAGTCCCCCGCCCCTGCACACATACAAACACCTTGTCGCTGAGCGCATCCAGCATGTCTCCAACAAGCCGGGCACAGAAACTCTCTTGTCCAAACGCGCATATGGCTTGTTCTCACAGGTCGTCACCTATGCGCCCCTGATGCGCGGTATCCAGTCCATCACCATGGACGGCACTCGGGCCGTGGCCGCCATCAAAGTCCCATCTCCCCCAGTCGCTCCCGATGAAAGCTCTGCCATTGCGCTTTGTGACACAGTCTCGATAGACACCTTCATCCAGGTCGTCGGTCTCCTCATCAACAGCAGTGACGCCTGTATCCCTGACCATGTCTTTGTCGCCACTGGCCTCGACAGTGCTACCCTCTCCCAAGCCTGTGACTTTACTGCCGCCGACTCATGGACCGTGTATGCTGTCTTTAGGTCTACTAGTGACACAACAGCCACGGGCGATGTCTTTGTCATGACCCCTGACGGCACTGTAGCCTTGACCATCATGGACGTCGCCTTCACCCGACTGCCCATAGCAACCTTAGAGAGGCTATTGGACACAGCAAACTCTGCCCCTACTTCCCGTACGAATGCTGCTCCCCGAAAGCACTCTGCTCCCCAAAAGCATGCTTCGACGGCAGTTCCAAGTCGACACGCTGTGCCTGATTTGATTGCACCAGACGAATCTCCCGCGCACAGTTATTCTGAGAGCGAGGGCAGTGTCGCAACCCCACCTAGTGAGCAAGACGACAGTAGTCTGCGCAAGATGATTGCCATGTACACCGGCGTGTCAGTAGATTCCATTGCTGCACAAGCTACCATGGCAGATTTGGGCGTCGACTCTCTAGCCGCTGTTGAATTTGCCGAGGACCTGCGCTCGCAATTCGGCAAGGACATTGAGTCGACCCATCTCCTTGCCAGCACGCTCAATGCTTTATCACAGCTTGTCCTGACCTCGGTCTCAAAGCCGCAGCCAAAGATCAAATCGGCCAAAGCTCATGTTGTCCAAATGGATCCTCTTCCACAAGTCCACGCGGCTGCAAGTAGCGCTGGTCGGCAGCGCCTTCTGAAAATCATCTCGGACACTTGCGGTGCTCCCCCTTCGGATATCAAAAATTCGCACACGCTTCGCGATCTGGGTGTTGACTCCCTGGCCTCAGTAGAGCTGAGCAGTGACCTTGAAAATGCCTTTTCTGTTCAAATTGACGAGAACGATTTGCATCTCGACTCCACTGTGGCAGACATTGTCAATTATCTCGGAATTGGCAACGAGAGCGAGCAAATCACACCAGCCATGCAGGCGCCGATGCCAACTTCCATTTCCCTACAAGCAACCCATTCTTACTCTCCGACCCCGGCGGCAGCCCCTCAAGGCGAATCGAATGCCATCCACCAGCGCGTAGTCCAGATCATATCCGATGCATGTGGAGCACCAACAGAGGATATAAGCGGAGACGATTTGCTTCGGGACTTGGGTGTCGACTCACTGGCAGCGATGGAGCTGAAGAGTGAGCTTGAGGACGAGTTCAATGTCGAGCTAGACGACAACCTCTTAGACTTGTCCGTCTCAGAAATTGTCAAGAGCTGTGGAGGCGCTCTCACAGCCTCCGTCGATGTCCCAACCACATCTGTTAGCACACCCACCAGTCGACCTCCGACATCCAAACCAGCCATCCCTAATTCCCCAAAGGTCCCTGCTGATATGGTAAATCCCTTTGACTCTCTTATCAACAGTGAGAGGGACTATGCTGCCAAGGCGAGGAAATGCGGGTTTCTAGACTTCAATACTAAAGTGTCTTCCCGCCAAGACGAGCTCATGCTGGCTTACATTGTCGAAGCCTTCGTAGAGCTCGGCATCGACCTGCGGAAATTAAAAGAGGGCACTCCATTGCCACCGCTTGCTTATAGAAGCAAGAACGCTTACGATCGATTGATGCAGAGAATCTGGGTCATCTTGGGCAAACATGGATTGGTAAACACAGTAGGCACATCACGGCACGTAAGAGGAGCTGCCACATGTCCGCAAAGCACTTCAGAAGAGCTCCTTGAGAGGGTGCGGCAAGATTTCCCAGCTTACAAATGCGAGTTTTCGTTGATGAACGTGACTGGATCCCAACTCGGGCAGTGCCTCGCCGGAAAGCAAGATCCGATCGCTCTCATGTTCAAAACACAGGACGCGCAAGCCATTATGGAGGACTTTTACCTCAACTCCCCGATGCTTGCCACTGCCACGGAGATGCTTGTGGATACCATCGTCGACGCTGTTTCCAAGTCCAAAATAAACAACCCCGTCAACATTTTGGAGATTGGTGCTGGCTGTACGTATATACTGGATTTAAAAGCAATGGTGACGTTGTGCTAACAATTATTCTCAGTCGGCGGGACAACAAGAAAGCTTGTACAAAGTCTAAATAGATTGGGTAGGCCCGTCAACTACACCTTCACTGACATCTCTCCCACGCTTGTCGGCCGCGCACTCAAAGTGTTTTCCGACCAATATCCATGGCTACAATTCCAAACTTGGAACATGGAACAAACACCTCCCAGCGCCCTCTGCGCAACAGGGCCGTTCGACATCGTCATTGGCACGAATTGTGTGCATGCTACTCAGGATCGCACATTGACACTCAATCGTCTGAAGCAGCTGCTCCACCCCACAGGCTTTGTCGTTCTTTCAGAGGTCACAGAGATCGTCGATTGGTATGACATCGCCTATGGCCTGCTAGACGGTTGGTGGTCCGACAAGGATGGCTGCTATCCGCTTCAGCCTGCTGAAACTTGGATGAGATGTTTCAAGGACGCTGGATTTGCTGTTGCGTCTTACTCGCAGGGTCCGAGTGCGGATCTGAACATACAAAAATTGCTCATTGCAAGCATGAGAAACGACGTAGAAGCACCGAAGCGTGCGCCTCTACGACAGAAGTTGGAAACAGTTGTCTACAAAACGGTCGATGGTGTGGACATCCACGCCGACGTTTTCTTTCCACAGCAGCCGCCTGCCACCGCCATGCCTCTTGGTACGAACTCCCAGTAGTAATACTAAACACTTGAGATCCATCTCCCTGACATGGTTCAATAGCTCTCATGATTCACGGTGGTGGTCACATGACTCTTTCTCGCAAGGCAGTTCGACCCGCGCAAACAAACTTTCTGCTTGAAAATGGTGTCTTGCCAGTCAGCATAGACCACCGACTCTGTCCAGAAGTTAACATCATCGATGGTCCTATCACCGACACTCTGGATGCATACAAATGGATGACAACCGCCTTGCCCAATCTAGCTCGAGCAAAGGGCATTATAGTCGACCCTGAACGGGTTGTAGTCATTGGCTGGTCCACCGGAGGCCATCTTGCCATGACAACTGCGTGGACGGCCAAGTCTGCTAGTGTGAGGCTACCACGTGCCATTCTGAGCTTCTATTGTCCCACGGACTTTGAGTCTGGAGATTTGGACAAGCGCCGGGCTGAAGAGTATCCGGAGAGAACAATGAAGCTGAAAGACATAATCAAGGCACTGCCGAAGAAACCCGTAAGACACACCCCATTACGTCCATACATGGAAACAGAAGCACTGACAATACTTCATCCAGCTCACACAATACGACGGCAATGGAACTGATACTACTGGCTTAGGCTGGGTCCGTCCGGGAGACCCCCGCTCCGAGCTTGTTTTGTCGCTTTTCAAAGAGGGCAATGGCCTCCCTCTTCTTCTAAACGGCCTTCCTAAAGCCAGCAGTGACGAGGATGACTCTGAGGAAGACGACTCTGAGGAAGATTCTGAAGACAGCGACGAAGATGACGTTGAGGATGATGATGCCTGGCTACACACCCCAGATCCTGAGCGCGTGGCAGCCATCAGTCCGCTCGCGCAGCTACGGCGCGGCAATTACACTGTCCCGACTTTTGTCATCCATGGTACAAATGACGAGATTGTACCTTATCATACTGCTGTTGCGTTTGTTGACGCTTTGGGCAAAGCTGGCATCGAAGGACAGCTGCTTACGGTCCAGGGAGCCAGGCATATTCATGATGTCACATTGAAGCCCGGCACTAAAAGGTGGGATGAAACGGTTGCGCCAGGTTATGAGTTTCTCTTCGAGAAGCTGAGATGCTGAGGCAAACGATCTTATGATTTTCTGATGTCCGAGTCTGCTTTACGTACACATGGTGTTTTGGTGCTTGAAATGCTTCTTAGGGTTCAATTTTCTTTTCACAATCTGTACAAATAGTCACCTAAGTATCCTTCACTTTGCTTGGTAGGAATTTCAAATAATACCCTTCGAATTATTCATTGTTTCTCTTCACCATCAATGACGAATCTCCATCACACAATTACAGCTCTCAACTGGCTTTCAAAGGCTCACTAGACACGCCTTGACCACTTAACCTTCCTCAGCGCTTGTCACATCTCCCCCATCTACCCCTGGATCACGTTTTATTACAACAAATAAACTAGTAGAACCCTAGCTTAATCTCCCTGCTGTTTCGCATGGGCGTTCGTGATGCAGACGATTAATTGATGCACTTTCATCGTAATATGTACAGACCCTGGTGACTAGGCAACATTGACTTTCCTCTTCGCCAGCCCTTCACTGCATGCTGCATCGCATGCATCTACAATCCTTCCGACAATTCAACCAAGCGCTATACTCTCCGGTGTTGCCATTCCTACAATCGAAGTTGTTAAAACATGCCGCGACTCCATTTTTGGGGAGTCGGCCCGTCGGTCACTCGGTCGGCCACATATTGTCCTGTGTTGCGAATGTATGTGCCCGTAACTCGGCGACTTCAATGGTCGGTGACTTTCTGAATGTGACCGATTGTCGGTTCAAAGGATCTCTGGGGAGATTGTCAGGGGGTGGTAAGTACGTGCAATCCGGTGAGACGAATATGGCTTATTGAGTGGACGACGTGTAGGAAGAAAGGAGGGTGTTGTCAACAAGTCGGCGTCCAAGAGGTTGGAAGAATGGCGTTGGCTGCGACTATTCTGCATGAATCGTTTTGGTGATGGCTGCCTGTTCTGAGTGGAGTCTTTGAACTTGCCACAACAATCCTTTGGTTGGTACATCGAATGAAAGTCAATATGGTGGCCACTGTGCTAGTGATACTCGCTTCAAACTGAATTTCCCCAATACTCTAAGAGCCACGTTAAAAGATTGTATTAGCGCACAAAAGGCACAAATCATATTTGAAAGAAATAGAACATGGTAAACTTCATAACTCATAACAAAATACTCGCCTTGTGACATACTAAAAGCCAAGCTATAACCAACCGTCGACGTTACTATGACCTCCTATGTAATCATAACTCCCTGAGTTTCATACGGAGGTTCAGATCCGGTTTCTCTCTCATAATGAATACTCGTTGCTCGTCGAGTTTGAAATTGTCATCAGCTAGCTGCCACTCAAATTGCCACACCAGACGAGCCAAAATGAGTTTCATCTCCGCCATCGCAAGGTTCTTGCCAACACAATTGCGTGGCCCAGTACTAAAGGGCTGAAACACATCTTTCCTATCTCTTGAGTATTCTGGTGTGGCATTGGGAAGCCAGCGTTCTGGTACGAACTTTTCAGGGTGTGCAAAGTTGCTGGGGAGGTGGTAGGCTGGTTGTTGAGAGACGTTGACGATGGTCTACAAAACGGCGATTAGTACTCGTATGTCGAAGTCCACACAATCTCATCTAGAAATAGTCTAGGAAATTTGCTTACGTTTTCTGGTACAACATGTCCTGCAATGACTGCACCACCCTTGGGAACGATGCGCTGCAGACCAGCTGGAACAGGCGGGTAGATGCGCATTCCCTCATTTATGGTGGCCTGCAGCATCTTCAATCCACCTACACTTATCATATTGATGTCTTCCTGCTTGTTGAATGCGGCCGTGATTTCCGTGCGTAGCTTCTGCACCGACTCTGGGTTCTTGGCCAACAGGTACATGATTCCACATAGTGCCGTCGCAACGGTCTCGCTCCCACCAATGATGAAAAGGCTCGCGTTCGATTCCATTTCTTCGATACTCATGCCCTTCTCATCATTGTGTCGCAGGATGTACGTCCAAAAGTCAGATCGATGCGGTTGCTCCCCTGCCGCCAGGCGCTTATGGACTTTCTCAGCGCTCAACTTAATATGCTGCATACGCGCCTTGATATCCTTCTTTGGCAAAAGGGCAATGATGAAGATCGTAAAAGGTTTGAATAGTTTGGCGGCTCCAAACAGCGAAAGCGCTTTGATGAAGGGGAACAGTAGCCCAACCCAAGGGTGGTATTCTCCATTTGACAAACACCCGAACGGCTCGCCAAATGCTAGATCTCCAACAATATCGAATGCAGTATACTCAAGCCAATTCTTGATGTTGATCTCACTCGAGGAATTTGCCGCAAGTACACTCGTTAGCTGATCGATGTACCGCATTACAAGGCTCTCTTGAGCTCGTAGTGCTTTGTCACTGAACGCGTGATTGACCGTTCTTCGTTGCCGTGAGTGGTCTGCATTGTTGGCTGACAAGAGATGGTCAACAGTCTTGTGGCTGCGAGTCATGCCCCACTTTGCAAAGTTACGGTTTGGTCCATGTCCGTAGATGTCAGTCCACGCCTCGGCTGCGGTGAAAGATACCATATCCGGTGAAATACGCACTGCCTCGCCATATTTGGCGTGAAGTGCAGTGAGATCGTGTGGCAAGTATCCTCTGAGGATCGATTGAGCATGGGGAATGTGCGATATCGCGCGGCTGACGGGACCCGGGAAAGATTTCAAAGGATGGAATGTTACTCGGTAGATGGCGCGAAGAGCCAAAAACGATAAAAGCTAGATGCTGTTAATCTGAGCCTTGATACGATGGGCTTATCACTCACGACACAGGCGGCTAGCAACCATTTAGGCATATCCAACATCTCGACAGGTTGAGAAATCGCCATTATGATTTTTTCCGATGATTTTTAGTGATCAGGCACAACTATGCATTCCGAAAGCTACGTTTTTAGAAGATTGATGGTACAATTGCCCTCTTCGGCATCGGCTAATTCTGAGAGTGAAGGCTCGGCTATATATGTGTGTACACGACTACTTTCAAAATATCATACCGTTTCGCCAAAAAAAAGTGAAAGGGTGGAGACTATAGTATATACCTTACAGGGCTCTCAACTACAGGTATCCGCGATAAGCGGATGGCTACTCCTAGCCTCTACCGCTCTAGGACCTGCACTTGTGACAACACCTGGCTTCATCACCAAGCTTATCACCATGTTCTCATCCTTAAGAGCACTCTAAAAATAAAAAGTCTTTTTTCCGAATATATGACCTACAAGGCCCATCAGGGAAGTTCAGGGTAGATTTCTTGTAAGCGCGCACGGAGCTCGCCTAAAAATTTGGTTTTGGCCTCTTTCATCTCGGGCGACTTTGTGTTGCCGGTCAAACTATACCAGATTGCTTATTAGCTTTGCTCCAATCATAGCCTTCATCATCTTCGTATTATACGTACTCTCCGCAAACTTTGCAGTCCATCAGGAATGCACCGTGACACTCCTCACCGAGTTCGGGCTTCACACCAAAGACCAGAGTACGACTGCCAACTTCAGTGGACCGTGCAACGATTCCGATGACAAAGCGCCTGATAACACCAGCAATCCAGCTTTCATCATCGCGCACTAGATCGCTTTGACACAGGCCAGGTGTCAGGCAGGTAATGAGTACATTTGACTGATCGGACAATGGGTATCGTTGTGCCAAGTCGCGCACTACCCACATAAGCAGAAGCTTGGAGACGCCATAACTGTGATCAATCGTTAGCTAGTGAGCAATAAGAGCTACTACGTCGAGTAAGCTTTACCGATTTTTCATATCGGCGTGCTCTTCCGAATTGAGCGCCGTGAGGAGACTGCCTGGATGGGACTTCTCCTTCAAGGGTGCAAGGAATTGGAGATCGCTTCCTACAAAAGCCAGTCTTCCTCGACTTCCAGTTTTTGCCGCTGATTCTTGAAGTTTGGGGATAACAAGATGGCCGAGAAGCGCTGGACTGATAACGTTTACTGCTATTTGACTCTCGCATTCTTCAACTGGAGTAAATTTGCTGGTCATGATGCCCGCATTCTGTATGACGGCGTCTAAGCGGTCTAATGTCTTGATGCGCTCACCGAACTTCTTCACAGATGCGAAACTGCTGAGATCCAACTCCCAAACTTCGACATTGCTCAGAGGAAGGGATAGCGCGGACGAAACCTCCTTCGCAACCTGTTCGCCTTTTGAAACATTGCGCACTGCAAGGATGAGTTTTGACGCCCCGAGCCGCAGTATATGCTTTGCTGCTTCATATCCAAGACCAGATGTAGCACCAGTTACGACAATTGTTTGGCCGGAGAAATCGGACGAGGGCACTGGTGGCTTGACGAAGAATTGGGAATGAAGGATTGTAGTTGCGAAGCCCATAGTGACGCGATTGGAATTCCGGATATGGTGGCAGATAACCCCTCAAGCTTGGGGGCCTTGGAAGTTGTATAGCATGGCAACTGTTGGAGAACGTTTATCTCCGTGTCTACTATCTCCGGCAATGCGCGCGCTATACTTTACAAACACCTATCTCCGTGTGCAGACTGCTCCCCATACACGCTGGGGTTGCTGGATGCAGCGACCGAATCAAATGTACCCGAAACGGACCGACGCGCCCGACTTATACATTGCTGACCACGAACTAGTGATGATCTGTATATATCATGCATTAGCTATACAACGTACAAGTATTATTTACTACCATTAACACAGCTGTGCTACACTACGCAGAGATCTTGAATTGAAGAAAGATGGCGGCTGTCCTCCCGGCAAACACTGCTACTCCCGTGGGAGGTACTTCAAAGTACTTCGACACCGATACACTCGTCGACGGCTCAGCACCAAAAGTTGCAAATAGTGCTGGCTTCTTTAATGCCACTGTCGCAGCCAATCATGTACGATTTGCAGCAGCCAGCGGCCCCGCTTTAGATACAAGGCTAATTTGTATCATCAGAATCAAGGTGCTGAAGAGCTTGCACTATTGAAATACGTATACAGCCACCCGGATCTGGAACAAATACGTGGCAACCCAGATGCGGTCTGCAATGCCATCGACGACTTCGCTGCCACGATCCCGCGAGGGTTGATGACCATCGGAGCAGAGAAACGCGAGTTTATAACCAAACTTCTTACTACCGCTGAGCCTGCACCAACCCTATTTCTGGAATTCGGCTCCTATGTTGGCTACTCTGCCATATGCCTTGCCAGCGCCATGGTGGCCCGGGCTGGCCCCGGACAGCGCGTTCGCTATGTGTCATTCGAAAAGAACCCCATAATCGCAGCCCGTTGCTGCCAGTCTCGCCGATCTAGCAGGCTTACGAGACATTGTCACCATATATGTTGGCTCGGCTTCGGAGTCGTTGGCACGCCTCGTCAAGGAAGGAAAAGTGTCAAAAAGCACTGTTGACTTCATGCTTCTGGATCATTGGAAAGATTTCTACATTTCCGATTTGCAGTTGTGCGAGAAGCTTTCCCTACTCAAACCTGGCTCTGTTGTTTTGGCCGATAACATCGTCTTCCCGGGCGCCCCAGAGTATCTAGCATATGTCCAGGCGGGTAAGGCGGAGGCCTCACCTGATGGATTTAGCTATACGACCAAGACGGCAGATTTCATCCTTCCTTTTGGTGGCCCTGTAAGTAACAGACTTCCTCTATTGAGTTTCTTACTGAAACGGATAGGATCAACTCGCCATCTCCACCGTATCTTAGGCTGCTATATTTTGCTGACGCGGAGCCACAAAACGACACCACGATCTTAACGACACTCAACTGCTTTTTTCTGGGGATTCATAGCTTGACCCAATAACACCTCTTATACATTTCACGTCTTTCGTGCGTTATACATACAAAATGCCATTGACTTCCTGTGACTCAAAGCTACTAAGTAGTGAACAATGTATGAAGCCATAGCTTTGCAAGTGCTTGTTCAGAGGAGATCGTTATTTATCAAACTTCTAGCGTCCTTTTCCTAGGCCTGGTACAAGATTCACAAAGCTATGCCATTATCTGGCGATCTTGCATCATTAACTCCAAAGTCATATTGAGTGCGTCCTTCCTAGATTGAAATCGCATCGTTTTCGTGATGGTACCCTACTTGACGTATTCTACAAATTCATTCATACTATGATGGGAAAGTCGCCTAGAAGACCCAGCCCTCACCAATGAAATACAAAGAGAATCTACCGTCCATCATTTTCATCGGTCTTGAAACGCGAAAAGAGTTTTCTTGCAGCGCCACATTCAATCGAATGCCGCACGTCGTCTTCCATAGCTGTGTTGTTGATGTTCTCGATTTGAGGCGTGATGGTTCCTTCACGAGCGAACGGGAAATCGCTTCCGTATAATATGTGATCTGTACCGGCGAAATCTTGCAAAAGCCTAATGGGGGTCTCGAACCCCGTCAATGCAAGATCAAAGTAAAATGATCTTGCTTCTCTTATGAAATCGTCGGCTGTTTTATCTTTCAGTCCAAGGTCGGCTGTTTGGTGCGCAACTCTCGTCGCCATGTATGGGAGGGTACCGCCACCGTGAGATAGAATGATCTTGCAGTTCGAAAAATCACGAACAATATTGGACGTGATGAGGTTGATCGCTGTTCGGGTTGTCTCGTGAGGAAAATCGATTATTGGTCGGGGAATAGTAGGGTCAGATGGGGCTCCCCAAGTTTCACCAAAGGTTGGATGAACAAAAACTACTGCGTTGCGACTGTGAAGTTCCTCCCAAAGAGGGCGGAAGTCCTCGTGGCCCAAGTACTTGTCGTCATAACTCGATAACAGCGCGACTCCATCTGCCTTGAGTACGTCGAGTGAGTAGCGCACCTCCTCTAAGCAAGCGTTGATCTGGGTAAGTGGGGGTACGGATGCAAAGAAACCAAATCGACGTGGGTGACTGGTCGAGATCTCCTTAGCGTACTCGTTGACCGATCGGCATAGTTTTGTGGCTTCATCGGCAGATGAGGTGAACGCAAGACCTGGAGCGCTCAAAGATAAGATTGAGACATCAATATCGTTGCGGTCCATGAACTGTAGGTCCAGTTCCACGTTCCATGATGGTAGTGTAAGTCCTTTGGGAATTCCAGCTGCGTTTTTCCATTCTGCCGAAGAAATCAGTTCTTGTGTGAACAGTCTACAATAAACAACGCACTCTGCACGTATTCAGTCGGTAGTATATGATGATGAACGTCGACCCTCCCCATGTTTATTTTGGCTATCTTGCAATGCTATGTGCAAGCTTAACGGGTCTTCAACGAGCATAAATTGTAGTTGGGTGCAAACATTTCGGCCGAATTCTGCATTGACACCGAACCGGGCCCCTCCATATCTGCCCGACTCATTAACCCTCACCGACTTAGTTTCTTACCAGGATGGAGAACATTTCACCACGGGCCAGGCAATTGGATTATATAGTGTTATCGCCCTGATGAGCGATTTAGACACCCGCCGTTTGCAAACATGGCAGTACACCTGGTTTTCGGACTACTCTGCTCGGTCAATCTGGCATGGGCAGTGACTCCAGGACAAATTCAAAATTATCTCAAAACTCAACTGTCCCCTAGCTCGGAAGTTGTACTCTCTAGTTCCCAGGCCTACACTACCGAGATCAAGCAAAGGTGGAACGCCTATGATGCGCCTTCCTTTGTTGTGGGTGTAAAACCTGCCACTGCCAATGATGTCGCGACTATCGTAAGTTTAAAACATGTCTTTTTACCAAGTATTGGGTTCTAAGGCTGGTGCAAAGGTCCATTATGCTTCAAGCAACAGTATTCCGTTCATGGGAACAGGTGGCGGCCATGGTTATACCATAACTACTAGCGCCCTGAAGAACGGAATCAACATAGACCTCGGTGGCTTCAAGGGAGTCTCAATTAATTCTGCAGCAAGCACAATGACTATTGGAGGCGCTGTCACTTTTGGAGAAGTTTTGAACCCCGTTTATCAAGCTGGAAAAGAGATACGTAAGTCATTCTTCTTTAACTTCTTCAACATGACACTTACTTTCATCCCTTTCAGAGACTGGATCTTGCTCATGTGTTGGAATGGTTGGCGCCACCATAGGTGGCGGCATTGGTGTCTATCAAGGTCTCCATGGTCTGGTCATAGACGCACTCCAGTCGGTGACCATTGTGACCGGAAAGGGGGACATTGTTAATGCATCACTTTCCGAGAATAGCGATCTGTTTTGGGGCATCAGAGGCGCCGGACAGAACTTTGGTCTCATAACCTCTGCTACTTACAAATTACATGACCAGACCAATCGTGGCCAGGCTTTAAACGGCGATTTTCTTTTCCCAGTCAGCGCCAATGCCACTATTTTCAACGTCCTAAAGTCGTTCACTCGGAATCAGCCGGATGCTTTAGCACTTACGAGCGCCATACAATACTCTCCTACTTTGAACAAGGTTAGTTCAAAAAGTCAAAGCTAACTACAGCCCACTAACAGGATTTATAGGTCGTCATAATGGTTAATGCCGTCTACGTAGGCGCAGAAAATGATGGGAAAAAGATCCTTCAGCCATTACTCTCCGTCAAAGCCCTCCAGTCCAATGTGACCATGATTCCATACAACCGTCTTATCCTGGAAAATCGATTTGGTGTCGATCCTCTCGGCTGTATCTCAGGCCTTCCACAAGCGTCATATGGCATGAATCTGTATCAGTATGATGTTGCGACCTACCAGAAGACACTTGCTGCGTATATTGACTTCTATGCCGCAACTAATCTGACAACATCATACATGGTCACAGAGATATTCCCTACTAGAGTCTCGCTCAGTACACCAGACAAGGCTACAGCGTATCCGTATCGAGCCACAATGGCGTATCTGTAAGTCCCAACAACAACCATGTGGACCCATAGTTACTGCCAACTGATACTTGTGCAGATTTATGAGCTTTAGTGGCTTCACAACTGATACCCAGACATCTGCTATCGCGAAGTTCGCGAAAGAGATACGTGGAAATTTTGCAAAGCTCAATGGCGCAAAGGGGCTCGAGGTCTATGTTAACTACGCACATGGCGATGAAGGTCGCAACGCTTGGTACACTGCAGCAAAACTTCCGCAACTTGAGCAACTCAAGCGAAAATGGGATCCGCAAAACCTTTTCAATTTCACGAACGGTTTTGCTTACTAGAATGACCAAGGCCCCCGTATACCGCGCCACCCGAACTCTTCATCTCTTCTTACCCATCTCCAAGAGCAGGGTCCTTGCCAGAGAAACATCAGCCGATCTAGCTCACAGAATACCTGTTTCCCTAACTTTCACAACTAATTCCTTCATAGGACCATGAGCCTTAGCAGCGATATAGATAAATCATCCTGCTACTAATATTATCTTTGATGTCCTCTATCCATTATTACTCTATATTACATCGTAGCATTGTGAGCACTCATAACGAGCGTCAATCAAAAACTCCGTCTAGCGTGGCCCCATGTAGCCTGTATGCGTATTCAACAATGTTATCAAATCTTCCCAGAATTTCAGCAGCTTCATGTAACCATCCTCGGAGTAATCATCAAGACCTGATCTGTCGTCCGCCATTTCGTTTATGTTAACGTGTTGAGAAGGAAACTATTCAACATTACATAGTAGTTCGACAAGCGCTGTCCACCCCCTTATATTGGTGTATGTCTAGATACGGTAGGCAAACGCTCGATCCTTAAATTTGCCGCCGGCCACTAGAATACCCTTACATTACAATACAGGCCAATGCAGCAATGAGCTGGCCAGCTGCCAAAGTGGTGCCTATAACGCCTATGCTTGTTGCTTCTCGCGTTTGAGTTGTGTATCTTCTGCTTAGTCTTTGTCCGATTCGTATAGAAAGAGCTTGCCGTTCTTTTTCAAGATCGTGGAGCCTTTGTGCCACAGTTTCTTGGGATGCGAGGCTAGAAAATGTCTCTGTACTGGAGGTTCTCGAAGTTTCACTCAATGGAGGTGCCAATGTATACATGTTGGTTGTCGTAGCTTTCTCTCCATCTCCTTTGTAACCTTTCTCCCGCACAAATTGTCGCTCGAGATTCTGCGCAGTCAGAAGGAGAGTTTGATCATCTTGATCGATGATTTTCTCCCATTTTTCCCGAATACTTCCAAACGCTATTTTTGTGCGCTCAATGTCTTCTTCAACCAGTCGGATGTCTCCAGCCATCTCGGATGTGGTTTCGCTAAGTTCGCGCAATGCCTCTCTTCGTCCAGTACTAACAATCTCATCCATTCGTCTATGAGCCTCATCTGCCATGATTTGTAATGACTGGTAGCGTTTGTTGAGATCTTCATATAGTACCTGCCCAGCTTCCGTCTCATATATCAGCCGGTTTTCATCTACTAACTGCCGCTGGAATCTCAGGGTAAGTCTTCGATTCTTTTGAGTGATATGATGAACGATCTTCACAGCATCAATCTCGACAGCTGATAGCCTGACTAGTTTACCACCGTGTTCGATAATATCATGGCGAATCTTTTCATAAAACTCTTCATGTCTCTTTTCGGCCTTGGCTAGGTCTCTCACGGAAACCATGTCCCACATCGTTGTTGCGAGGATCACTCCCTTGAATGCTTCCGTGCCACACATCTTCTTGAAAGTATCTAATGCTCGCAAGGCAGTGCCCGGAAGACGGTTGTTCGTGATACAATGGAGATAGATGATGCCGCTAAGTCTGATGTCTCTTTCATGGGCAGCTGTTAACCAATACGCTAATTCCTGCAGTACCTTGCCATCAGATTGTCGACTGTCATTGAACCCAGGTGTATCCAAGAGATGTACAGTACGTCCTCCAACTACTGTGGTATGGATCGACACACGACTGGTGCCTATTTCGCGTTAACTCATGTCGGGTGAAGGGGGTTCGGATTCTTGAATCTTACAAGAGAACAGCCCATCGCTCGAAAGGCGTTCTGGGGGTTTAGTACAATGCTCGATGAAACTAGACTTTCCAGCACCAGTCATCCCCATAACTGCTATGAAGATATCATCTGGGCTATTTAATTTTCGTAAGCATCTGTTCCATGATCACCATGGATGGCATACCTGATAGTCTGTGAGCCATGATCCAACATAATAGTGTTCATAGTAAAGTGTGGTTGAGTCGCAATCGAAAGTCCAACTTCATTGGGCTATCATCCAGTGATTGTCTCCAGCTACTATGTAACGTCGGGTAGCGTGGCTGAGGCCGCTTAGGCGAACTGCATATGTCTCTGGGGCAAGGCTGAAATCTCGCTTCCCATTTATCTTTCGGATTTCGCCAATCAGCAACGTACACGTCAGAACCGCCTGACAGGATGATTACACAAACAGTTCGGGCGCGAATTTTGTGGCTTGACCCTAATGTATGCACTGCGCAATATTACACTCGCTTGTTAGGCTACAGGAAACACCAAAAAGTGGCGTGGACGACATACCCTGGCCACTTTAGCGTCACTTGTGGGGACGTGTACCATCAGCGACCTGCGCAACCGGGCTCAGAGTTCTACCCTCTATCACGACAATTGTTCAGAAGTTTGGCCATGAGTAACTCTGGTGACCCCATCATCCGAAAGCGCAGTGAGGATGTGATAGATATCATGCAGTTATCGCAACAGCATTCCAGATCGCCGCAGAATGCCTCATCATCTGAGTACGTCAACAGTACATATGGGCCATTCTTATCGCGCTGACCGAGCATTTAGATCTATAGGAATCTTAGTTATGGGTCTCACTGGTGCTGGAAAAAGCACATTCATTTCCCAGCTCACCAATCAAGACGCTGAGATTGGGCATTCACTAGAATCATGTACGTTTGGATACAGTCTTCTGATCTCGTGATCTCACATTTGTAGGTACTACCGATATCATTCCTTATGAGTTCCGTAGAAGTGACGGACGGAAACTCTATCTTATCGACACACCAGGATTCGATGATACCAACACAGACTACGCAGGGGTGTTTAAGAAGATTGCATCTTTCCTCTGCACACTATGTGATCTCTATGGCAGTGGACTTACCATTGGCGGAATGATTTATGCTCACCGAATCACTGATGTGCGAATGTCAGGATCTTCAGTCAAGAGCTTACGAATTTTCGAAAAGATTTGTGGCGAGCATTGCTTCAAGCATGTCACCGTCGTTACAACCATGTGGGATTTGATCAAGACTCAGGAAGCAATCGACGCAGCAACGGTACGCGAAAACACGTTGAAAGAACGGGAAGAGTTTTTTGGCACATTGATAAGATCTGATGCTCGTATGGAGAGGCACTACGGCGAAGACAGCGCGCGACAAATCGTCGAAATGCTTGCTGACAGGCAAAGACATTTTTCTCTACAACTACAGCAAGAGATGAAACAAAGCAGAACGATGACTCTGGAGAAAACAACGGCAGGAAAGTACTTGGAAGGCGAGCTGGATAATATGCGGAGAAGATATGAGATGCAAAAGAAAGAATTAGAGGACAGTGTGGAGTCTTGTGATGACGATGATTTCAGGAGCGAAATTTCAGAAGAGATAAAGGACTGCACAGCCACGATGAATCGACTTAAAGCTGATCAAGGAAGTCTCTCCGTGACACTCGAAGATATGCAAAACGAGCAAAAAGCATGGTATACTAGAAAACATGACGATATGCTTCGGGATAAGATGTTGGAGGAACAGTCTATTCGCATGACCTATGAGCTTCAGCAAAAAGTTCTCAAATTGGAAAAGGAAAAGAGGCGACGACTGGAGAAGGAAATTGCACAAAATGAAAAGATGGAGGAGTTGGAGGAGCGTAACAAAAGACTTGAGGCAGCCCAGAAAGAACTTGAGGATCAACAAGCCTTGCGAGAAAGGGTGAAGAAAAAGAGAAGTCACCAGTTTGATTGGGTAGCAAGGATGCTCGCATTTCTCGCATCACCTGAAAAAGATCTGAGAGAGCCAGTACCTGTAGCGCGCCGTGCGGACTCAATGCCCTTGGAGGCGAAAATAACGAAAAAGTCACCGACAAAGCTGACAAGGGGACAAAGTCAATCCAGATATGGCCAAAACGGGAAAGGGACCACCAAATATACGACCCATGTTGATGAGCAAGACACAATGACGTATTACGTATCTCCAAATTCTCAAACACAATATTGTCAAGGATACGATCACGTTTACCAGCCGGGATACGATGCAGTTGGGATTGGGAATTCAAATCGTCCCAGTCATCCACAACACAAATATCTTCCAGTTTATACGCCAACAACCCCGGGCTATGCAACTGGTCAAGTTCAATCAATACCTGGGCAGGTCAGTATCGATCCTTATGGATTGAAACGCACTGTACCTCCACCTACAGGTTCTCTCCCGCGAAGATATGATGATGCCGTACACACATCCATACGGCAGCCACCACTTCAATCTGGCTCATATCATGACAACCAGTATGATGAACTGACCTCGCGCGGTCGCAATCAGGCGAGATAGACAAAAATTTGACGACTAGTCTCTTTTCAATCATTTAACATACTCAGTTTCAAGTGCCGATCCTATATATGATTTCAAGCTCATTATTAGAAGTGCCTTCCACTGTTCTTCATAGAACGCGGTGATATGTATACCACAAGGCCCGATACATCTTGCCTCTGCTCTTCGTTGCATTGCTCGAGCAGGCCTACATACATCAATGGAAGAACGCTTCGTGGAGTGGCATTATGTACATGATTGGCTATAAGCTGCGGGAAGGGTTTCCAATTTAGTCGGTTTGCAGCGCAGCGAGGTGCATGCACTGCCCCACTTGGGGCAATGCACATTACACGAACCGCATCATCTGCGGATGAGCTGGCGCCTGCCGGTCAGCTCCTTCAGAATGGCTGCCTGGTAGGAACACATATGGTGGAGTGGTCGTGAAGCTGGTTCGTCACCGTTCAGTTGTGCAAATAATTCCATCTCTACTTAGTGAGCCCATCCAATTACTAACACCGTGGCTCGCATACGCAAGCGGACAGCACAGCCCGGCTTTCAGAGGTGCACTGCTGGTCATGGCGCTTTGCTATGGCATGCATGCATCGTGTATGCACTTGCAGTCCCAGCCCGCATAGCCCTGGCCATGCATTGTTGCCTTCTCATCTTGCCTTGCAAGGCCGACTTGACTCTCGCACCTACTTCACAAGGCTAAATTTATACGGCAACTTCTCACTACCTTGAACCATTTTCTTCTATGGACACTCTTGATTGTATCGCGCAAACATGACAGCAGACAGAGGAGACAGGGTAGACAGCCCTCATCGTGAGGAACCGAATCTCCCGAATCTCAAGTGCGACCTTGCGCCCCTCATTCGACTGCATACTGACTGTGTCTTAAGGCCTGATGATATTATCATCGCTGTTATGGGTATCACTGGCTGCGGCAAAACAACGTTTGTCAATCTATTTGCAGAAACGCCGCTCGAGGTCGGTCATGGATTGGACTCATGTAAGAGACGTGGTCTTCATTTCAATCATCACTCTAAACGTCTCCAGGCACAGTATCAGTACAAGTGGCAACTTGCAAAGCCGAAGACGGTACAAAGATTTACCTTGTTGATACTCCAGGATTCGACGATACATATCGCTCCGATTCCGAGATTTTAAGAGAGGTCGCACTTTGGCTTAACAAAGCCCATGTGTCGAATGTAAAGCTCGCGGGTATCATATTCCTTCAGAGAATTTCAGACTTTCGGGTCGGCGGCAGCGGCATCAAGAACATCAAGATGTTCCAGAAACTATGCGGAGAAGAGACCCTCGGGAGCGTAGTCTTGGCTACGACGATGTGGGAACAAGCCGGCGAAAATGCTGGGAAAGAGAGGGAAAAGCAATTGAAAAGGGAGCCGCAGCTGTGGAAGAAGATGATAGATCATGGCAGTAAGGTTTATCGCCACGACAACGGAAAGGCCTCGGCGACCAAGATCATCAACTACTTAATCTCCAGAAAGCGACCAGTCACACTCGACATCCAACGCGAAATGGTTGACGAAGCAAAAGACCTCGTTGACACAGGCGCAGGAAGCGAGCTAGCTTCAACGGTGGAACTTTTGATTAAGAACTACGAAAAAAAATTGAAAGATCTTGAGAAAGAACTACGACAGGCGCGAGAACAGCATAACAAGGAGGATCGGGAAATTCTAGAACAAGCCAGAAAAGAATACCAAGACGGTCTCGCAAAGCAGCGACAAGAAATGGTCAACCTGAGAATCAGCTCAGAGCAATTGATTGAGGATGCGAGAAAACGCTTCGAGGAGCAGGAACAGAGGCAGAGGGAGAACATGAAACTTCTACAGGAAGCTCACACTAAGGACCTCGAGAAACAACGGATATTGGTGCAAAAACAGTTCAGGGAGAGATATTTGCGGGATATGTCGAATGCAGCATGTGTGATAATGTAGAAACGAGTGGAGAAATCAAGTGTAACCATTTTGTTGACTTTGTTGCTTCATGGAAAGTTGACAGTGACCCAGATCCTGCTCCTCGGTTGCTGTTTCTAGCCTTAGGTTAAGTGTGACGTTATTGGAGCATGATCGGAATGTGACAATACGGGGCCTAGTAGTGAGTGAGAATGACAAGTTGAATAGCACGACAATTATCGCTAAACTCGTATTCAATTGGTGCAGGCACGTTTGCAAGTAGCCTTGAGGAGCTTAATTATGTATGTTAATGGGCGTGATAGCAGGAATGCGAGTCGACGATTTCTTGGTAAGAGAAAACATCGTATCCCGAACTTCAACATTCCTATAATCGCACATGGCGCAATATCATCAGGTACATATGGGACAGAACGAGCGGACGAATTTAGGTGGAAACGGCTGATTTGCTTGGCAAGTGACGTCGCATACGCCTTTGGTACGTACGATCGCGCAAGACTACGTGGGGCAAAGCGGGGAGTTTGCCATTGAGACGGCCGAGGTAGATTGGGTATGGAATACCAAAGATGCCTATAAACTTTGTACAGCCCGAAAAACCTCTCGATCATTACAAACATCATGACAGACTCACCTAAGCGTGTCGGATTGATTGGTCTTTCAGCCAAAGGGTGTGTGTTAAGTATTGAAAGAAAGATCTGACGCATGAAACGGCTAACATAATATGTAGCTCCTGGGCATCTCGATCCCACCTTCCTTACTTCCAAAAAACCTCCAAATACAAGATCACAGCCCTTCAAAACAGTTCGCAATCCTCTGCTGAAGCAGCAGCCAAGGAGTACTCTTTGGATGGCGTCTCGACACATGATAGCCCGACTTCGATTGCTCAAGATCCGAATGTCGACATTGTAGCTGTCAGCGTCAATGTACCTCAGCACTACGATCTTATCCGACCAGCACTTGAAGCAGGCAAAGATGTATTTTCCGAATGGCCGCTCGCTCGAAACGCTACGGAAGCTGAAGAGCTAGTCCATTTGGCGAATGAGAAGGGAGTAAAGACCTTGGTCGGACTACAAGCGCGTCAAAGCCCGTCTATCATCAAGGCAAAGGAAGTTGTTGGCTCAGGAAAGCTGGGAAAGATCCTTGGAACTACAATGTTCGGTCATGTAAGTACATCCAATCCTCAAGCAGTGCTCATTCCTAATAATATACCAGGGCCTATTATTTGGAGGCGTAGTTCCAGAAAGCTTAGTTTATGCGCTGCCAATTGAAGCAGGAGCTAACATATTGACTATACCTTTTGGTCATGCTGTCGACGCACTGTGCTATGTCTTGGATAGTGAGCTACAGGGCATTGTCGCTACCCTGTCCAACAACTACCCCGAGATCGATCTTGTTGATGGAAATGGCAAGCCGGTTGAAAAGCGCAAAAAGACAGCACATGATTTTGTCAGCATTACGGCGTCGCTCATCAATGGCGGCGGCAATGTCGCCGTGACATATGCCCCAGGCGTATCCCGCTCTGGACATAACTTCTACTGGCAAATTGTCGGTTCGGAGGGTACTCTGGTCCTCGAAGGGGGCATCAACGGCCATATTCAGATGTTCCAGCCATCTGTTAAACTTGCAGTCGGTGAGGGGGAGCTAAAGGAAGTCGAAGTCGAAAAGGCAAGTGACTTTTCATTCGGCGTGGGGAAAGCCTGGGACGCGTGGGCCGGCACTAGGACGGAGAACGGATACAGTGTCACAACCTGGGAGGAAGCCCTCGTGAGGCATAAGATGATTGAAGCCATCTATCGCAGCGCTGACAAGGGTACGCGTGAGAACTATGTTTAAGGTTCACTGATGTCTCTGGTCAACGCTAGCGCAGGAATCAACGCACCTCGGCTGTGGCGCACAGCGAATGCCTCTCCTTCTTGGTCGGACCGGGACCTCCCATCAACACAAAATCATCGTGAAACAGTTCTTCTAGCTTCCTGGCTGCGGTCTTCTACTCTCTAGGGTATAACATACCTAAGTTCATTAGATCCACAATTGTTCTGGCCAATTCAGTGATCATTGCTGTTAGCATTCGCCAAGCTCTCTATTAGCCCGCTCACAAGCATTTTGTTACGTTATAGTTACCGACCCATCATCATTTTTCAAGTCAAGCGCCTCATGAGGTATGATGTCACACAACAAGTCATTTTGCACTTCAATGCAAAACATGAATGATCCGCTTCTTGTGATGGCAAAAATCACGTTGGCGCTATTACACATCTGAAAATCCACCTGGACCCATTCTTGACTATTACATGTAAACTACACGTTCTGGACCACTTTATAAACTCTTGATAATCTAATCAATCTCTCGGCATCCAAAAGCTTGTTCATCTTAGAGTTGCGTTAGAACCTGGGTTGTCGAGTCATTGGCACTCCATCAATCATCATAACAATCTTACTTGAGTAAGCGTACCAATACTCTTCCTCCTTTGCTCTCTTCGTAGTAAATTCTATGGTCTAGAGAAATACTGACAGATGCAGTTTTGAGTAGCTTCTGTTGTAATCATTGCCACTTTAACCAAGACCTACATCTTGTAGCCGCCCAGAATCTCCAACGACTCGGAGAAAGGAAGCTGCCATATTTGGAGTTATTCAAGAAGTCGCCACCTATATTACATCTATGATGCAATCCTCACCAACTCCCCCACGCTCTTCAGCTAGCATATCCTCCCACGACGTACGCGAGAAACCACCATCTCCAACCTCGTCACTTAACCCAACCAAAGAAGCCAACACAGACTCACCCCCGGACTACCTTACCTGGACCTCCCCCTCCGACCCCTCCAACCCCTTCAACTTCCCCTTGGGCAAAAAATGGCGCACAACCCTCCTCGCATGCAGCATGACCTTCCTTGTCCAAGTCTCGGGCACAATGCTCATATCAGCCGCACCGCAAATCAACTCGAGCTTCAGCATCAGCGACGAAGCATTCCCGCACTCGTACTGGCCGGTGCTAAGTTGGAACCTTGGAGGCGCAGCAGCGCCGTTGCTGGGTCTCCCTTTGATGGAGAATTTCGGCGTGAGATGGAGTTATCTGATCATCTACGCCGTTATGATTGTCTTTATCGTTCCGCAGGCTGTAGCACGGAATTTTGCTACGTTGATCGTTACGAGGATCATCACGGGGTCGTGTGCGGGTGTGCTGGCGAATATCACGTCGGGGATCGTAAGCGATATCTGGCGACCGGGGCGGGTGCATAGTTTCTGTACTTCGTTGTATATATTTGCGCTACTGGCCGGGTTGAATATGGGGCCTGTGTTTGGGAGTCTGGTGGTAAGATATACGACTTGGCGATGGTAAGGTGATGGTTACGACACTGTGCTGGTGGACACTGATGAGTTCGATAGGATCTTCCTGAGCCAAATCATTTTTTACGCCTCCTTGATACCAGTGCTGTTCTTGCTACTGCCAGAAGTCCGGCCAGATGTCATTCTAACGCGACGTGCCCGTCACATACGTGCCAGCACGGGAAAGCAAGTCTATACTGCAGCTGAAAGGCAACAGACAAGTTTCCGCGACATTCTTAAGGAGACACTTGTCCGACCCTCGCGTATGCTCTGTACGGAAGGCGTAGTGCTTTCGTTCGGCTTGTGGAGCGCATTCTGCATAGGAACCGCCTTCATGTTCACACAGTCTATAGTTCAAGTCTTCTCTGAACTCTATGGTTGGACCTTCTTTGGAACAGGACTAGTCCAGAGCGCTGTAGTCATTGGAGAGCTAATAGGGCTTTTCGCATCACTGGTGCAAGACCGACTCTATTTCGCATCTGCCAAACGAAACATGGAAAACCCCGGTAAACCGATGCCGGAAGCTCGTCTCTATTTGAGTGTTCCCGCGTCCTTGGTCGGCTTGAGCGGAGGTCTCTTCTATTTTGCCTGGACATCTTATTCCTCCATACCGTGGATTATCCCTGGCATATCACTTGCTTTTGTGGGCTTTGGCATGTTTTGCAGTACGGCCGCAGTGACGTCGTACGTCGTTGATGCCTATGCAAAGTACGCAGCCAGTGCAATTGCCGGCATTGCTTTTCTCGAGAACACGATGGCGGCGTTCTTACCACTTACAACTCAGGATTTGTATCGTGCACTCGGTTTCCAGTGGGCTAGCAGTTTACTAAGCTTTGTGGCGCTGGCACTGAGTTGCATTCCGTTGGTTTTGCTGAGATATGGGAGGAGTATACGTGCGAGGAGCCCGTTCATGAACCAGGCGGGTTATGAGAATTAGATGCAATGATAGCTTTGTAAATTTTGCACATATACTATCGAGTAATTTCACATCCTTTGAAACAATGATCAGCTTAGATGTCACCGCTAATTCTACGTTTATATCAAATCGAAATAGTAAGCTCTAACAGACACACACGAATGAAAAAGTCTTCAAGATAACGATTACACTTTGATTCCATGTAAAAGCCTGAAGAAAAATATGCAGCTATCTCTGCATAAGGACCCCACGAACACGCTATGGAATGCACATGTACTTGTACTTTGCCTCCGCTTCTACTCCTTCCCAACCCCAGATCCTTTCCTCCACACAAAGAACACACAGCCCCAGGTGATCTCACCCGCTCAAACATCAATCTATAATAGATGCGAATGCATGTGTATGTTTGTGATGATGATAGAAAATAAAAACAGATGAAAGAAAAGGGGTTTCTACACAGCAGCATAACCACCTCTGCTACCACTACCCTGCACCGTATCCAGTACCTTTCTCGCGAAATCCTTCGCAACATAGGGGATGTCGCGGATCGCATCACCGTGGGGTAGCGCGTCCCAGCCACGAGCACCGTAGCGGTTGTAGTTCAGCCAGGAGCCAAAGATGAGGTATGCGGCGATTGCGAGGAAAATGCTATTTTTCAATATGTGGTTAGTTCCTTGAATTTGAGATGGGTAAACAAGAAGAAAAGACGAGGGTACACGTACATGATGAAGAACCAGCCAAAGAAGCCCCAGTGGGAATCGCTGTCGGGCTCAGGCGCATCTGCACAGGCGTATTTGGTCCGCCACTCCAAGCGTAGTGTGCGGACCTTCTTATCCTTGGTATCAGGCTCCACTTCATATCCACAGAAGCGAAGACTGGCGTCGCTGTCTTCGCATTTACCTTTATTTTCCTCCCTTGCCTTGAGTTTGCCTTCTTTCTTGTCATCCTTCTTGTCATCCTTTTTGTCGTCGTCCTTCTTATCATCCTTCTTATCGCCGTCCTTTTCGTCCTTGTCGCCGTCCTCGTGTGGGCTGTTGTCCACCTCATTACCCTCGGATCCGGACCTCTCCTTGTCACACACAAACTCGATAATAGCCCGTTGATCCATGCCTTCCTTCTTGTCATCAAATGGGAATCGGCCGCCGTGTAGAGTCGCTCGGACACCCTCTCGCGCATCAGAGTTGCTCTTGGAATGGCCTAGGTTCTCAAACTTGGCGTCGATTGTTTTGCCGTTCTGCATTGGGTAGGTACCTGCGATATCGATGGGCGTGATGCTTGTACTGTTCTCCTTGCTAAGATCAACCATTTCTCTAATGGCGCATACCCTTGCGCCGTGGTGGCACTCGGTATCGAGTGAGCCGCCCTTGTGCCATTTGAGGACATTGCAGATGTCAAGAGTGAAGTTGTACTTGAACTTGAGCTCCTTTTCCAGGTCGGACTCTTCCCAGTGTACCGTATGGGGGCCACCTAGCTCTTTGAAGTTGAAGTGTGCGCCATCAGCGAGGATGTCATTGCACTCGAAGGCCCATGCTGTTTGGGGGAGGAGCGAGGTGGCAGCGAGGAGGGAGAGTAGTGAGGCGCGGGACCGTGAGGGTGCCATGACGGCTGTGATGATGTGATGCAGGCGTGATACCGGATGGAGAGACAGGCGACGGCGCGATCTTTCGATGCCCAATACGACGGTAGTACGGGGTTACGAGGTCAGGGAGGCAGGCAGCGAGCTGTCAACCTGTCTGCAGAGGCCTTATCGATAGGTCGATCAGCGGATAAGCCGGGTCAGAGGCTTAAAAAAAGCGTGGTTCGAGAAGGCTAGTAGCGATACAGGGGGATTTGCGCGAGACGGTAGGGTCGCGTTGTCGCGTGGGCCATGTGAGGAAAGTTGGCGCGGATGACGATGTTCAACGGCCGTTGCTTAGTCAGACGATCGGAGTTCTCGTCTCCTCTGCGCCGATCGACTGCAACATCAACATCAGACCGTCACCTTCTCAGCCACAGGTTAGCGACACCGACAACAACAAGGACAGCAATGGCGTCTGGTCAAAGCACATATGCGCCGAATGTTTTGGGCGGGGAACGTGCAGTAACGTTGCATCCTTATCGGATCGCCTCATGGCAGATGATAGCTTGCACGTGACGGGCAAGCAATTGGCACGAGACTTTGACCTTCACCATCAGGGATAGTGTCCTCTCGGCACGGTATTGGCAGATCAAACCCAAGTATCACTGTCCAGCCTATAAAGGCAATAGCCACATCGATTTTCAAGTATTGGTGGCTGCTAGCGCCCCTGTCTGGAGCCTGCGCGGAGTATTTCCCTTGGAATACGAGCGCATGGTGCTAAAAATAGCCCATCATGTCGAGAAAAGGCTAGGGTACAGATGGTACATTTTTCATGACTTGCAAGACTACCCAGTATACACCCGGCTCGACTGGCTCAACCGCGAAGCAAGCACCTACATTCTGAAACACGTAGCAACGTAGTAATGGATATGTGCGGAAATTTTCTTAATATTGACATACGAGAAAAGAGTGACTAGTCTTCCTATACGACCGTTGCATCAGGCTCTATCCATGTTAGATGTAGCTTGTACACTAAAAACACCAGGCTAGTGGCCTGATTGAGCAGGGCACACGGCATGAAAACAAGATATTGAACAAGGACTGGAAAAATGACCAAACGCCAGCAATGCAAAGTCTAAACCCAAATAAGAAATTGATGATATCCCGCGCATCATGCTAAGCCAAAGGATCGTGGTGACGTGGAAGTAAGAAACTCAAAGAAAAAGTGGACAAAAAACACCGGGAATGCAGGAAATACAGGCCAGGACGGAAATGGTGCTATCGAGAGATATTGCTGGCTGGAAAGATGCAAGAAAGGACGCAAGAACAGGGGGAGGGAAGTATATCCCGAGTTGTGGTGAATACAAAGTGCCGAATGCATACAAAGAACGAAATTCCAAGAAATTCCAAGAAATTGAACGGACAAATGCTATTGATGGAGTGGAAGGAGGAATTGCGCCGTGAACCGCTCATGTCTGCCGAATCATGAGAAATGGGAAAAAAGAAAAGAAAATCCCAAATGCAACCTGAGCAATGCGACGAGGAAAGAAAACTCGTGTGAAGCGCTTCATTTTCCTTGGCCTCCTTGCTGCTGACCTCCCCGGGGTTGGGCAGGCATTGGGTACGGGAAAGGAGCATAGGGGAGTTGATAGCCCTGGCCAGATCCAGAGTTGCTGCCAGCAGTGGAGGTACCAGAAGGAGAAGAGGCGGAAGAAGACATTGTGATTGTATTGTTGTTGCTAGTTGTTTCGATGGGCTGAGAATGAGATCTTTGCAGACGGTCAGACGGTCTGGAAGAGCTTTGTTGGCCGAGAGATTGCGAAGAAGTTAGAGGCCCTGTTGATTGGTGACGAACAAGTAGGGAGCGGCTTAGTCGAGGAGTAGACTCGGGTGAAGGTGTGTGTGGATTGGTGATAACAATCACTGGCGTGGAGACAGTTGGTTCAGCGGTAGATTGAGGGGTTTCCGTAAAGTCTTGAGGAGTAGAAGAGCCTTGGAAAGGGCTGGTTTCAGATGGATCTTTGATATCGGTAGGCTTTCTGGAGTTTGATGCGCTTGGAGTCTCGGAGGGGCTATCACTCATATAATGGAAAGTTGTAGATGGTTGATGACTGCCCTACTCGAGAAGGTGGTTCTGCTGTTTTTTTGGTGTTGTTTGGAAGATGGTAAGAGTAAGAGTGTGGTGATGGCTGAATGTGATTGTTGTGTTGGGTGATGATATCTTGAGTTGACAGTGGTCTAGTCCTTATATCCTCAACGACGACGACACGAGCCCCCAATCTCGATCGCATTGAAGTCCGGTTTCAAGATCACTAAGAATCGGTAACAGAGAGAGTGAAGCCTGAATAGAGAAGATGTCCTAAGCCGGCCGAATATCACATCACTCAAGCAAGTTGTCCACTGCACGTCTTGTGAGGTCCAAGCGTCCGTTTGTCCGAATAGTAACGTTCAATACTATTGGACTATGTAACAGCCAATTTTGGTCTTGGGTCGTGAGCCGGGACCCGTAGTACTGGAAGAGGTAACACTGGTAGCGGAGCCGGTGGATGGGGTAGGAGCGTGTGCGGATGCCTTTTTTAGAAGTGTGGCGTCGGGACCACTCTCTTCTCCAAGTATTCGGAATGCACGGTCGGCAGAGTGCAGCGGGATGCTGTAGGGCTGCTGGTGTGTCAGATGCTTATTTCGAGCCGCACGCACGAGACTTGGTGTATGCCGTCAGAGCTGCAGGCCAAGTGACAGAGTATACCGGTTCAAGTCTGGCTGTGGGTGGATGGTGATGGTGATGGCTATGGGATATAGGATATGGATAATGGGCAACCGCTTCGACGGCTGAAGTGTTTGATCATCGCTTCACGGCCCAACACGAAACCAATACATATACATGGCGAGGTTCCATTCTGGCGTCTTCTCGCATTCGGCGGTTCTTGACGGAAGTCTGCTTTGTCGTCCTTGTGATAAGCATGCCAAATAGCCAGAGGCAGCGGGTCGCTGGTTCAAGACTAGCAGGTGCGCAGAGAAAAGGCGACTAAAAGGTTATTGTGCGACTCTGTCATGGCAGGTGTGGCGCGCGTGCCGTGTAGTGAACGCTACCTCTTGTCGGTATGGCCGATCCAGGTATCTGGATAAGCCAGAGTATTTTTTGGGCGCAATTGACAGTCGATTGGTCCGCCGAGGGCGGTTCCATTATGATTTCGTACCGGCCGGAAGCTCGAGTCAAACGCACGGGCGAATAAGACAGTTAGGTGGTTAAAGGGTCGCTAATATTAGCTGTCTTAACACGAGGTGTAGGTAGTTGCCGGGCCAGGGGGGGTTACTCAGCTCGCGTCAAAATTCCGCCGTCCAGCCAGCTGCACGCCGTCATGCGGGACTTTTCCTCCCGATCTGTCTGCCATGAAGTCATCTCTGCCGCCTGCAAGCACATGTGCACAACTTGTGAGATGCACCAGACACCTGGTGATGATGCTGCAGTCGGGTGTTTTGTCAGCAGTCGTGTTGCACTCGCTTGCGGATTAGTAGGGTACTACGCAGTACGTGGTAGTGAGGAGCCCAGAGACCAGGGATAACCGACCGCCAACCACCTTTTCTTCTAGAAGTTTGCCCGAACCGGAGCCTGGCGGCGCAATCTGATGTCAAGGGAGTCATACCTCATCGCCTTTGCAGTCCGCACATGGGGTTGCAATAAGCCTCCAAGTCTGCCTGTGACTATGCATCTGGCGGTCAAGAGTCTCGGTCTTCAAGAGGCATACCCATACCCATACCCATACCACAAGCTACGTATGCTTGGGAGTTTACTAGGCGCGGCGGGCCTTAGCTACGCAGTGGAAACAGCGCATGGCACGATGCCCATTGTGAGAAACCCATGATTTCTCCATGGTAATGGTTTGATTCAGATGATGAACGACTCGGCCCAAAGCATCTAGGCTCGGCTCGGTGGGTACCTTGCCGAGACGCACATGGGTCCAACGGGTCCGGGCATCCACAACAGCCCTTAATTAGCCTTGCATGGCCATAAAAAGGGGTAATTAATGCACTTTGCCGGCCAAAAACATGCTGACACAACCTTGTCAAGCAATCAGGTGCAGCGCGTCATTCCCATTCCTAACACGCTTTGGCTTACTAAAGACGTCCAACCGATTATCTCATCACTTCGTGCCTTAGCAAAAGCCACAACAGGAGCGCGATAGTGAGTCTTTGCAAATACATTGCAAAGATATTGCAAATACTTACATTAGCATTATCGGAAAGGCGCTTGTCGCATACTCGAGACATTGGGAGGTCGGGGCGCCAGCAGTACATACATACATAAAGATAATGAAGGAGATGTAGACTAGCGATCCTCTACTACTACTACTATTACTACCATCACTTGTCTCTGAGTAGCTCAGACGCTCGAATAGATATATACAACAATCTTATCTGATTGCATACACATCATCTACAAACATGGCCGCTACCCATCGTGCTGCCCTCCTTAGCAGCCCCGGCAAGCCTCTAGAAATAACAGATGCAGACACCCTACACGCTGGTCTAGGCGAAGTCCTAATCCGAAACCATGCCGTTGCCCTTCAGCCTCTCGATGCCAAGATACTGATTGCAGGATACGGCCCCGCCGCTCACCTCGCATACCCCGCGGTTCTTGGTACTAGCGGCGCGGGCATCATTGAAGCGGTAGGCGAGCAAGTCCAAGGGCTGGCCGTAGGTGATAGGGTAGTCTTTGACACCAAAGCGTATGTTGATACCAACAACAACCAAAGGACGGGTGCCTGGCAGCAGCTGGTCGCATGCGATGCCAAAACTGTAGCAAAGGTATGTGTGCTGTTCAAGGCTAAAGTTCGCAACATCGGGATACTTGGCTGATATGTAAGCAGATTGGCGACGTTGCTTTCGAGCAAGCTGTATTGGTTGATTTCCCATTGCAAACAGCGGCTGCTGCCTTGCACGTCTTCCTTGGCATGGGAAAGCCCGGTAGTGGAGCAAAAGACGGAAAGGTACTGATTTGGGGTGCTGGAGGCGCGGTTGGTTCGTATGCAGTCCAATTTGCCAAACAAGTAGGTCACCTACTACCCCACGCCTTAGACGTCAGACTGACTAGTACAAGGCCGGGTATACAGTAGTCGTCACAGCGTCGCCACGGGATGTTGAGCGCCAGATGAAACTAGGGGCCAGCGAGGTGGTCAACTACAAAGACACTGATGCAGTCGCCAAGCTACGCAGTCTAGGGCAGTACAAGTACCTCTTCACTGCAAGCGGTGATGCAGCCTCCCAAAGCGCACTGGCATCGCTTTTGGAGTCTACAGGAGGAAGTTTCGCCAGTGTTCTACCCAGCGCCGTTGAGTTGCCTTCGAAAGTGAGCCTCATATACGCGGCCTTCTCGCAAGCTGCGCAAAAGGAGGAATACTCGGAATGGCGCGACTGGTGGTACCAACAGTACCTTCCCAAAGTGCTTTCAGGAGGTCTGGTGGAGCCTGTGAGATTTACCAAGGTTCAAGGTGGACTGTCAGCGCTGCAGCAGGCGAGCCAGGATGTGTTTGACAGTAAGGCCAAAGGGAAGCTCGTCATCGACCCCCAAGAGTAGCAAATGGTGAAATAACTTTACCCTCATCATCACGTGTGCCTAGACGTCAGTGGCATACTCTACTTGTGCAGGCCCTACATGAAGCCGGTGTGCAAGGCGTCAGCATGGTCCAAGCGGGTAGCATGACGACCATGATGACGACGGGGATTAAAAAGCAATGTGCCTTTTGTGCAACCTCTCGTCCGTTGGCAGTCCGGTGAGAACACTCTCATCGGAGATGGTGGTATTTGTAGCGGTGAAAGAAGAGTGTTGACAGTACAATCGTGTGGCAGGTACTCTATGTTCCTGCACACGTGTGTACTTGCATGCGTAAAAGGTGCATAGCTACATAGCTAGCATCGTCATCGCGTTGCGCGTAAACGCCAAATCGCGTGCGTACTGCCTTTACGCCAATGACATCACCCATGCCATTCCCCTTTGATCACAAAGACTGACGTTTACTAAAAGTTTGCCATACACCCTTGCCTTGAGGTTGCTTTGAGGTAGCTTTGAGATAGCTTGGAAATAGCTTTGTCTATTCCCGCCACCCCCAGTATATCCATCTAGAGTTTCATGCAAGATCTGAAATCTGAGATCTAAGATCGTGCGCCGCAAAGCGGGTCCCGCTAGGGGAGACGGCTGGGCGACGGGGTCAGGGACAAGATGGGATTCCGTCTTGCCCATGCATCAGTGGATGGGTACCTGAAACTTCTCCATATGCGCCATGTGCGTGCTAGTCGCTCAGTCGCACGACATTGGCTGCAGTACGCCTATGGGGCTTGTGTCCCTGGGTTGTCGGAACGATCATCTGGGGGTCATGATGTCTTCATAAAATGCAAGGGGCTAGTCCCATCGCATCGTGTACCTGACTCTAGACTCCACGGACGGTGCGGTGAACATGTACATCTGAGATCTCATTGTTTGATGTGCAGCAGTCCGATCGTTGACGTAGGAGTATCCAGGCCATGTTGCAGATCGTGCGATGGTGACGATGGCGACGTTGCGAGAATGAAGCCACGGTGAATATCAGTCTTTTGGACAGGTATAAGAAGACCCGAATTCGTCGTCTTTCCTTTCACCATCAACTCATCAACTCATCCATCTTCACAGAAAGTATCCAACCAACACTACCTTTCAAACACCACCAACAACCATCAATATGTCTGCCAACCCCGGAAACGTCATTGGAGGCCACAAGGCCAACATCAACAACCCCAGTTGGTTTCCCTTCACTTCTCTTTCACGCTCTTGCTGACTTGTGCTAGACACTTCTGAGGAAGCCAAGCAGCACTCCAAGGAGGTCCTCCAGGATCTCGAGAATGGCGGTGAAATCACCTCCAAGTCCACCAGCGACCAGGACAAGAACCCCAACAACGTCGCTGGTGGCCTCAAGGCTACTTTGAAAAACCCCAACGTCTCAGACGAAGCTAAGCAGAGCGCCGAGGAGAGGCTCGGACAGTTGTAAGCCGTTCGTGGCTATGCAATATAAGGGCTTGATGCCTGTGGGTGGATCGATGAGGAGGGAAGGCATTGAGCCAAGCCGGTAAATATGAGTGTTTTAGCACCATCAATGACAATAATGCTCTACACATCGCGTCTTCAACCTTGACTATGCCTGTGATTCGGCCTTGAGCGCTGTTAGCGGCAGCCACTGGCGACATTATGATTCGCACTTACCCACAGGCCATCCTGTCAACTGTTTTACAGCATTCCTGCGTTTACAGTCGTCGATGCCTTAGTTCTTCTGCTTCAGAAGCCCCATGATGACTTCCACCACCCTTCTAAACCCTTCCATTTCTTCTTCCACTGTCCCGCCCATGCCTGCACTCGCAAAGCTCGATGAATTCCCCACGTATACGGGCTTTCCTGTCTTACGCGCAAGGACTTTGGATAATCGTGTTGTGAAATCTAGCGTCGCACCGTGGGTGAAGAGGGGCGTGCTCAGCGTCTCGGCAGGTGTGACTTTCTGTGTGTGATGATTTAGCATTTGCGTGTAGCAAGCATATTAGGACGTGTAAGGAGAGGAATTGAAGACGTACATTTGGCATGGCGTATACAAGGGAGCCCATGGCAGCAGAAGACGCCGATTCGGCTGTCGAAGTGGTGAGGAAGACGACGAGATTGGGGCCATTGTTTGTGAATTGCAGGTGGATATTTGTGGCAGGTGCTTTGGGTAGAGGAAAAGACACTTGTATGGGCGCATGCGACGCGCCAGTTTGGGAGGTTGAGGTAGCCATGGCGCGTCGTAGAAAGTGAGGTTGCAGAGACGTGCTGGGGCTTTGTATGTGGTGGGTGGGAAAGTGGCAGGTGGGGTAGTACCACTGTTAACTAGTACGTACTTGGTGGCGTCACATACCCTCCAGCAAGAGATTCCCCCGACCGAACCGGCGACTTCTCAGATATCCTCCGCGCGACGAATTTCCTCCGTTGGTAATGAGATCATAGAAAATACCGATATCCCGGATCTCTCCGTCTCAATTGTCAAAACGTGCAATTTGCAAGTGTGGAGATTCGAGTGCACGTGGGGTTACATATCATTAACATAGAGACAAAACCTCTGCACCAAATATACTCACCTATATAGCATTTTGGACGGTAGATAGACTACAACAAAGACGATGGAAGAAGAGGGTTTGCACGACACCTACGATCCCACATCTGATCCCGAAGAACAGAAACTCATCATCTCAGTCCTGGACTCATTCCGGTACATATCATTCGCATCCCAGCGTGTCAATCTTTGACTTAACTTGCACAGTTCCACTAACACATGCAATCCAGCTCGTACCGCCGCCACGCGCACTACAATGCTACTCACACACGGCGCCAAGCCTTTTACTCCCTCCCCTCCGCCCACTGGACCCTACTCTCGCAGCCCCCCTTCTCTCTCCTTGCTACCCTCTCCGCTGTAGATGATCTAATCGACCAGAACGCCAACCTAGCTGAAGCTATCTTTGCTGCGGGGTTCAAGTCTTTCCTGGCACCCACTTTAGACAGCGAATGGGTTGCTTCCATTGTGCCCGAAAAGTATGCGCGCGATGAGTTCAAAGTGTTCGATATCGTGCTAGACGCGCTTATAGCAGATGGCCGGGGAAGCAAAGCGGGCCAAAATGACCTGGAGAAGGCACGGAGTTGCGTAAATCAATTCTACCGCGAATGGAGTGAGCAAGGGCTAGAGGAAAGGAAAGCGTGCTTTGACCCCGTTCTGTCAGCTCTGCAGGAGGAATTTACTGCACGCGTCAAAAACGTGGAGCCAGCGTCTGAACATGATCGCGGCGACTTCAGAGTCCTAGTCCCAGGCGTTGGACTCGGACGTCTCGTCTTCGACATTTGCCGCGCAGGATTCAGCGTCGAAGGCAACGAAATCTCATACCACATGCTCATGGCCAGCGCGCTTGTGCTCAACGAAACAAAGTATGCTCATCAGTTTTCCATTGCGCCCTGGGCACTTAGCAGCTCCAACCACGTCTCGCGGGCGGATCAGCTGCGCACGGTTGAGATTCCCGATGTGCATCCGGCAACAGTACTTGGGGAAGAGCCGGCGTCGCGAGTACCGGCTTCGGACCGCATGAGCATGTCCATGGGCGACTTTTGCGTCGTGTATGGTCGATCGGACTATTCGGGTATATTTGATGCAGTTACGACTGTCTTTTTTATCGATACTGCCCCGAATCTTATCCGGTATATTGAGGCTGTGGCTAACTGCCTGAAGCCAGGCGGTATATGGGTGAATCTCGGTCCTTTGCTGTGGCATCCGCCACCACCTCGCAGAGATCACGGCGAAGAGGATGAAGGAGAAGCGAGTAGGATAGAGGGCGATGCGGGAATAGGTGACCCGGGGTCGTTTGAACTCACGAATGATGAAGTGATTGCGCTGGTGCAGCACTTTGGCTTTAGTATAGAGAAACAGGAGACGGATACGATTCAAACAGGGTATATTACAAACACGCAGAGTATGCTGCAGAGTACCTATCGTCCTTCATTCTGGATAGCACGCAAAAAAAGATGAGGAATAGAAAAAGGCAAATCGTCGCTGTGTTGTTACGAGAAATAAACAAGAAGAAGATACGAAGTAAGAAGGACGTTGTACTACAAGAAATCCTCCTCCTCCGCAACAGCCCAACAAGCGGCACACTCCTTGTACAACTTTGCACAAAATTCTCTGACCGTCATGTCGTGCCCGAAGTCAGTTGCAACTGCATGTCCCCTTGCACAATACCACGTCCAGCCCTCGGCCTGCCTCTCGAGATAATTCTCGCCAGGCGACCACGTATCCAGCGAAAAGGTAATGCGACTCAGCTGGGGACCCCGGGGCACCGTATCCGACAAGTCTGTGCCGAGCAGCTTGAGCGACTGCGAGGCATGGTACCAGATCCACAGCGGGTTCCAGAGGGGGTCTCCGAGGGCTTTTGCGTCGAGCGTGAAGGACTGGATGGATGACATGTGTTTGAGCTGTTGGCGCATGCGGCGGCCGAGCGACCAGGACGACGACGTCATGGAGCGCGGGTCTGTGACGCCGAGCATGGCGGATGTGGTGATGAGGCTGAGGGAGCAGTGGCGGATCTTGGAGAGGGTGGCGGGCGAGATGTTCCAGACGTTTGTGGGTTCTTGCGTTGAGATGGCAGTGGTGGGGGGAGGAGGGGATGGAGACGAGGGCAGAGGGGTGACAGGGAGAGACTTGTAGGTTTCTGGGGAGACGGAAAAGTGGAAGGTGCAGCGCTTACATAGCATGTCCATGTATTCTGCGTGGACTTGCTTGTTCGCGAGGAAGATGCATTTGTTGTTGCGTAGGCGGGGGCGTGGTGCTGTTGATGAGATGCAGCGGCTCAGGTTCATCCACGATACTACGGAAGGTGCGTGGAAGGATGGACGTGGTGGCGCGGGGTATACGGGGTCATCGAGAAAGTATTCGTAGACCATGTCCCGTAACTCTCGGGGTAACTCTAGAAAGGGAAACGGCTTTTGTTCTCGTTGTTGCGTCTGGCGGCGGCGGATGGTGATTACGAAGACGACCAGGGGTAAGAGTATGGCCGTCAGTGTGACGAACCAGGTTTCCATTGTAGGCCTTGCAGCAGACACTGTAGATGCTGCCACTGTCCATGCAGACCAGGGTGAAGCCAAAGTTGCTAATGTCATCATGTTGGATACCAGGCTGACATCTGATAGTAAGCAAGTGGCCAAAGGGATCGAAAGTGGGTAAATGAAGCGTCACAGAGCAGCAGGCAATGTTTTGTGGGCCGAGAGGGCGAGAAACAACAACTTAGGAATGTGCAAAGGGAGAGGAGATGGAATGAGCGGCGGCAGGTGTGAGCTGAGGTTATGATGTTTGTGTCAATCTGTTGGTGCCTGGTGCCTGGTGCCTGGCGCATACGTGCCCAAAGGCCATGTGAAACGGGCAGGGAGCGCCGCAGATGGGGTCGGTACCAGCTACGTCCCAACTCGACAGCACAGCCACACTGCTATTTCCGCGCGCGAACTATTGCTTTTAATGTGCATACTACATGGCGAACCAGCAGAGTCATGGCACGACCGGTTCAGCCACATGTCCCCAATTAGCCTTGAATACGACAGGGGTAGGCGTGTATGCAAGCCGAAGGAGCCAGCGTGAGAAAGAGCACCTAGAGACGCAGTCATGCAAGAAATATAACATGTACACAGGCGGATGCATGGTCAATTGGTGGTTTCGAGCACAGTGCATGACGACTTTAGTGGTTTTGAAAGATCTCATCACTAGTAAGTGGAGTATCGGTGATTTTTTTTTGATTCGCAATGTTCAATGGTAGGGATGCAACGGGCAAAGCATGCCCGTTGTGGCCATGTAACCGTGTAGCTTGTCATCGATGCACAGCTTGGAAGCCGCATCGTGTCCTTGCATTTCGTCGCGCATGTCCCTCATGGGTATCGTGTTGGGTTTCCAGCCCTATTTTCAAAGCCCCTGGTCGACGCCGTTGGCTTGATCGACGCCACTGACTGCTCTCTGTTTGCTACTCACAGCGCACACGTGACACTGCTACCCTCGCCGCTGGCAATGGTTGGCGATCACTCTTCTTCCTGCAAGAAAGGGTTGGCGATTTCTTCGCTTCCGTCTACGGGGGAGATGACGACGAGCAGGGTGCCGCGTGCGACGATGAGGCCGAGCTTGCGGTATCGGATGTTGCCATCCTCGTCTGTGGTGGTTAGGATATGCCAGGGTGTGTATATTAAGCTCTCACATACCTGTAAGAGCCTCTTTGACCTCGTCGAGGACAAGGTTCATAAGCTGGTCGTAGCCTTTTAATGTGCCAATGACTGCGGGGAAGTTAGCCCCCACTGCTCGTTGCAAAAGGACCAAATTGGCCTCGTTACCTTCTCGCCCGCCGCTGAATTTGACGGTAATTTGCTTGTCCATGTACTTGCTCAAGTCGAGAATGTTTTCCTTCTTGGGGCGCTCTGTCTGGCCGCCAGCGTGTGCTCCTCCACCGCCGCCGCCTCCACCTCCTCCACGACCGCCGCCCCTTGCACCGCGGTCGCCTCCTCGGCCACCGCCTCGGCCGCGAAATGCGCCTCGCTCAGACATTGTATTGGGGTTGGGAGAGAGTGACGAGTCTGGGCGATATGGAAGGGCTTGTGGTGACGTGCAGGCGGGAGCTGGCAGCAAAAGAAGGTGGTCTGTGCAGAGGGGCGGCTGGCGGCTGGTGCTGGGAGGGGGGATGTGGCAGTGTATGCGTACGTGTGTGTGGCAGCGTGTGGCGGCTGTGGCTGTCCCGCCATATCACGTGATCAGCACTCGACAGGGCTGGGGCAGGCGGAGGTAATCTCCGCCCCTCGCTTTTAGACATCTCCGCTGGTGCCATGTCGCAGTCGCAGGCGACGCGTGGGCCTTGCGGTATTTTCGTCGCGTCTCGGGACAGGCCAATGCCGCCGGACCAGGCCTTCTGGCTGTTTGCACGCCCTCTCATAGGGCCACACAGTATGGCCACGCACACTTTTGCCGGCGCTCGTGTCTTCAGCACCGTTAATGGCTCAGTTTCAGGCCGTCTCATGGCCGTTGGAGCTGTGCGAGGCCGCCGGACAGTCGGCACCATCTGAATCGCCAACGATGCGCCTCTTATCACAGGGCCGCGCCGGGGCCAGGCCATGCCACAGTGCCCTGCTCGCCTCCTCTGATTGGCGAGGAACTCCGCTCTGTTAAAAAGCTCGCCCTTATTTCCGGCGCGCCGCCCACCGCCCACGGCCACCGCCCACCCCTCTCTCTCTCTCTGCTTCTTCCCGTGCAGCCACTCGGGCGCCTTCAGCCACCGACGAGCCGTTCATCTCCCTCGCCCACCCTCTCCACTGCTGTTTCCTCCTCCTCCTCTTCCACCCTCCACCCTCCGGCACTCCTCTCCCCCTCGCACAGTGCCCCTCTGCGTGACATGTCTCTGCTTCGGTAGCCTGCGGCCTCCGCTCTCTCGTGCAACCCGCCTAGCCCTCTTGCGCCGTGCCCAGCTGAGTTGGCTGCTCGCTAGCGCCCGCCGCTCCGCCGCCTTTGAAAGCTGCCCTTTGCTCATTCCGCCCTCCAGAGCAGCAAACCTCGTCAGCATCCCTAGCCCATCTTCCCTCCCCCCAAAGGCTTAGCCATGGCCAACAACGACGACCGGCCCATGTCTGCCCACCCGCCCCAGCACCATGCCTCGCACATGCCCAGCGACCTCAAGCGCAAACGCAGTCCCTCGCACGAGATGCACCTGGCGCCTGCGCCACTGCCCAAAACCGCCAAGCACAACCATTTGCAGATCAACTACCTCGCCAGGCACAATGAGAACGACTTGCCGCTTATTACCAACGATGACACGCTGCCAAACATCCTCTCGCTGCTCAGCGACTACCAGGGCGTCCTCGACCGCCACGAGAGCATGGCCTGCAACCTAGGCGCTCGCCCTCTGGGTCCCATTCTCATCAAGCGCTTCGAGCGCCTGTTCGACGGTCCCCCCAGAGTCCTCAAGAGCCATGGCAAGGACGGCACCACCGTCTCCTGGCTCGACGTGGTCGAGTTTGCGCGCAACAAGCCCGAGCAGTTTCAGCTCGACCAGATGAGCGAGGGCGTGAGGGTCTGCCAGTTCTACACCAAGCAATGTCGGGTCCAGATCTCCGAGGAAGACTTCGTCTTGATCTCATCTGGCATTCCCCAGAAGATGATCCCCCCACAGCCCATCATCGAAGACGAGGAGAAGGAGCTGGGTACCATGGAGATTCTGGAAAAGAACCTCAGCCAAATATGCTCTTTGGCCGATCAAGGTGAGTCGACTCCTTTTCCTTTATCAGTCTAGGCATCCTGGCCCTCGAGTAAATACGCAATTTGTAGTCATTCTAGACCGTTCTAACCAATGCTCTCAGTTGCTGCTCGCACGAGACAGCTCAATCACCGCCTCAAGGGCCGCAAACAGGCAATCCTCGACCGCAGAGCCACTGCGACTCCAACGCCTCAAATTCCCCGCCCCACGAGTCCTTCAAACGTCGCCCTTATGAACGGTAGCAATCCAAGCGTCCCAGGCCCAGGTCACAATCAACCCTCGCACCCGTCACCCAGCAGCAGCGGCTTTGTAGCCGTCAATGCGCGTCAGCACCACGAATCCAACGGCCATGGGCACAGCCATAATCGTGGTCATGGTTCTTCATCATCTACCCGCCATGAACTGCTATCCAAATTCCATACTGTGAACGACCGGCGTTTGTCATCGCAGCCTCCCAGCGCCAATGTTGAAGTGCGGAGACCATCGATTGGGAGCCATTCAGGATCTCATCCCTCTCCACCCTCGTCAATCCCATCCAGGGCCCTGCAAAAGCCGGCTGAAGCTCCCTCTGCCGCACAACAGCCAATTGCAAGGCCTTCACATCCTCTCAATGAATCTGAGCTGCACAATATGATGAACTCACCCGTCCCAATACCAAACACGCCTTCTAGCCTCCTCCCAGCTTCCAGTCAACGCGCCAGCCAACAACCGGAAAAGGATGACGGCGGCCCCTTCAAAGTTGAAATGGTGCACAGAATGGAGAGTCTCGCCAAGGGCGAGCGTATTGTCCCGCCCTGCGATCGCTGTCGAAGATTACATATGGACTGCTTGAAAAACCTGACAGCGTGCATGGGCTGTACAAAGAAGCACGCAAAATGCTCGTGGAGAGAAGTTCGCGAGGGCGAATTGCGTGGCGGCTATACCTATCCTACTGGAACCACTAGCAATGGTCAGAGTGAAACAAGTGATCATGAGGCAGGCGACCGTGCCAGTACAGCAAGCCCGTCAGTTATGTTGAGTCCGTCGCACCATGGGCTTACGCCATCACACGTCTCACACAGCAATGGCCAACACACTCCACAACATCAACCATCTCACCACCAGCACACTGAACAGGCTACGCAGCCCCCGCAGCCACACGACGCACCGCATGACGCGCAGCCCTCTGCCTCTCGCAACACTCCGCCTACGCGCGAGCATGAGAGAAACGTTGAAGCCCAACTCAAGGAGGCTGCGCAATCAAGCCTTGCGCATGCAAACGCAAGGCTCCCCGCATCAGACGGCAAGACTACAGATTACGCCAACCAAGCCATGGTTGCTTAGGCCCATATTGACCCACCAGTTTTCACGCCCCGAACCAGATAACGTTGCTTTTGCTTTTCCAGCTATGAGCTCAAGGGTCCTAGAGATGGGATCGGGAAACACCAGGTATCAATTGTTTCCGGAAGCGGTTTCTGGCTTTAATTTCTTGTACATTTGTTTATGATACCAACTTAACTTTTATTTTTTCCAACCAGCCTTACTCCTGTCAGGGAGATTTTCCGAGGCCATTGTTTTGTATATGCGCATGTCTTCCCAGTCTAGAAGATGTGTTGGGAAAGTATATCTCCCTGTACAAGAAAAAAACAATTTGAAAATGTTTATTCTTATTTCGATTGACAATGCACAATCTTGCTACCATCTTTATCGGCTGCCTGGACTCTCTTTCTCTCTCTCACACACACATATCACTTGTTCCCTTGCTCGGCCATCATCTCCATAGCCGGTATCGTCGCAAACCGACTCATGACCTCGAGATTCTTCTCCTTGCTCATGCGCTCATCCGTCTTGCTTATCTCCGCCAGTATCTTGAAGTAATCAATGTAAAAGGCCGGCGTGTACGTGTTGAAGAATTTGGCAGGCTCGTTGGTTGGATTCGAAAATGTATGAGGTGCGCGGATTGGGGCTGTTACATAGTCGCCTACATGGGCATCGATTATCTCGCCGTCTGGGCCGTGGAACTAGTGGGTTTTGTGAATATGAATATGTGGTTGTTTCGGGGATATGGAGGCGTGGGGGTTGTTAAGAATGAGGCAAGTAGTGGTGGTAATGGTAGGACTGAGGATAAGAATACGCATAAGAATACGACAGAAATGAGAATAACAATGCAGACAATGATGGCAAGGATAATAGGTCAGAGTGAAGACAATAATCAGCACGCAAAACATACCCTAACAACCCCCTGAGTCACCAAAAACGTCTCATCATGCATCTCATGCCAATGCGCAGGCGGTCCCGGAGTATTTGGCGGCAGAGTAAACTCGGCGCTGCCAATGCGATTGTCGGTTCGTGAGCCGTCTTCCATGATGCGGCACGTGATGTGCCCTAGTTTGAGAATCTCGCCAGATGACGCCGGAACGAAGTTTATGGGGCGGCGCGGCATCTTCATGCTGGCTAGCGCTTGGCGGGCTTCGTCGTCCATGGTTTGTGTGCGTGGTGAGAGTTTGTACTGATGCGCCTAGAGTGGTGAAGTCGAAATAGAGGGGGGCAATGGAGTCGAGAAATGAATGGAATATATGCCATTATAGTAGCAGTAAAATCCTTCGGGTATGTGTGTGTGTGCCACGGTGGTGAGCGTTGTCGCTTGATTCGGTCTACTGGACTTTGCTACTGCGGAGAGCCGGAGGAGATGCAAAGGTGTTTGGGGGGGTCATAATTCTTGGGGAACCGCCGGTATTCGCAAAATCGAGAATGCAAGTGAAGCGGAGAAATGCTATACAGGAAGGGCTAATCCCTGAGGTATTGCAGAGATGGAACCTGTTCATTTAGAAGCTGATCTTCCATCACGGACATGGTGTGAGAGGATAGCGTTGCATTGAAAGTCCGACGTCTTGGCTCTGGCGGAACGGAATTAAGCCGACACGTCAGACAAGCGAATGGACTGGTATTTTAGTGGCATTCTATTGCTTTTGATGGTGGTTTGGTAGTGTCCAACTGTTTCAGTTTTGCGAAAGCCGGGTTACTACATATATAAGTGAGTAGACTTGGTGTGGGGGTAGTCGGGCCGGGCTTTGGTGGCGAGTGTGGCTGCCTAGTCGTGACCCTGGTAAACCGCAGGAACATGCATCTACACTACTTCACTTACGCAGATTGCTACAAATAACTCGATTTCCAAACCAACCCTCACACACCTATCTTCACTTACTAAGAACCGTCACCATGACAAAAAAGCTATGGAGCATGCTGGAAAATAACCCCCATGTCATGAACCATCTCGCAAAAGACCTTGGACTCGATACATCCGTCTTCTCCTTCCATGATGTCTACTCCCTCACTGACCTAGACATGCTGGCTTTCATTCCCAGGCCAGTCTTGGCACTTCTCGTCATCATACCGCTCACGCCAACTTGGCACGAGGCGCGTACAGCAGAAGACAAGGACAAGTCCGAATATGCAGGCAAAGGCGAAACAGAGCCTGTCATTTGGTTCAAGCAGACCATCGGCAACGCTTGTGGCAGCATAGGCTTAGTTCACTGTCTCCTCAACACTTCAGCATCAGACCATATCCAGTCTTCCTCGCCTCTTGACCAGATTCGTGCCGATGCGCTGCCAAAACCCATCTGGGAACGAGCCAAAGTACTCGAGGATTCGGATGCCTTTGAAAAGGCTCATGCTGATGCGGCAAAACTTGGCGATACTGCCTCACCTACACCCACATCAAAGGAACATAATGGACAGCATTTTGTCGCGTTTGTCAAGGCCAAAGATGGTCATTTGTGGGAGCTTGAAGGCGATCGCAAGGGTCCGCTTGACCGGGGCTTATTGGGCGATGACGAAGATGTGCTCAGCCCTGGAGCACTAGAAAAAGGGATTGGGCGGCTGATGAGGATTGAAAATGAAAAGGGTGGGGATCTGAGATTCTCCGTTATCGCCCTCGCTCCAAGCTTCACATAGCATGGTCAAGCAGCCCTGCCTTTATCCCCTTGGCTCATCCGATTATAGCGTTCCACTGAGCATCCGTCGGCAGAATTGCCATTTGTTTCTTCTTCCAGAGGAAAAATCAAATAGATTCATATGTCTGCATACTGTGGCACAGTTTCATGCCTATCGTTGTCCTTTTGCTTCCTTGACGTAGTGTGTAAATGTAAGAGGGCACTTTGAATTAGCTGAAGCGGTTGGCCTCTGCGGCGCGTATGATGGCTGCTGCAGGGGTGATTTTGTGTCATATGTACTTATGCAATCACAACAAGCCGAAGTCGACCGGGACTTCACTGGTTCCGGATCCTTCCTTCCTAAGCAGCCTTGTCCTACCGTGCTGTTCATTCCGACAAACACAATGACCCGCACCGATTCGGCCCGCCCCTCGCAAGTCTCATTGCTAACGCCGCATAAAATAAACTGCTGCATATGTGCAATATTCTATTAAAAAGCCGTATGTCTGTCGACGGAATAATGAACGCCAATTGCAAAGCAGAAGGGCAGTCGCCAAAGCTGAAGCATATGTTCCCTCTCAAGACAAGCCAGAGTGGGGCTTGTGTTTATGGATATGATCTGGTGAGCCATGCCAATCATCCTTTCTTAGTGGTCGGACCGCAGTGATCGTGCAACTACATGTATACCGGTGTAGAGGACAGGGAAGATCTTGCAAATGCATACCCCACCGAGCATAGGCGTGGGCTGTTTTCTTGAGCCTGATCTAATCAAAGATAGTACAAGTGGACAAGGAATAAATGGGTATTCATGCATCGATTGACAGGCTGCCATTGATGCCTGCTTCTCTGAGTGTGTAATTAGCTCGTGAGTATTTGGGGTGGTCATACCTCACGATAGTCACTACCAAGGATGCCTTGACAAGATTTCCTTTGCATGAAAGATCCTCTATTTGCAGTCCGGCTTGTTATTGACGGTCCAAAACCATCAGACTATACTGCTCCCGATCCCTGCACTAGAAAAACATGTAGTATTCGTCCCATATCAAGCATACACGTCCTGGCTTTGCTCTACGCCATCAGTCACTAACAATCTTATCGCACGGCTATTGCCGAGTATGACGGTCCCAAGCTCCTCAAGTGTCCCTGATTTTTTATCTAAACCTTTCTTTGCTACAATCAAACAGGCCTTCCCTGTGATTGCCACAATCTCTCTGGCTATTGTTTTCTGATCTCACTCGCTATTTTTACCCAAACACCGAAATATCTTATCGCTAATGCTTCCGCTTGGCTGAAACTCACCACACTCAGGCGTATGAAGTTCATGACAGAGGTTCACAAGGTATTCGGCAATGCTCTAAAGCGATACGGCGAAAAGCCCTTCAGGCCCTGGATTCACTCGGGCATGATCACTGTCTTCCCAACTGAGTACGCAGATATGACTCGCAATGAGCGTCTCTTAGTACTTTGCAAAGCAGTGATACATGTCAGTTCAGAACCTTTTGCTGTAATTGTTTGCTTGGTTAATCCACTGCTCAGGAGTTTGCAGCTCAAATACCTGGTTTGGAACGGTTAAATGCTCTTGATCTGCCAAGCAGAGTTATACAGGCAGTACCCAAAAAGCAGCTCACCAACTCTTTGAGTAAGGAAGTTTTTATCAACACATAGATGCTAGAAGCTAATGCATGTGTTCAAGATATGATAACACAGCCAATGTCTAATGAGTCCACTTTTACAGTCGACAAGATATTCGGCAACGACACAGGTGCGTAGTGTACTCAGACCTCGAGATTTTCAGTTGATCATTTGTAAGAATAAAAAGAGGCCATCATCACAGATTTTGTTCTCCAACTCACCGCTCGTCTATCAAGTGAGCTTTTCTTGGTGATGGGCTATGTCGCAAGCAAGCCGAGGTAAAAGCAAAGAGAAAAGGCGATCCTGTCTACAATAACATGCTGGAGTGGCTTAAGCAAGAGGGTCCACCAGACTTAAATAGTCTTGTTGCATGCCAACTATTGCTCACGGTAGTCGCTATCCACACTACCTCGGAGTTATTGAATCAGACAATGTTGCATTTAGCGAGTCATCCCCGTCATGTTGAAAACTCTCAAAAGGAGATTATTGAGGTGCTTACCACCGACGGCCTGAGCAAGGCAGCTTTCTCTTACCTAAAGCTTATGGATAGTGTTTAGAAGGAAACTCAACGACTTATCCCAATCTCATTCCGTGAGTGCCGTCTGCCAATTGCAACAAATACAGGACCACAGCAATCGCTAACCAGCTTGTTGACTAGTCTTAATGCGGAGGATTGTAACAGAAAAGATCACGCTCGCGGATGGCACGGTTATCAGCGAAGGTAGTTACACGGCTGTAAACGGTAAAATCATGGTGAACCGGCAAATCTGGCCCGAAACAGAAAAGTACGACACACACCAACTTTACCGCCTGCAATCAGATCCTGCTACAACCAACAAAGCTCACTTGGTCTCTGCCAGTCTGGATCACCTAGGATTTGGCCATGGGAATCAAGCTTTTCCTGGCCATTTCTTTGCTGCCAATGAGATCAAGATTGCTCTATGCCACCTTTTGCTAAAGTATGACTCGAGGCTTGGAAGTAATGCAAACTTGGAACCAATCCATTCGTTTGATGTGTCCATGACGATCGACCCGACCACTAAAGTATAATTCAGGCGTCACAAGGAATAGGCGGATCTAGAGTCTTTGTTGTCTGAATAAAGACTTGGTCATTCTTCAACTTGCAAAACTCGGGTTGTGTAAGCCTATACGCATGTTTCCGGTGCTTCCTTGTTCACGGTTGGGCTAGTGTGCTAAGATGACCGGACGCAGAATTACCTATCTGTTGGTGTATTTACAGGTTTAGTTTGTTTTGTACGATGTGTAGTTTTCTTGTCTTTGTGTACGGGCACTTTGTTATGGAAAGAGGTTCGTTCATGTAACGAATTTTACCAGTAAATGAATTTGCATACCCGAAAAAATACAAGAATGTTTACCTATGTGTCATCCTGTTCTACCGGTCTGTAGTTTGAGGTTTAAGATTGACATATATACTATGCTTGATTTGGGTTGAAGCTTCGACACGGCGCTCACCGGCTCTTTGCTGCGGCGCAATGTCCGAGCTAAAAAAAAAAGCAACAGAAATAGACAGGCGTTCAAAAAGTAGTAGTAAGAGTGATGGATCTGTTCGAGCTACTGGGCAGCTGGGCGTGGTACAGGTAATCCGCTAAGGCGCTATACCTTATGTTGGGTCATGTGCTTATGCTCAAAGATCCTTGGGGGTATGAATCTAGGCCTCGTACAAATCGTCCTAAAAAAAGCCTCTCAACGGCCATTCCCATGTCTCACATCAATCCGGGTCGTATTCGGAAACGGATGGGTTTTCCGCCTTCCATTAACTCACGCCACTAAACACAACAGGTATATGCTCAGAGTTTTGACCCACGGGATAATACGGTGTGACGTGAGTTATGTATGTGAAGAGAAATTCTTCCATCCACTCAGTCTGTTCAAGTTGCATTCATCCCTTTCTGTAACAATATCGGGCCGGTCCCGCGAAGCTTACCCCGCAAACCAGCATGTTGGTTACTTTGTCACTATGATTACATATACACTTGTATTGTGAGCCCTATCGTGTAGGCTTACTGGTCTGAGACCCGATCCGTTCGGTGATTAGCGCGTCATCTTTATACCAAGCTATTGGTCATGACTAAGTAAGTACACAGTAAGTCCAACGTCCATAGACTCGTCAAAAAAGGTCCGTATGTATAAGTAGGTCTTGCGACGTTTCAAGAACCCTTGTAAGCCCCACTAGTAGGTATTCGGGGAACTTGGGGTAAGGGAAGAAGTGCCGAACTTCTAATGTTCCTTCTAAAACAGCCGACATTCAGGCAACTGTTGGCGTTATGAAGGCCAGATTACCCACGCAAGCCATCCTACTACATTTGGCTGAACTCCCCGCTTTAGAAAACACATGGAGACATGTGCAGGGGTTGTGTGGCACGAAAACCGAGTGACGTGCACGTTGAGCCGATCCCTTTCCGCATTAGGCGTGTTTCGGAAACAATGCACGGTAGTAGCTTTAATCAATTCGACGCGAGGTGCTGCCCGAGGTCCTTGCGTTCGGAGGATAATTTTATGCTGCTTCTTTCATCACTCATGCTTTCTTTACTATCAGAGTTGCTTACGTTATTGTGTAAACTTATTTTAGAGTTTTTCAACCGGCGTGTACTCTAAAAAACCTTAAGGATACCAGTCAACTCTCAATACTAAACAAGGGCAACATAACAGATGCTCTGTTCTGCGCGGGTTCTGCTGGAGGAAATGTTGGCCCGTTCTGATTAACAGGGATGGCCAAGGAGAGCGGTTGAAACAGGACATAGCTCAACATCTGGGATAGTGCATGAGCTTCCTTGTTCCTCAGACATCGATCGGGCTGAGGCTCTGCTTCAGTCCAGAATTTCTTCTCAAAAACGACTAGGCAGGTCAAAAATGCTCGCAAGTAACATCCCGCCCCCAGCACAGTCGGTCAAGTCCATTGTGCTCTAGGCCCATGAGATCAAGTCTTGGAGAGTAAGATATGGTACGAGAAGAGACACTTACGAAAAGGAATACGGACATCAGCAAGCCATTCGGAACGACTCCAATACAGCAGGTTTGACACCTCAAAAGGTAAACCCGTATTAATATAGTATTCGCTGATCCGTGCGCAACCTACGTAGAGTGTTTCGAAGAGTGGTGTGCACACCACAGTGGGTACGGGAAAGAAAGAACCCTGGCCATGCCTAGCACGCATGAAGATCCCCTCGCAAACCCAGCGCACATAAAAGGACCAAGACATCCGCACAGAATTGTTGTTGTCACACTCCCATCTCACACTCACACATCGCATCAGCACCGCACATCTTCCCAACATGCACTCCACCACTGCCCTTATCAGCACCATCGCTGCCATCTGCGCAACTGCCAATGGCGCTCTCACCCGTGTCAACAACTGGGGCGCCAACCCAACGAATCTTGAGATGAACATCAACGTTCCAGCAAAATTGGCCACCAAGCCCGCCATCATCCTCGCTGTAAGTGCTTAGCAATCGTCGATAGATGAGCTCAAAACTGACAAACGTAGCTGCATTTTTGCGGAGGCTCTGGCGAGACTTATGCATCAACGACCAAGTACAACACCCTCTCCGAGCAAAAGGGCTTCATCACCATCTTCCCCTCAACCAAGAAAGACAATAACTGCTGGGAAGTCAACACCGCAAAGGGCCTCTCTCGAGATGCAGGCGGCGACAACCAAGGCCTCAACAACATGATCCAATATGTCATCAAGACTTACTCCGCCGACCCAGCCAAGGTCTTCGTTACTGGCGCCAGCTCTGGATGCATGATGACTAACGTCATGATGGCCACCTATCCCGACGTCATCTCTGCCGCAACCTGCTACTCTGGAGTGGCAGCAGGTTGTGTAGCCGGCAGCCCAGGAGCCAGCCCTAGTACCGCTGACCCACGCTGTGCAAACGGCCAGATCATCAAGACCCAGGCCGAGTGGGATGCGCAAGTCAGGGCCATGTATCCGAGCTATACCGGCCAGTATCCCCGCTTCATGACCTACCATGGAACCGCCGACAGCCTTGTCAAGTACCCCAACTTGGGCGAGCAGCTCAAGGAATGGAGCGGTCTGCTTGGCGTGTCTTTCACCAGGAACGTTACCAACACTCCTCGTAGTGGCTACACCTCCATGATCTACGGCGACGGCACTAAGCTTGTAGGCGTCAGCGCCCAGAACGTTGGACACTGGGTTACGCCTGATGAGGATGCAGACATGAAGTGGTTCGGTCTCTAAGCTGTGTCAATCGTTGACTGGCGAGGACATTCCACTAGTATCCGGTACCGCAGTGGTGAACATAAATCACTGGTAGAGGACCATATGTAAATATTGCCAAACGCTACATATTTGACTTTATTCAGCATGTATATATTCAAGGATCTTATCTTATAACCAATTGCGCTGCATGCAGGTGTTGTGACATGTGACTTTCTCTATGTGACTTGGTGAATCGCTGTGCATAGCACCGAGTTATCTTCCATGGACACAAACAATAGCTACGTCGCAAGGATCAGGCAAGATATAAAATCGCTTGTTGTAGTTCGTCTGGCCGGCCAGCCTCCGCGCTTCTATTCATTTATGCAATGGGGAGAGAGTTTGGAAGACGCGGCTCAGCCTGGCCCATCAATCCGCGAGACCCCCCCTTGCGCAATTATTCAAACATCAAAGAAACATTAGAATTACTCCCCAGTCTCAACATCATTGGCCGCGCCCATCACCATTTCCAGGTTCTTCTCGCTGCCCTCCCACTCCTCTTTAACCAGGTCGAGCACCCATTGTCCCCGAGGCTTCAGACGGAACTTGAAAGGCTTAGGCTCAACCATGAACCCAACTACCACCATAGACAACGGATCCACATCCTCACTCTCGATAGCCTCTATATCGAACGCCCAGAGTAAATGCGCAATGTTCAAAAACGCTCCATCAGTCGCGATACGCTTTCCCTGGCATATCCTTCTCCCCTGACCAAACACAGGGAGCGGGAGGTCATTCCGAATCCTCCCACCCCGCAACCAGCGCTCAGGCAAAAACCCCTCCGCATCCCCCAGTGCCCCGTCAAACACGTTCTTATCGCGACCAATGGCCCACGCATTCGCCATGATAGTAACCCCCTTTTTTGATTTCTACACCGCCGTATTTATCCGCCCAATCGGCGCGCCTGGGAATCGATCCTGGAGAAACTGGCCGCCAGCGAAACAGCTCGTGCGCGACCGCGTCAATGTACGCGAGGCTGCTGCGGTCCGAAAATCTGGGGAGACGCGTTCGGCCCACGACGTCGTCGAGCACGTGGTGTGCGCGAGTCACGAAGTCCCGGTTGTGTAGGGCTGCGACGAATAGCCAGAGCAACTGACGCGGCGATGTCTCCATGCCGCCTTGTATTGATGTTGCGAGTGTGAAGGCGAGATCGAGATCCGCTACTGGGTGGTTTGCGGGCGCATGCTTTGTGGCTGTTGCGATGGCTTGTTTCGTAGCATTCCAGCCTGGTGCATCTCTACCATGACGGAAGAGGTGCATGTAGAGATCGGCCTGGGATGCAAACAGCTTGTCAGCATACTGCTGCCATGGGGAAACAACAGTAGGGAGATAGCGCAGGAGAGGTATCAAATCTGGGAGCCGAGGATTTGCAGCAAGATGCGTAACTTTTGCTTGGATATCAATGACTTTTTGCAATATTGGCTCCTCGATCTCGGGGATGCGAAGGCCGTAATGAAGACCTAAGATGACGCTGGACTGAGTCCGCTCCAACAAAGGATACAAGTCCTTTGTGGTAATTGCGGAACCGTCAGCAGACTTTTCTAGAGCAGCGCCGATGTCAAAAAGCAGCTGCCTAGCCTCTAGTTCTATGAGCGGCTGATACTTGTGCGCTGCAGGCGCACCCAGACTTGGTGAGAGAATGCGATGATGCAGCTTGAGATGGTCATCATAATCGTGCATCAGTGTAAACCGAGAGCGTCCCGGCTTCGCTCCAGTAATCATTTCCATGCTCACAGAAGCCGGTCTGTTACTATACCATTGGCTGCGGCGGCCGAAAAGCTCGGTGACGGCTCCGTACGAATTGAGAACAACGATTGGTACGATACCGAAAAGTTTCGCGATCACAATCGGCCCATTCTGTTCGGACCATGCACTCCAGTTTTCCAACGGCTTATCTATCGGCGAGCTGTGGATATCGCCAATGAGTGGCAACTTGAGGAGCGGCTTCTCTCGTGCATCGTACCGCTTCTTGTTGTTGGTGTAAAAGTAAGCCGTAGTCAGTGCGCCGATGACCAGAAAGACTACTGGAGCAGGGTTGGACATTGTGGTAGCAGATGGTGAGAGCTGTTCGGGGGCCAGTTCGATTCCAGGTTTTCTGTCTCCATTTTATTCCCGTTTCAGGTTTAGAGTCTCAATAGAGGAGGGATGGCTGGCCTTATAGCTAGTCTCACGTCATAGTCACGTTGTAAGACAGGCTACTAGAACTAGCAAAAAACGGGCCTCCGTTCCGTGTAAGAAGTAGGAAGTAAAGAGTAGATCACCACTAAGTATGGCTTACTTTAGTATATGAGCACTACCAATTTTTAGCGCCGTTTTTCTAGTTATTAGACGTACATTTTCCAAGTGCGACGTCTTTTCTATCTTACATAGCAGTTTTTCAACGAGGCCTACGTTGTACCTAGATTGGGACGGAAAACGGACCTGAGCTGAACAAGCCCTAAACTGTATCTGGCACGCACCGAGAATTGGTTGGGAGAAACGGAGAGCTTAAATAGCATTCCGTGCTGGGGACCACACTCCACAAATCTCACTCTCAACGCTAGTCGTGAAAAACGTTTTGAAGATGCATGTGCCGTCTTGGAAACTTCTTTTGTTGATTCAATAGTTCTTGGTACGATTGGAACACGCTTGCGAACTAGCGCAAATGATATATTTGTAAGCCATTCTGTTTTGCACGACGGGACGGAGATGAGGTGTGCGGCTAGTGTCTTTGTCGCGAAGCAAGGAGTTGAGGAAGTTGCCGCGATGCTTTACAAACCACATGGTACTATGAACTAGTAGTCAAAGCTTCTGACCCCACCCTTTGAGAGGCGCCGATATCATTTTGTGGCGTATTCTCGAACAATATAGGCCATGTACCTAGAAGTATGCTAGTGTCGCAAAGAACTGTGTTCAGTTGTTCCATTCTTAGAACCTCAAGAACTTCAAGGATCAAATTCTTGAGAACTACTCTGCTCTTAGTAGTGTTATCAAAGGCAACATATTAAGATGAGAGCATAAGATTATATGTATATCCGTGACCAGTCGAAACACTCCCAGCAGCTTGTTGGGACAACTGCGCAATTGCGCAATTGAGCACTTAGTAACAGAAGTTTACTATGTAAACAAACATGCATACAACTGTCCAGCAATCCAGAACCGCCTGATCCAAGCTCGTTATTTCTTCTAGTGTGATTTTCAAACTTTGTGCTGCGCTCGGTTCCCACAGTACCGCCGAAAAACAAGGTTACATCTCAGCCTTGTCAACTGAACCATGCAGGAGCCACTTGTAAGATTGTGTGGGGGTCAGCATCAATCCAAGTTTCTATGAAAATTTTACTCGATCTTCACACGAGAAGAGAATATGACCCGCTTAAACCCCGGCCCCATTTACGAGGTCGGTAGTATAATTATTCAGTTGCTGTAGCCAATCTCACGTCATCATTAACGCACACCACCCTGAACACACCAAGGAGTATGTATGACTTGATCCAGACGTCTTATATTTAAGTACACTCTACTTTAGTATTAAAAATCACTAAAATAATCCATATGCGCGATTAAAGATTATTTTTTGGCATACATCTCACAATTACGTGACTTGCTAGCTTCGCCGTCAATCTTCGATTACTAGATCATAACTTGGCAATACCTGAATCACTATCATTCTCTTATAACACGATGAACAAAATCCCGGGAAATCGCGACTGCTGGAACTTGTAGCAAAGCGTGGTGTTTTACTGTCAATTTCTGGTCATGTGAAGTTTTGTGATAATCCTGTATCCCAACGTTACCCTCGGGCACACGGAAGACGTTACATGTAAAGATAAATCTAAAATCACCCTTTTTCTCTCAAAGTACATTGTATTCTTGCCTGCCTGGGGGATGTATAGTCTCGGCTACCCCGGGATGTTCATTGAAGCATTTGCATCTTGAACTAGTGGCAGTCTTTTGATTTGCACGGGGCACATATAAATTCATAGAGTACGTTGCTTCTAAAATAGCGATCGCTGGGTTTTATGTCAAGCTGTGTTCCGATCTTTCATTTTGTTAGATGAAAGAATGGGATAGCCTTCTAGAATGCGCAAGCTAGTATGCCGATTTTGAGCTTTAAATCTCGAATCAAGAGTTAGCGTTGGACGTAGCTGTGTGTAGTTTCTTCTCTCGTATACATCAAGCCATCCGTTGCCGCGATTTACGTGTCGTATAGTCTGCGAAGGTCATATTTCATTATATCAAATTACAACCCTATCAAAGAACCCGACGATGGGATGTCAACGCAACGGGCCCTAGTTTACTCTTCGAAACTGAACAGATTTTTCGTATACATTTCGTTCATCTCCCTTTCGGTGTAAAGCTAGACAAATTGGGAGATAGCGATTGATCGTTGATCTTTGCTTGAAGATGTGAAACTTGTCATTACGCTACCTTTTACCCATGAAATAGAGGCTGAGTGGTTATGTATCAAGTTGATAGCATTGCTTAGACCTTGTAAATTCGAAACTTGGTGGTAACGAGTATGTTCGTATCCGCAATCATCCGAATCCATTCCAAGGAAGTCATTCTGGCATAAAGTCCTCGTCGCAAAATTTAAAGTTTCGCGGATCTGAACTATAATCTACCTTGAAGTCGCACTTCTTGCATGCTTCCTGGATGTCGTGTTGAATGTTTCTGTAATCACCTCGATAATAACCTTCACAAGTGCCTGTTCCATACTCGTGTCTGAGCAACACTTTGCGAAACCACGCCAAACATTTATGGACTCTGTTAATACCAGGCATAGTTAAAGTAGGCTTTATCGAAATGTACAAATCCCATTGAGGATCTGATACGATCCAGAGTAGGATCTGGCTGCTGTCCCAGCTCCTTGTTGGATATAATACCTTTTCCCCATCTGACCACTCGCAGTCCCAGATCACAACCACCATCCGGATTAAGTGTCGGATTACACATGTTTCGTTGAATTGTTCAGATTCTGCGTTCGTGATATAGGCGCATATTCCAGTACGCATCGCTTCTGTGTTTACGAAAACACAAGCTTGGGTAGGGTCCAAGGAACAACGTGGCTCCACGGTAAGCGAATGAACCGTCTTGGTGTATCGAAAACACGTCGCGTATATTTTGTAAAGCTGCGCTCGCTTATTCTCACAAGTGTTCTCGATGAAGGAATTCAGCCTTCTAGCATAGTTTGTAGTTTCGCGGCTGTCGTGGAAGCCAAGGACGACACGATCTGACATTCTGTCAAAGTCAGACGCGGTGGCACAAAGTACGGTAGTTTGGCTGGTCGCATAACGTTGGAAGTAATTCTCGTTGCTCGAAGCCCAGGCTTCGCGCAGCTTGAGCCCAAGTTCGTCAGCCGAAGCGATCAGCTCATGCCGCTCCACCATCTTTTCCAGGACCCAAATTTTCCTAGCTACTGATTCAGTGAGAGCAAGATATGTTAATTCTCGTATCAGCATGCCATCGCCATCTTTGCGGTACTGCAGATAGAGCGAAATCAGTATTCTCTGTGGCGAGAGATCGTGCATGCCCTGGATCTCTTGGCTCCCTGTCCATGCCTGTTCAATGGTCTTGATGTCCTGGGCGTGTGGTAAAAGGAACCAACAACGACTCATGCTGACAGTTTCCAGTCTTTGATAGCCCGTGTTCGTAAGATGTTCACTAGTAGCAGTGTCGTTTCCGGTGATGTACAGCCCTCGTACTCGTGCCTCATACTTGGCGCATTCCCAAACCCTGACATCAACATGTTTTCCTATGGACTTAAAGAGGGGTTGGAGAGAAGTTCCAATGGTGGAATCTATTGCATCAAAGGCTGATTCTTTGGTGACCAAATTTGTTTCAGCTCCACCAATGGTAATGGCAGGTCCGTCGCCATACCAAGAGTTTGCATAACCTGGTATTGAGAGAATGTCGGGCTCTTCGATGATTGTGTAAGATGATCGCGAGCCTTTGTCTACTACAGACTTCAGTTGTCTGATAATACTAGGCCGAAAGATATCACGCGCCCAATCAACGATGTAGTCCACAATTAGAACCAGTTGAAGTGCTTCATCATAGCCAGTAATACTTCCTTCCCATAAAAGAATGACTTTCTGCTTCTATGTCAACAAGAGCATCGAAGAATTTATGTCTTAACTCACATAATTGGGCAGGTCGTCTGGGTTAGACTTTGTGATGTAACATCCGTATACCCTCCACATCTCACCAATATATGCAAGAAACCAAGATAGCGGGCCCCCTGGTACCTGCATCCTGTTGAATTCATCCTCTTGGAGCTTGAGTTGTAGATATAGATGATTTCGTATCGGTACCGCCGTTTGTAACTCAATATCCCGAAAACTGCTTCTGCCTTTGAGGCTTTTCGCTTCCATTACTAAAAAGGGTATATGGAGGCTCGTCCACCACTGTCCGGATTGCAGCTGATAGTCAATCTATTGAGTAACCCATCGATTTCAGGGTCTTCTTCCAAGTGGGAGTTATGTGGTCGCTGCAAAATCTTCTCCATGGCATCTGTAGTTCTCAGCCCAAAGATTCGATCAGGTTGCATCTCTATCCGACGGTGATTTTCGGGGTCATTTTGTATCACGCTTCGCTCGCCAATACGGGTGCTGAATATTTTGGTTAGTCCTGTGCCCAAACTAGATTTATGATCAGTTGTGATTCGTTTGCTTGGTGACTTGATCAACTTACATGCTATACTGTTTTGACAATGGCTCACATTGGCATGCTGAACGATGTTTTTGACGCTCTTCGAGAGTCTTTGTTCGACTGTTACTTTCCATCGGATTGCCACAGCCGTTTGCGGCACTGCTGACTGCCTTCTATCAGCATACGAGATCTGGAGCAAATCAAGCTCGGAGTTTATCATACCATGCAACTTCGATTTCAAAGCGTTCAAAGATGCGGTTTTCAAGCGCCATTCGCCAGGTACCCTCGTTCTGATTGTCATCTCTCGATTCAACAGCTTTCTCGCTTACGCGTGTTGCCCGCCGCTTGTTTTCGAGCTCCCACGGCTTATTGGTGATGTCCGGTCGAGGCTGTACTGCATATGAGTCGTAAATCATCCGGCCCAATTGCTGAATGTGCTGAAACTTCGTCTGATGTTCTTCTGGAACATCTTCTGGACGCTTTGGGCAGTACTTCCGTGGGTGGAAAGCGATGCGGAACTCTTTCATGATCGTCTCGTTATCGGTAGCTTTTTGGCCGTCTGTTGGCTTGTCTGGAACAACATCCATCGACTTTCCCTTCCTTTTCTTTGGCACTGTATTCGACTGCAAATTCGAGGTTCCATCTCTTTTCCTCTTATTTCCATTACCTGCAACAATCCTTTGGCCTTGCGCGCTGCCCTTGGCTCTTAGATTTGGAGCCATGAGTGCTGGGGCGGAAAAAGTAGTGTTTCTGGTGGCTTCGGTCTTAGTGCTTTGGGATGTAGATCTAATAGGTGAATCTTGGAAGCTTTTCTACTAGATAGCAAGTTGCGACAAAATATGGCACGGCTGGCGTTATGAAAGGTGTGGCCAAGATAGCCGTTCAGGGGGATGCATCCATAACACGCTTGTTGGGGCCAAAAAAGCCCCCACAAAGATCCTTCATGCAGGGGCGTGTTTTGGCGCAAGGGCTTGAGGTTCGCTGCTAACTATCTTGCGCCCCAGCATCTCTCAGTCCTAGCCCAATTACAATTCTCCCACTCTAGCGCGGGCGCCACAAATGTTGGTTATCTGAGCGTATTCGTGCATTCACGTATCCATCACTCTACTTCTAACACACATCCTCCGTCTCTGCTGCAGGTCCCGGGAACATACCGCATTGACCAGCTCGGCTTCTTTCCCCTCAAGGCCGCGCGTGAACAGGAAGTGTCTGGCTATGTCTGTGATGTACGAGGGTGGGTTGGAGTAAGGACAGCTGGCGAGTAGTTGGCTTCGTATCACTTAGTTTAGAACTAGTAATCGAGCTACGGAATCGTTACAAACGTAGTGGTATCAATTTCGTATTCACCATTCCGGTATGTCTCGATCCAATTTTTGAAGCCTTGGAAATCGTATTTGTAGCGGAGTATCCATTATGCATAGTGTTGCGGGAACAATATGGTTGTTGTGGCTTGCAGAGCTTACTCACTCGACAAATATCAACTTTCCGCCATAAATGACGTCAGTGTACCATGAAGTGAGGCTCACTGTGGAAGGACGAATAAAGTCAACAGGATGCTTGTAGGGGATATGAACCTACCTTTTCCTGCACATCAAAATGGTCGGGGCTATGCTATGGTAATATGGCGTGAGTGTTGACTTTGAAAACTGAAGCTGATTGATCCAAGGTCTTTTTGCTCATCAAAAGACAAATGATCATCTGGCACATAGTAAAGGGATTGAAATGAACATACATGGTCGTCTTTACAGCCGACCCTATTCATGTTTAACCAGATGATGTGGCAACCATGGGTAAACTTTGCCGATGCAACGACCAAGATAGAACATGAAGATAGTATTCAAGTCGGCTGGTCAACCACCCTCGAGACATATCGTGACGTTAATCTGGTCACACGACAAGAATCAACATGGCCTATTCGCCAGTGAAGCCACTTGACGCATGCGCCCAGGCGTCGTTGGATATGCTTTACTTACAGGATGGCCAAAGATAAACACACGTCGGCGCGGGGGGGTCTCCAAAGGGGATTTATTCGGGTCAGCCACTGCCATGTCGACATGCAGCCATGTTATGTCGTGCTTTCTAGCGGTATTGGCAAGGGAGACATTATGTGCAGTCTAGCACGCGGGTGACAGTCGCGATCCAACGAGACTGCGACATGCAGTGCGTACGAGTGTCGAAAAAGACCAAGTCTGATGCACCTTTTTCGGAGTCTGTCGGCTGGTCGGGTTCAGCCCTGCTAGCGTGTAGCGGGGGGGGCACAGCCAACCCCACCACCACATTGCCATCTTGGCCCTTTGCAACCCACTTGGTGACATCAAGCCTGCTGGCCTTCAAATCATCTCGCTGTATGGATTTGTACACTAGCCTATTTCCATTTCTCTTACGCCTGCGTCTAGATCAGGGCAGCCGCTCTGCTTGCATTTCCTTGCGCCACCGCTGGCTGACCCGCGGTTTACAAGTACTGGCCGCAGCATGGCCAGCGCCGCCTGGAATTGCTGGGACCCACTAGTACCTGTTAATCCGTGTTGCCGGTAGAGTTTTTGTGTTCAACAGCAATTGTGGACTTCGGCAGGCGTACCATCAGCGATCGGCAGTTTCCTGTTGTCTGGGTCAGCCGTATAAGAGTCTGCTAGTGCCCCTCTTGTTTTTCTTTTCCCAAGGAAAGGCTTAGTGTACACGGTTGTCTAGATTGGAAACTATCCGGACTTCTCTCTTAACTACCATCCCCCCACCAAGTGCTTCATCAAGCACATATCTCGTCTTTGTTAGGATACTTGGAATACACATTCTGCAGCACATTCGACTGTCGCACATGATGACGAGCAAACCAATCTTTGTAGCCACACATCCACGAGCATGCTCAACGGCCTTTGAGCGGGTACGTACCACGGCAGTGTTTTCCCCTGCACACAGAATAAGGTTCTCACGGTCATCTAGGTCTTCATGACACGTCACGAAACACTCCAATGTGTTCACGAGCCGTTTGGCGACGCTTACTATTTCGGCCCTGAACGTCTTGCTGAGCGCTATGAGAACGACCCAAAAGCCAGGAAAGAGAGTGGTTACGAGGAGAGCACTTACAGGACCATTTTCGACCGCATTGCGAGAGAGAACTCAGAGGTTCGTTTGCTAATATCTCTTTGTGTCCCCACAGCCTCATCATCCCTCTTTTCATGCCATCCCATCCCTGTGGTATTTCTAGCATTATCCCTACCCTTCCAACTATACGATCTGTCTCCCTCGTTCTTTTTTATTGACAATTTTCGGATATTGTCAATTTTTTTTTGATATTTTTCCTTTTGTGTTTTCCCCAATTTTCATTTTTTCCCTCTTACCCAATCATTGCATTTATGGGCACGCTTGGGCTACACGTCTTCGATGCCTGGTGCTTTGTATATGCCAGGGCTGTTTGCACGACGTCTAGAACAATCACTCATGCTTGCATGAATTGAGGATTGCAAACCGATCTTTTCCATATCACCGCCATAGAAATGATTTTCTTGGCGGCACTTTTTTTTGCCTTTCTTTCCATTCGTCATCGTCTTTGCAATACTGGCAAGACATTTCCTCGTGCCATGAACAAATCTCGCACTCACCAACACCTAGGGAAAACGCGTTTTCATAAAAGACATGGCCCAATATTGGATCCCACCATCTGGCAAACCGGCAACCATTGCGCCATCCCTCTCCAACTACCGCCGTGGCGTAGGAACAAACACAACGGAGCTCTCGCCGGTTACCACACGATCTGACCCCAACAAACCACCGTACCCATACGACACCAAAGGCGAGCCCGGCAACCCAACCGTGATCCCCAAGGACCTGCTCGCCACATACCACTTTACTTTCTTGATCCGCCACCCCAAATACAGCATCCCATCGTACTACCGCTGCACAATCCCCCCTCTGGACGCCATGACGGGCTTCTACAATTTCCGACCCGACGAAGCCGGCTACGAAGAGCTCCGGCGCCTCTTTGATTTCCTCCGGTCAGAAGGCCAAATCGGGCCAAAATTTGCCGGGCAAACGGACGAAGCGCACAAAGAGCAGACCAACGGGCACACTGGGGGCGTGGAAATCTGCGTCATCGATGCGGATGATTTGCTGGACAAGCCGAGTGAAATGATCGAGACGTTTTGCAAGACGACGGGTATCGAGTGGGATCCTGGGATGCTGCAGTGGGACTCGGAAAAGGACCAGAGTATTGCCAAGGAGGCATTTGAGAAGTGGAAGGGGTTTCATGAGGATGCGTTGGATAGTGATCGCTTGAGGGCGAGGACGCATGTAAGTCTCATCCTGCCATGTTTGCTGTGGTTGAGGGGTTGTTTTTATGCACGAGACTAACGATGAGTAGAAAAAGCAGCCCAAGTCAGATGAGCAGATGTTTGAGGAGTGGAAGGAGAAGTTTGGTGACGAGGGCGCAAAGACGATTCGGGATACGGTTGCGGCGAATGTGGAGCATTATGAGTATTTGAAGCAGTTTGCTGTCAAGGTCTAAGCGGATGTGGAGGAGTAAAATTTCCATTTAAGAATATGACTTTTTAGTTTATTTCCTTTTGCTTTTAGAGCTAAGATGGAGGAGACAAAAATGGGAGATGGAGGGAGAAGGAGATAAAAATACATTATGCACTCAGCTGAAGTCACAAACAAATCCCCGCATGGTTCCCTGAAAGAAGAAAGGGACCCTCCAAATGCACGTAATCGTACCCTGTGGAAAAACAAATGAACGGCCTTGAACACCATTTCCCAAAACACCTGCGCTAGCCCAAACATTTCAAAAAAAAAAGAAAAAAAAGTTCAAGAAGGAAAAAGAGGACGAAGCAGGAAGAGAAAAAGTGTTTCAAGTATGAAGATCGCCCATCTCAATCTGGCGTCTCCTCTCCTCGCGACTTAAATTCCTCGAATGACTACTTTGCCCACCCGCACTCTCCGCGCGATTCGCACTTCTCCCCCTCTCGTGCAACTGCATCCACGCCTGCTGCTCGCCAAGGCTATCCGGCCTACTGTGCCCCCTGCCGCGCTGCCACTCCGAGTGCGCCTGCACAGGAGTGCCCACGAGTTCCTGACTATGCAATTCGCGGTCGTGCTGGTCCGGGTCTTCTGGGAGATCAATGCGAAACGTGCTGTTTGCGTCGGGGCTTGGCCTTGAATCTGATTTGTGGAGTAAGAGGGCCATTTGCTGATTTACGCGGTCGTCTTCGGTGTAGATGACGGCGGGAGGATGGTCGGCTGGGCGCATGGCGGTGGGGTACATGTTTGTGGCGAAGTTGTTGTAGTAGGATTGTTCGGACCAGAGGTTGGCGCGGGCGTCCGGGTGCTGGCGCGGTGGGGGCTTGTTTGCGGCCCGGAAGGTGATGATGCAGAGGACGGTGTAGGTGAGGGTTGTGACGGCGCTTAAGACGGTGCCGCTGGTGGCTGAGAGGCCCCAGTGGTAGGCACGGGAGGATAGGAAGTTGTAGGCAATGGAGATGAGGCCGAAGGCTGACGAGGCGAGTGCCGGTCTGTGTTGGGTAGGTTAGCTTTGGGCTTGCTTGTGGTGGGGTGTTTTTTTTGGGGGGGGGGGGGGTGTTCGCACAGGAAGACGTTTTCGGCTTGGAAGTGTTTATCGCGACAGGCGAAGCAGAGCAGCGCGGTGAACGAGTAGCCGGCTGTCAGCAATGCGACAACGAACACGGAGAGGACGGCCTGGGTAAAGCGCAGCTGTGCGTCTTTTGCGTAGAGCCCGGGCAGTATGAGGTACCTGCGACCATGGTTTAGTTTACGGCGGCTCCGTGTATGTAAGATTGTGGTAGTGTACACACCCTGCAAGAATCATCCACGACGCTGCTATGGCTATCAGGCGCCAGTACCATGGGGGCCTCTCTTTGTCCTCGCGGCCATGGTCGTGAATGTTCACATAGGCATCGTTGGCAGAGTGCATTGGATCGGTGGAGGAGGGCCTGGCTGGTGGTCCGGGTCGCGATTCGGGCGGTTGCTGGCGTCTTACGAATGGGCGACGGGGAACCAGATGCTCATACGCGACGGGACGGGACGGATAAACGAGTGACTGAGGTGAGGCAGATGCCTTTAACCAATGTCCCTGTCGCCGCCGTCGTCGGCGTCGTCGTCAAGCTCGGATGCCTGTGCCTGTGCCTGTGCCTGTGTCTGGCGTTCTCGTCTTGAATTCAGCCTGGCGACGTCGTGCACGTCACTTCGGTCCGTCGAGTTGCAGATGCAGCCGAGGCGCACGGCGCAATGGTTTCCAGCAGGTGGGGGTCACCAACACCACTAGCAGCGAGCGACGGAACAGAGGGAGGGCGGGGAGAGAGAAAGGAGGTGCGGTTCAGGCTTTGCGAATACAGTTGCCAGCTGGGAGAATGAATGGGAGAATGGAAGAATGGCCAAAGAAAGACACGAGCTGAAGGCTTAGTCGAGGAACATGGCATGGAGCCAGGGTGCCGGTACGCTGCTGAGGCATACACGCTCAGCCACTCCACTGGCTGTCATCATCGCCCCGTCCACCAAGCACCCATCTACTGTACTCTACACTCCCATGTCGACACTCCCTCCCTCTCTCTCTCCTGCCCGTATGCCGCGTTGTGGAGAGGCGCCCACCATCTTCTCTGTTCGTCCTTTGGTGTGCCAGGCCTAGGGCTGCCCCCACGTCCCACATGGCCTCACAGCCAATGCCAGCCTCGTATTTTTTTTCTCTCGCCCTGTCACTACTGCGCAGCCGGTCGACTGCGCCGCAGCCCCATGGGCCATGCGGCTTATTCTCACTTGACTCGTCTGTTGCTGACGCCTTGGTCTCTTCGTCTTCGTTCCAGTCGGCCAATAAACACTACTGTTAGTGCCAGCCAATATGACGTCTGATCTTCGAGTCCAGCTCATCAATTCCGTCATGTTGCCTCGAGCCCTAGCATAGCGTTAGTACCCAAGCCCCAGCGTTACATGAGTACATACGGCAACGTTGGTGTCACGTGAAAACGCTCTCGGCCCTTGCACTGCCTTGCCATTCGGATGCAGCCTCTTCCGATCTGCCTAGTACCTCTGCCAAGTAGATACTCTATACCCGTTTGCGCACATCTATCCAAATCTCCACGATTCTAGTCTTGGCTTGTCGTCTCTAAGCCGTAGTCATCAAGTGCGCGTGGTCCAGGCTAGCACGCGAACCAGCTGGGTCCCCCATGCGGGGAAATAAGTACCCTCTAGTCCATCACCCTAGCACGCGGAATACTCTGCCACTCTTCTTTTCGCCTTTCTCTATTCTCTAGCCATAGGGATTCCAAACATCTGCAAACTGCTTGCTTCCCATTAATTCATCCATATCATCTTTAGGCAGCTTGTCCTTGCAGAGTCTGGTGTGCCTCGAGGGTCACGCCTGCATACCCAGCTTCTCCCCATCCATGCAAGAATGCCTTCAAACCCCAGGCTCATCGTTTGATTGTTGAGTACCGATACCCTACCTACCCGCAAACATACGAAATCCAGCTTTGGAGGTAAGCCGACTTCGACCAAAGTATGAGTTACCGGCATTTGTTGAAAGATGGATTGCGCGAGACTCTCATATACAGCAGCGTTGATGAGCACTTGGCGCATGGTGATTGCCATCGCTTCTTGATCTTTTCCGTCGTTCAAAGGTAACATACGGATGCAAGGGGCATTTTGCCCGTCTTCCTCACGATACCCAGTGCGTTTAAGCGTTAGTGGTAGGCTTTTCAAGTATCTCATAAGACCAAGGGTCTGGTATGTTCAAACTTCGACATGTTCTGTAACATCAGCCAGTTTTTTAAGAGCACCCAACTCCATCTGTCCTCCAAGCTAGAGAGATTCCAGAATGGAGAAATCAGTGCAGCACTCCCAGGAGGCCAGTTCAGACCCAGAAACCGCGTACAAGGCATGGATAGCAAGACCCTGAATTGCATCTTTAGTTTGGGGCATCTCGCGCCATTCGCTGTCTGACTGAGGATGAAGGCCCTGCCATTGTGGCCGTATGGGCTTCTGTCGTGTGATTTCTCTAGATGGAATTCTTATATTTTCCCACATACAAACATGCTTCAGCTTGGGTACTAGCCCGGCCGACAACTGCAGTGCGGCCTCTCCATTGTAGTTTGCGCAACCACTCTCATCATGCATGGAGTAGAGAACACCGATATTATACAAACACGAAGAGATCACTGGCATGCAATCAGTGTCGTCGATATCCTTCAGGATATCTCATTGATGGAGGCTGTGGAAATCTCGTCCATTCACGTGTGGCCGACAAGGCAACATCTGCTCATTCAACACAGCGAGAATGCGACAAGGTAACTGCTGCGTCGACGTTCATATGAGATCTTTGAGCTGGATACCAGAGATGGATTGCGTAAGGCCTTGCAAACATTCGTCGGGTCGACTCTCATTCCTTGATTTCCACGCTTGAAGGGGAGGTGTCGCATAGTAGAAGTCAGGGGCAAGTTTCGTCCAAGAGACATATACGGCTTTTTTTCTTGTCTTCCTCGCCATTTGTTTGGTCACCCGCACCTATACCAATCCCCAGAACCCTCATACAGGCACGACTGTTCGCTTGGTCCAATATGCATTCCAATCTTTCATCAAATTCCGCATCGTCTACGTTACTTAACACCCGGGAAAAGCGCTCTCACCTAGCCGCAGCGCGACATACCCTGCTAGCCGGCGCGAAAGCTAACAACCTGGCCTTTTGCGGCTCACATTTCCCCGGGTATTTATAAACTAGCTCTAAAACTAGCTGTGACAGTGCTTCCATGTTACTCTGGCATAGCATGCGATCTTGACGAAGCTGGATGTAGAGAATTAGGCGGTAGACTCATATTCAGTTGCGGACTCTATTGCGAAAAATGATGGAAAAGAAGTGAAATATGTAAACTGGCTGCTGTTCTACGACACTTTACCGACACCAAAGGGTGTGATCATGTCTCAGCCAGCTAGAGATAGTTTAAGCGTCAATGGAGATTCACCAAATGCGAAACCCATTCTATCAGCCTTCTGTACCATCACGCCGCTGGGTTAGTCAGTACGTCGATTACAAACTGGCTTGAACTCTGGTGTTTTGAGCGCATAGCAATCCAGTACTGGATAGCGTTGCCATCGTTGACAGCCTGCCACGCCGGCTCTTGATTCAGCCAACGATCGTGCTTATCCCCTTGCGGAGTTCCTATAACGTTGCGACGCGTAAACTTTCTGATCACTTCATCTATATCACTTGTTCTTGTTGCAAACAACCAAGGCGATAGAGGCTGCGGCTGCTTATGGCCTTGCCAAAGGCGCTAAAATCCGTCATTAGCAACGCGTAGTCACTCCGCCTTGTCTGGCCAACTGTTTTCGTGGTAATATTTAGAGTAGGAGTAAATGCATGTAGCAGCGCAATAGTTTAGTAAGTCATCTAGCTTATTATAACAATCGTTCACCTTGTGCCAGGCAGTGCGGAGTTTCATGTGAAGGTAGTCTGCGTAATAAATCGTTAGCAAGTTGTATGGATAATCAATTAGTATGGCAAAATTTAGGCGCCTCTATATAAACGTTGAATCGACGTTGTTGTACGGCTACGTAACTTACTCTATACCACGCGATATATACTTAGGGACCAGCAGTACCTCGTATATAGCGCCGAGGCTGCTACTGTTGGGCGTCTCTCTGGTTTCTCTATCGTAATTTCGAACTTCAGAGTTAGTAGGTTTACTACTTGGTTTATTGTTTATAGCGACGCGGCTAATGTACTTCTCTATATGTATATCAATTCAATCTACTGTAGAGCGACGTATCACGCTCAATTTCAGTAAGGTAGGAGTTATATTGAATAACAACTGACCTTATTGGCGCAAGAATTATGACCTAGTCGTGTGCTGGCAACTCTCTATCAGCCTCTAGTTGGTAGTCTTTAAAAAACTCATGTTACTGTAATGTTCTAATGCAGTTGATCACAGCAATAAGAGTGCCTAGTTACCTATGCTGCCGCCATTCTCTTATATATAAATCTTCTCTTTCAAACTCAGCTGCAACGTTATCGTACGAGTTCTTGTCGTCTCCAAAGAGGAGTGCTTGGCCAACAGGATTGATCGCATAAAGACCGCAGCGGAAGCGCTGGTGCGCAGAATTAAAGCCACCGTAGTCGCGCGCGGTTGCAGCAACTGCAATATCGTTATTCAAAGCGTTGTCGAGAAAAGAAGAACCCAATCAATTAGGCATAATCCCAAACTGTTTCAGCGTTTCAACAATAAAAGCAATAGCCTCGCCTGTATGCGCACCAGTGAGTTGTGGAAGGCTAATAGGGTGGTTGTGTACAACGCTGGCAGTAGTAGCAAAGTGAGTAACAACATCAAAGAAGCCACGCTTGCCGCTTTTTATCTTCTAGCCATCAATACCTACGTGTACCTTATTTATAGCTGCAGATAGTCTAGGATCATCTACGGCCTTAACAACTTACATAGCCTTATCACGTACATTGCGACACTGCGAGGGCTTCGTCGCAGTGCGATTTCTGCCTCTGGGTTGGCGAACTTCATCATATCACGCGTCGATTGCCGCGCGATCACTCCCATGAGCATATTGTTGTCAACGAGCTAGAAAAAAAAGGCAAGCCGAATCTGCTGTACATTAAAGTGGCCAAACACGTCGACTGCTTCTTGGTATAGTTCAACGCCGCCGTCGATCGCCTACTGCAGCAATAGCTGACCTTGCCTGTACGCGGTGCTGCTTTCCGCGTTGAAATTTTTGGACAGGCTATAGCCTCGTGCATGCTTCTAGAGGTGAGGTGCTGCTGCAGATGTCGCTCTCGTTATATCGTTTAGACCACCAGCAAAGATCTTGTGAGAATGGCGGTATCTGCATACCACACTCTCTTTAGGTTGCTCTGCTTGACAACGCGATAGTCATGCTGATATATTCAACTCATCTTGCCTGCCGATGCCTTTGCTGGCTTCATGTATTGCTCCAGCAGCTGTCAGCTAATCCCATCAAAGTGATCGGCACCGTCAGTCTGCTACGTTGACCGGCTAGCGCCAGCGCCAGCGCCGTCTGCTATTGATCCAGTGCCAGCGTGAACACCATTGGTATGCGCGGTGATCTTAGCTTTAGGTTGCGATTCCAAAAATTGCGTTTCCCACGCTGGCTCAGACGGCGACTCGGTAGCCTGGCTAGCCAGGGCTCTTGAGGCGACGGCGATCGCTGCGATACTTAGGCGCAGTCATTGAATAACTTCAACAGCAACCATGGGTGCATCGCTACGCTTCTTTTGGAGATCAGGGAGGTATCTTAACGCTTTGTCAAGAACGAAAAATATAGGCAGAGAATAGAAGATTTAGAGGAATTCCGCTAATATAATCTGGCAAGACGCGCCACGACGCGCTGTGACGAGAAACTCCATTCTTTATCCATCCTTCACCAGCCACCCCAGTACAGTCTCATCAATCTGGTAATCTAGATGTCACAGATTGATTGATTGAGCGACTAATCTGAAAACTAGCTTCTTGATTTGATTGTAGCTTCAATCTGGCAATCTTACAAGATCACTCTTACAGTCCAGGTTGATTGTTGCGGACTCTACTACATGTATTGTTCCCAAGTATCTTGAACGTAGACCTTGTGCAAAATGTGCTTAGGAATACATTGTGCACACTAATCTAGCCTCTTGAACAGCTCTCATACGCTTCCTGTCCATCACAGCTTCATGCGACAATGTGATTAAGTTCTCTATTTATAGAGCCTTACTGTGCAGATCTGTTCATTGTTCGTACATCGGTTCGTACATCGATATCTCTAAAGCCAACGCCAATTCGTCCTAATCGGTGGCACTCGCTCCTCTCGATGCCGGCTGCTCCGGAAGCGGCGGTCAATCTGGCTCGCCATGATTCATCTGGCTGCTCTGCCACAATTCCTCTTCCAGGTTCTTCTCTTCATCCGTGTGGTGGTATTTGCCAAGCATTTTAGTTGATGATGGGCGCGGCACAGCGTTTACATCGACTGGTAGCGAGCCAGTACTGAGCATATACGGTAGTGGATGGGGTCAGGGTAGAGCGGAATAACCTAATTGTGGTGTACCTTGGGCACTCGTTGGCGTCCGCTCACCTGTCTCGCTGTACCGCCGCAGCTCAGGTGTTTCAGGAAACGTAGTGCAGGAACTAGTGTTCGGCGCTGACTTCTTCGAGTGAAGGGTTGCAAGAGAGACGCCACTATCGCTTGCTAGTCAGAGTGGCAGATTGCTACGCACGTGGCATAACTTTCTTTTGCTCGCTTTTCACGGAACCTCCGGAGGCAGCAGATCTCAAGCGATTACGGTAATCCATTAACCGATGTTGTGTTAAGACAAAATCCGTCAAACTATCGGCCATGTGGCTTACTGTTCATCCTGATGGGTTCGTCGCCACCCAGAGTTTGTGGGAAACTACTTATCGCGTATTCCTGACGCCCAGATCTAGCGATATGATGGTTAGATATCGGATTAATATTAATATGAACTACTGACTCCTTGGAAGATAGATAGTGACGGGTTTAAGACAGAGTTGTGCTCTGCAGGTAAAGCCACGCTGCATGTCTGTTGATGATACTGAAAGAAAAAGAACGATTAGAGAAAGAAAAAAAAGAAATGAGAAGAAAGAAAAGATATGTTATGCGCTGAAATTCCTGAAGGGTCCGGTGTGAAAGAGTGTGTCTCGCTGTTTCCATCTGGCCGGAATGTGAGCATTGAGTCAAGTGCATAGTCGGCGAAGGAGTACTCGAAAATTGCCAATAAGGATTATATGGCCACGTGCATTTGGTAGATACGAACTCAACAACGATGAAGCATTGTTTCTTGCCTACGAACATGATACAGAGAACATAAATTTGAGCACTCAAGATTTCGGTAAAACATAACCATGACACCTTTTGAGAGACCATTCCAAAGACGTGAATCTAAAAACAAAAAACCCTCTGGTTTCCATAATATTAACATAGAAAATAATGCGGTTTGAAATGATCGGACCGCTGGATATAAAGCTTTCAAGATACTGGTATCTTAAGAATAGAAATTGTCGACGTAGGACATTGGAGGTACAGTCAATAAAAGAAATAAGTGATGTAGAAAGGTTGGAGAGAGAGAAGAAGAAGAAGAAGAAGAAGAAGAAGCTCCTAGTAGAGGAGTGACTATCCCGCTTTGGGTTTTTGTGCCTCAAGATCATCTGTTGAGACTGCAGGTTGACTTGATGTAACACCCGAAACGCCCCAAACTTGACTTCCCAGGTTCTTCATGACCCTGGTGAAAACTGTGATTGAGATGAACGGTGAGAAGAGTTTGTTAAGGAAGAATCCGAGGAACAACTTGTGTCCTCGTTTTCTGAGCTCCGGCTCTAGAAAGATTGTGGAGAAAATGAACCAAAGGAGTGGTAGTTGAGTGATGATAAGAAGAGGTAGAATGTCGAAAATATGGAAAATTTCTACGAGTCCCTTGATGAAGAGTATTGTGTTGACAACTCGGTAGTAGATCATGGTCATGCGTGCTAGTTCCATGAGAGCAGCGATGCGTGTAATGATCCACATATTGTTGCCAAAACAATAGAAGTAGTTGTTGAAGTAAGCGTTGGAGCCCCAACGTCGTCGTTGACTTAGGTAGTGCAGTAAGGATTGTGGTGCTACTGTCTCGCTCACGGCATCTGGAACAAAGATGGTGCGCATCTTCTTGCTCTGAGAGAGCATCGAATATGTCAAGCGACGATCTGTGCCGAGGTATTGTACCTGGTGGTGGATCACAGGGAGGCCGGTGACTGGTGCGGCATACTTGGTTATAGCACCGGCCATTTCGGGTCGTACGGCAATCATGGTGATACAACCTGGCAGGCAAGTGACCTTGCCTATTGCGCCTTCGGCCATTCGCCGCACAAACTGCCCGTAGGTATACTGAATATTGTTAGCACGAACCCATTTCGTATGGAAGTGTGATGCCACATACCTGGTACTGTTGGTAAAGATTCCAAATTGACCATTCGTAACCAGGCTCAAGTTCAACTAGAACCAGACCACATGCGGCAATCGCATCGGGTTCGTTAGAAAGAGCATTTGCGAGCTTGGCCACAGCACCCTGGCAAACGGTAGAATCGGCATCGGTACAAAAGACCATGTCAAAACCAGTAAAGTTTAATCCTGCAGTCAGTTGTGGAAGAATCTCTGCCCAGATTTCCTCGCGGAGGTTTTGTGTGTATACAGGCATGTTCTCTCGAGGGCTGTTGAATAGATCATGGCACAACACCAAGCTGTCCTTTTTGCCGGAATTCTGAAGCTTCTCGGCCACAAAGATGGGCACATCGTCGATGAAGCCAGCGACCAACTGCAGGGTTATCTTCTTCGACTTGGTGGTTACATATGGTCTGGTCCAAGTCTTCACCACACGTGTCATGTGTGACAGGATATCGCGATGTTTGCCATCCAGAATGACACACATTACTTGCATGTGTGGATCTACGTCGTTGTGTCGGAGGGCCTTGATTGCTTTGATGATTTGCTCTTCGCTCTCAGAGTAGGTCGGGATGAGCGAAAGGATCCACTTGCGGCTTACTTCAGGCTTAGGACGAATGCAGTTCTTGATAGAAAGATAGATCTTGCTGCCCATGATCATAAAGACGGACAAGACATCTTTGGCTTTGACAAAGATCATGAAGACGAGTACAAAGAGTCCTGGATGGGTGAAGATGGCTACCAATGAGACAGTGATGTTAATGGCCAAGATGGTGAATGCGAAGAAGAATCTTTGTAAACCCAATTCCCACTTTGTCAGATGCCTTGCTGGATCTTTGATCTCTGGAAGTTCTGGCCATTCCTGACTGAAGTGCTTTTCATTTTGATACACTGACGGCGTAGTGTATTTGGTATCGTAACTATGTCCGGAGTTGTGATTGGATTTGCTTTTTGGGAATTGTGACTCAGGACGACCGATCTTGGTAGCGAACGTCGAAGCATATCCACTTAGTACAGTGCTCGAGGTAATTGGCCGCTGATCATTACATCCTTTCTCATTGAGTGTAGTTTGTGTTGTGTTCCATGAGGTGTATCTGCCCTGCGGGTCGGCAAAAGGATTAGGGGAGATCCTGTCGGCAGAAGCATTGGAGGGTGGATCGGCAAAAGGATTAGGAGAGATCCTGTTGGCGGAAGGATCGGAAGGCGGATCGGCAAAAGGATTGGAAGAGATCCTGTCGGCAGGAGGACTGGGAGAGATCTCATCGGCAGGAGGATTGGGAGAGACCTTGTCCGAAGAGGGATTCGAAGACATCTTGTCTATTTACAGAGGCGTTTATATAAAAAAAAGAAGAAGGTGCAGAAAAGATAGTAGCTCTTCGTATCGAGCACTAAAAGCGGAATTCTGATCTACGCGACTAGAGGCGTATAGTAGATAACGAGAGTAGTACAAAGTGTTTCCTGAATGGTTCATCAGTATTGGTATATCATTGATGCCGTTTAGAGTCTCATACCTCTAGATCCACAGATACTAGTTGAACAAAAATTAAGTGTAATGGAAGATAGCGATAAGACTGTAGGCTGCCCGTTGAAACTATGGCAGACTCCTCATGATCCGATTGTCTCAAGCCTCTATCGTACCGAAAGTCTTGTTGGCAGAAGAAAGAGGGAACTCGACGATACTTTCGGATTGTCAAAAGTTGCACCCTTTTACTACAAAAGTCGTCAGTGCTAGTGCCTCGAAAAGGACCATGTCCAACTTGGGAAGGCCCACTGTCCAAGATAGGCGACGCCACGACAGCCGCATGCATGCCGCCATAGTGCGAATCAGTTGTGGAATAGCACCCATGCGCGGTCTGGCCGTAGCCTGTCACCGGTGGCCACATAGACTTCTGCTCTTTGGGGGCGGAAACCACAACCAAGCTTGGCGATATGTGGAGGCGACCTGAACACCGGAGGCTTAGTTCAAGGGAGCTATGATAGCTTCACAGACGGCTTGCGCTGGCAATTGAGCTTGTGGCTGCCAAGCCATCTAAGCCTTCGGTTTCTGCACTACTTCCCGCTGCACTGAATCTGTTCTACACAGACGTCTGGCTACACCCGCTCTGCTGAACACGTGCATATCTAGTAAGGCGAACTTTTCGCACGTGGCGCATCAACTGTCTGTGCATCAAGTCCAGAACATTATTGATTATCAGCCATGAGCAGAGTGACGGCCGGGGATGTCACACGCAAGGGCTTGTATGGGGCTTCCGTGGCTTCTCGAATAATTAAACCGTCAGTATGGCTCAGCTAAGTAGCCACTGTGAAGCATGTGCCCATTTCTCTCGTACCTTAGTCATGTTAAGGTGCAAAAAGAAAATTGCCCCTGACACTATATTAAGCAGTGTAAGATATACCACTTGAGTACTACCGTGAATACAGGAAGGTTAACCAATGTGTTTGGCTTGCATTAGCCCTCGGCTCTGGCGCTTAGTTCTCGGCTGTAGATCTGGTTCTTGGCTCTTGGCTTTCAGCTCTTGGCTTTTGACCACGGCTCTTGGCTCTCAACTAGCCTCCAGCTATAGCATCTTTAGCTCCAGCTAAGTACATTTTAAAATTAAAGGGAATACAGGCACAAGCGCGATTCAAACGTCGTGCTTCGTTTGGCTGTTGCTTCCACTGCGCTAACCTAGACCCATGACCTGTTAATGTGCAAAAAGACGATCGCCCCTAGCCACTGTATTGAGCAGTAGGATATACTACTTCAAGGCCTTGACCACTGGCTGGGAAACCTGAAATTCCAATGGTTCCGAGACGTTGAAGTACCACTGGGTACCCAGGTAGTAGGTCGCAGGTCGCACTTCCCCATTGTTAGGTTGTGGGGTAAACATGCAGTGTACCGGTAGACCGGTCGAGAGCTGTTAAGCAACTCCACCGCGGAGAATATTGTGCTACGCTGGCGGCACCAAATCCACTAACCACTTTTGGACCCGCGCTTCCAGCTACGCTACGTGGCTATGTGCTAGGGGGTGGCGCGCTTGGCAATACCGCCAAACAATAGCCGATAGCGCCACTTAAACATCACGCCAGCCTTACAGTGCTCGGTTATACCGAGAGGTTGTTACAAACTAACGTTCCTCGCAATTTTGCTATTATGTAAGTTGATCTTCTTACCGTGTCAGTGCGCATGACGCCCAGAGTCGCGTAATAACGCCTGATTCTGGCGCCAACGAGCTCGCAAAAATGAGGCTGTAGACTTACCTATCATCACTATCATGACAAGAATTTGTGGTGTAGTAGTTTTTCATCAGAGTGCTTGATAAAGTCAATCGCTGTATGGAAGCCCGTGGTTATCGAGGATCGAGAGTCGATACTGTACACATGATTTCTGCTTAGTGTAGCGGTCAAATATTTGCTCAAGCCTGGAGAAGCTAAAGTCGTCGTTGGTCCAGCATACAAGTCACATCGTGAAGTGCACCAAGTGCTGTTGTAGGTTGATATCATCTACTCCAGCTCGATGATATGGTCTCACCAATTGCCTCATGCATGATACCAGGCGGTAACGCACTCCTACAAGGTCACACAAGTCAATCCTGTCACACCCTGTCACATCCTGTCAATCACTGTCACTCACTTTCAGTTACCACCTCATAGGGGCTGCGTGACCTTCTTCTCATACTGACGCTTGCTGAAGACCCGTTTTGTTGACCCATTAATCACGTCGATCATGAGACTTTTTTTCGTTTGTATTGTACTGATTCTCTGGCCTAACGTTGTACTGAAATTTCTGGTGACGGTGTAGAAAGCGGGCATCGCAGATTTGAGAGAGAGAGAGAGTCTGTTGCGCAACAACAGACGCGAAAATTCATATCATGACTATTTCAGGTAGTAAGGAACGCTCAGTGAGCCTTTGTTACACTTGGCGAGCGCAGCTTCTTATTATGGGTTGAGTTTGTGTTGCTCGGAGATCTTGGTTTCCTTAGAGGTTCTGGAGATCGGGCGTTCGCGACCCCGGGCGTCACGCTCACAGACACAAGTAGCGATTTCCGCAAATGGCCACGAAATTCAATACACGTCATTCCAACAGCCCTATATCACATATTCAGCCGCTATCCATAATGGATGAGGCTTTGTTTGGAGGAAGCTGAAAGCAGCTCTCACCGGACGTTAGAACATTCTCGCCTCGGCAGCGGTAGTGCTTTGGGAAAGCTGATATTGTTAGTCAACCACTATGCATCAGCTATACCGGGGAGCACAGCGAATCCGGCCTTGGAGACTAATGACCTTTCTAGTGGCGGAAGCCCCGGGGGAATATGATTCTGGAGCTTACAAGATGCGCCCTGCATTGGCTAGTCATTGATGATCTGCAAGCCCGATTCCAAGATCGAATCTCGAGGCTTCTGGACACAGTCTAGCAAAGATTCGCTCACATGCAGCCGGACACTGCACCTCTGTCTTTTGCAAACACAATTCGCCACTATCGCTTAGATAAATCTTGCTATGATGATGTGCCCGCTTGAATGTGCAATGTTTTTTTGGAGGAGAAACGAGGATGAGTTCAAGTGTGGATATTCTAAAGTATCTGCGTGGCCATCAGAGCTTTTTTGCTCCATCTCAGCTGTCTCCAAAAAAAGATACTTGGTAGCATCATGGACAATTCCGACTTCCTGTGTTGCGAGAAAATAATTTGCTAGTGTCCGCAGTTGTGACCCGACAGCGCGGATTGTAAGTCAGTTCAAAGTTCCCGCTGTGTCATGCACATACGAGTCACGTACTGAGTGTAACGTGTGCGCTAAGCTAAAAAGAAAAAAAAAGGATAGAAAAATGAAGGCCAACGGCTAGCGAGATATTTAACGAACATGAGACAGACCAGTCACTCGGTTAATGGAGCGCCAGTAGCTGGGCGCCTCCCTGGTCTTGCATCTACTATTTTACAGCAAAACTCGCAGTTTGTTAGCGAAAGCGCACCCTGACGGTTAGTTTGATTTGACGGCTAGTTTGAGTTCTAGTCCTCGGTCCCACAGACGGTAGAGCACTCTGATGCAGGCTGGGCCTTTTGTGGGCACAAACAGTAGGGCCGAGCACGAGTTTTTCGAGGTTTGTGACGCGCTGCCAAAACGGGCGAGGGATGGTCTCGCCTGTTTTGGACCGCCCAAGTGAGCAACTGCAACGGACCAATACTTCCGCTTCGAGCTTCTCAGAGACAGGGGGGTCAGCTTAACCGTTTGCGCTAGCACCAATCTGCCCGTTAAGTAGCGCCACAACGCCACTGCCAAGTCGCCAAATCTCTTGGCTGGAAAATCTTCGAACCTGGCCACCTCTCTCCATCAACATGGCTCCTCACGCTCATGTCTAACACTAAGTATACTGTACTCAACCCTGTATAGCCACCCTACGCAATACCCAGTAAAGTCTCCATCTGTTGGCAGACTCACCTCCCAGGTCTCCTCCGAGCTGACGAGAATCAAGTTCACGCACAGTTGACAGCATCCGTAGCTGAGCTATCGCTGCTGCCTTTAAGCCCAAATATGTCAGAGCTGCTGCTTCTTCTTCTTCTTTGCAATTCTGCCTACTTCTGTCACCTGAGGTGGGATTAACGTAGTTGTGGGGTAAATGGATCCACAATCTGTAAAGTGATGTGATCGGATGTGTGCGGAGATGCCCCCGGAGGCTTGCAGCGCTCTGAGCGGTGGAGTCAGACCCACCCATTACGGACCATCCACCGGTCTGATGTGACTGGCTGCATCCTTTTTTCTTCCTTGATGCCCAGTCGAGTTGTTGTTGCCTGGCATTGCATCTTAGGTAAGCAGATGCACAACAAGAAGGCCGAAAACTTCATCCATGCGGTCACGGTGATGAGTTGTGAAAAGAGAATCGTATTATTGCATTAAGCTAAACAAAAACGCCTGATCATGCCCTACTCAATAATGTCTACAGAATTTTGAAAAAGGTATCCGTGCGAGAATACGATGCGGAAAATTAATCACAAACCCTTTGACAACCCAGATGGCGATCCCATGCTGAAGGCAGGGTTGATCAATGTGCCAGTAAAGTCCTCGACCTTGACACCGCGAAGCTGCTCAAGAACATCCATATCCAGACCCTCCTGGTTGACCGAGACGATGATGCCATCGTATGTGCTGAGGTGCTCAGCGTTCCACTTTGTTGTAGTGTCCATCTTGGGAACAGCATTGTAGATGTCAGTTCCGACCAGGGGATCGGCAAACTCAACGTAGCTTCCAAAGCGGCTCTTCAATGTGCGGATGATGGCAGCGCCAGGCGAGTTGCTCATGACATCCTGACCACGCTTGAAGCCAACACCGACAACAAGGAGGCGAAGTTGGCTGGGGTCAACAGCTGCCTGTCCCTGGGATGACTTGTCTTGAACGAGAGACTGGACAAATCGGGTCGCAACGTCTGCGGGGCGCGACCACGACATGGTAGTGGCGTGCTCAAGGAGAGGCATGGAGCAGTTGGACAGCAGGTAGTAGGGGTTGACGGGGATGCAGTGGCCACCGATACCAGGGCCTGGGCGGAAGGGGAGGTAGCCAAATGGCTTCGAGGCAGCTGCGTTGCTGACCTCAAAGGCGTTGATGCCAATGTTAGCGCATGCATCAGCCATTTCGTTGGCGTAAGCGGCGCAGACCATGCGCTGGCAGTTCTCGTAAAGCTTGGTCATCTCGGCAACCTCTGGGGAAGAGACAGGAAGAAGCTGGTTAAACACGCGGCCGTAGAGGGTGGAAATGGATTCCAGAGATGCCTCATCAAGACCAGAGACAATCTTTGGGATATCCTCAAAGGCAGGGAATGTGCGACCGGGATCAACACGCTATGAACTATTAGTAACCATGATGGAGAATGGAGAATTCAGCACAATGGCTGACTTACCTCAGGAGACATGCCAACCTTGAGGTTGCGAGATGCCATCAGGGGACCCACGAGCTCGCGAGTCATGCCAACCGCGACCGAGCTCTCAACAACGACAGTGGATCCAGGCTTGACGTACTTCTCCACTGTAGCGATCGCACTGCGCAGATATGTTGTGTCGATGCTCTTGTCCTCCTTGAGAATGGTGGGGACTGAAATAAGAACATGGCTAGCTTCGCTGATATCCTTTGCGTTGGAAGTGAACTGAATTGGGAGACCAGTGAGTTGCTGCGCTACCTTGGCGAGTCTTTGCTCGCTGAGGTCAAAGGCAATGACGTTGTAGTGACCGGCAAATGCCTCTACCAGGTGGGTGCCAACGTAGCCAACACCGATGACGGCAACAATGGATTCAGGCTTTGTTGGCTCAATCTCCTGTTGGCTGGCAGTCTCCGCAGGCTCCTCGATAGTCCACTCTGGCGATTGAGGGTCTTCTTCAGCAGGAGGAGTAAGTGGAAGACACACAGTGGTGATGGTGATCTCAGACTTCTTGTCCATAGAGAAGGACTTGTTGTCGAACATGCTGTCGGTGAAAGTAACGGCCATTGTAGCGAATGAGGCAAATTGCAAAAGTTGATGATGAGGAGGAAAACGATGGAAGAAATCTTCGAGACACCGAGTCAACGATTGGAAGGTTGCTTGATCAGAGACGGTAGTAGTGAGTGGAAGTGGTTGCTTGATGATGCTTCCATGGTCGACTTGGACCGGTGTCTTTATACTCGAGTGAAGGGTATGTCGTGATATCTCAGCTCTGTAGTTCCAGCTCTAGAGTTCCAGCCACGTCGAATCGCGCTGCAAGTTCAGACCTGGCGAGACTACGATTAGGTTAGAATGGCCAAAGCGTTGTTGTTTGTGATGTGGTATTCTAGCTCTAGAGTTCCAGCCACGTCGAATCGCGCTGCAAGTACAGACCTGGCGAGACTGCGATTAGGTTAGGATGGCAAAAGCTTTGATCTTTGGTGGTAGACCTCTCTGCCGTCGCCTGTAACGCCTTTCAGTTGATAGGGCTATGGCTGGCTGGTTCGATAATTCTAGAGCGCCATCTTCTGCATACTCTGCAAGCCTACCGAACTCGGAGTCTACGGTAGTGTTGTCGACGGCTGGTTCAGCTCATCACCGGAAGCTCCGAACGATTGCCAAGGCCACTTAGAGGATAAGGGCACGTTACTATAAAAATTGTTTGATTCATATTTCTAGTATTACGTAAATCTCCTTTACAAACATAGGCAAAGAAAAAGGGACATGAATTTGCTGGGTAGACAAATTTGGTGAGAGAGGTCTTCGCTGGTGTGGTCACCCTCGGTTTCTGATTGGGTAGTCTACTGCGCGCAACGGCACGACCCAGAAAGAGCTGAACAAGTACTTTCACCACGTGCTGTTTCATATTGCTCCAGGTCAGGACCGATCTGGAAAACTCGAATGTGCATGCTAATACAAACAAGCTTAAGCGCCAAGCCACGCAAGAAGAGGCGCTTAGGTACAGATCGCCCCTTAGTTCGCCAGGCTTGGCAAGACGGCGCCACGCCAAGCTCCACGAAAAGGGCCACTCGGTTTGCCAAGCTTGTGGAGGCGGCGCCACGCCAAGTCTTGCAACAAGCACGACAAGAAGGCGTAGCGCCAAGCCTTACGAAAAGGGGCTCAGTCTGCAGTGTACAAGTCGCGCCTAACTTCGACAAGCATGACTAGGCGGCGCCACGCCAAGCATCCCTTCAGCTCTCTACTGGCAAGCCGCAAGGTGTACTTACGTACAGTCATCGCTCAATAGGCTGAGCTTCTGTTCTAGTCTTGCAGCAAATACTTACACAAGCGAGCATCAACTCAACAATTGTTGCCCATTCTACAACTACGCAGGACCGCGTCTTTTCTAAGCGAACATCTCTTCCACGCTTGCCCCTTGCCCTACGGCATAGGCTACAACAATATGGCAATGATATCAATATCTTGTTAGAGGAGCCCTCGTCACCGAGAATCTTGAACGCTACAATTAGGCCCCAATAGCATAGATAATTGAATCTGTTGTTCTTGTTGCTGTCGTTTTAGCGCTGTAGCAAGCTGGACGTGGCGATTTACTTTAATGTTCCCGGAGGCCATCGCTTAGGAGAAATAGGCTCATTCGTCCCGTGAACAAGATGCTTTAGTGGCGTTTGCAAGCGAGTCGACGTTCAAATTGCGTCCAGCGAATAGGCCCTTCAGCCACTTCGATAGCCTTAAACAATCTAGAATTCCTCATTAAGTCATGCCCTCGCTAGTGCTCATCTGAAAAGGTCCAAAGCTGCAGACCAGACCATTTTCGTGGCGCTCTTGTCCGTGGCATCTGGACCTCATCACCCGCGTAGAGTTTACAGCTGTACACATGCTCCCCGGGAACCCCGGAAAGCATTCGTACGATTTTTGCATATATGCTTACATTTAAGTGCGGTCTGTTACCCTGTCAAGTTGCTACAGCCAAATCTTTATTTTGCTACCACCCTGTCACCACCGCATCTAGACTATCTCAGGCTTGCAAGACTTCACGTATATTGCAGCGAGTATGGGTTTCGGATTCGGCAACATGGCCCGCGCCCTGGGCGCACTTGTAGCAGTGCTTCCTTTTGCATCAGCAGTTCCATTTGGTTTGCAGATATACTCGTGCACTTTGCCTGGCGTCATCGCCCCGGGTTTTGACGATGGCCCATGGATCTACTCAGAGGATATCCTCGACCGGTGAGTCGTCTTCCAGTGACTGTTATCCTACCTGGAACCTGCTAACTATGGTCCTAGTATGGAAGCTGCGGGTATCAAAGCGACCTGGTTCATCAATGGGGCCAACAAAGGAAACATCTACGATTACAACTCTACTTTGCTGAGGATGATCGACATGGGACACCAGATCGGATCACACACGTAAGCAGTCTTTCTGTGCATTCTAACTTTCATGCTGACTTAGGCGCGTTAGATGGAGCCACAAAAATCTCGCTACTTTGACTGCTGATGAGGTAAAGCAAGAAATGCTTTTGTTAGAGGAGGCCTTGATCAACATCCTCGGTTATTTCCCTTACTACATGCGCCCTCCGTTCTTATCAGTCAATGCGGTCGCGCTCCAAGCACTCAAGGAACTTCAGTACCATGTCATCATTGGTGACCTGAACACCAAGGATTGGCAATATCAGTCAGAATCTGGGATCGAGACTGCAAAAAAGCTATTTACCGACGGTCTTGACCTTGGTCGCACCATAGTGGAAGCGCACGAGCAGGAAGAATGGACCCACGGAGTACTCATTGACTTCATGATCCAGACAATCCAAGCTAGGGGTCTCAAAAGTGAGTGTCAAATCAACTCTATTCACATATTGCAAGGACTAACGACTTGAAGCTGTCACCGTAGCCGAGTGCCTACAGGATACACAGGTGTATCGCCAAGTGCGATCCACCAACACTGTAAGTAGAGTTTCCTTCACCCCTGCGAAGCCGCCGCCTAAGTTATGCAGACGTCCACCGACCCGGAACCAAGTACAGTCTACTCCCTCAACGGACTATGTGGTAATATCAATGCCGGCAATAATCTGGGATGGACGTGCCCTCCAAATGGCGGCAGGTGCTGCAGCAAGTATGGACACTGCGGTAGCGGTGCCAGCTATTGCGCTCCCAACGTATGCCAGCCCGCTTTCGGGTTGTGTGATGCTGCACCAACAAGCACATACATCGACGAAGCCTCAAACGTCCATACCGGGACTGCACTGCCCTCTCGGACTGTATCTGCAACACCTCTTGCAACACCCCTCGAACGTGGAAGCATAACACCAGACAGAACCTGCGGAGACGTTGGCAAAGGCAACAACAACGGCTACGTCTGCAAGCCCGGCCAATGCTGTAGCAAGTACGGAAACTGTGGTACGACTTCAGACTACTGTGCACCATCAGTATGTCAGAGTGCTTTCGGAATGTGTGCTGATTCCGCTCCCGCACGTGGAAGCGTTTCACCAGACAGAACCTGCGGAGATGTTTATAAAGGCAACAACAACGGCTGGGTATGTAAAACCGGCCAGTGCTGCAGCAGGTTCGGGAACTGTGGTACCACTGCAGATTACTGTTCCCCATCAGTATGTCAGAGCGCTTTTGGGATATGTTTTGATTCCGCTCCCGCACGCGGAAGCGTTTCACCAGACGGAACCTGCGGAGACGTGGGTAAAGGCAACAACAATGGCTGGGCATGTAAACCCGGTGCTTGCTGCAGCAAGTACGGCAACTGCGGTACTACAGACAGCTACTGCTTGGCTTCACTGGGTTGTCAGTCAGCCTTTGGTAATTGCACAGGCGTGGCTTCTTCTTCCAGCTCAGGATCTTCGCCAGCCTCCAGCACACCCAGTTCTGCATCCAACTCCACGAGTCCTTCCTAGAGCTCACCCAGCCCCTTTAGTGGCTCAATACTATCAATCAGTCTCGCTGCCCTGTCGACCAGCAACTGAACTACACTCCTTTCTAGCATTTCTACAGTCAATGCTTTACTTTCTGCTTCGCTTCCCGGTGGTACATCTGTAGCTTCCCTTAGCAGTACAACAACTAATGCAGGTCTCGGAACATGTGTTGGCGGCTCTGTGAGCAGCTCCTCTAGCAGTTCTCCCACCAGCTCTGACACGGTTTCGTCGGCTAGTTCTGCGGCAATAAGCAGCTCGTTGAGCCAACCTATTGCTGCTGCTGCCGTTGCCGGCAGCTCAAGCAAGACTAGCAGTACAACAGGCTCGAGCAGCACTGCAGTATCAAGCACTTCTGCGGACACAAGCAGTGCTCTTGTTGCCTCCCATTCCATCACCAGCACATTGGTTTCTGCACTGTACTTGGTTTGCACGTGCAGCTGATTCCCAGGCATCCTTTTTTGTTGCCTTGCGCATCTCTCGGTCGCCGGTGTCTTGGTTCAGAAACAATCCTGTCGTCTGTTGCGAGCAGTTCTATCACTTCGAGCACTCCTACGAGCTCTTCTGCTCTTTACACTCTTGTAATAATGGCGCAATTTTAATGATAGGTGCGCTCAGAATATAATGATTTCTTCTCTTAGCAGTGTCCCTTACTCACTTTCAATCACTTGTGCACCAGAGTTCGTTCAGAGATGAAGCATTACTTCTGCTCTTTTGTCTTCATTATTCAGCGCATGATTCCCAGCAAGATTCAGGGTGCACGCGAAGAACACATCAAGCGCGAGTACTGAACTGACTGTCACTACAGAACTGAGGTTTGTGAGGTAACCTGAGATAGTCATTGAGTGAATGTTCGGAAACTTGACCTAGAAATCTTTCAGAGTAGGTTCGGACACCTAGACTTGAAACATGTTCCCCTTATTGGAACTGCACAAGTCGAAAGGGTTTCTGTGGGAATCTGGTTATTTCTAGTGCAAAGTCTGTTCCGACGCACCTGCAAAACTCCCCAAACTCCCCTCTTTTCCACACCTTCTTGTCGTCCTGTCAAGAGTATTCTCTTCGATATGGTCTTGAAAACAGAAACATCGCGTTTGTCGACGAATCTTACCCACCACTGATGGCGTCTCCACAGATTGTGATTTGCTGCATGCAACATAACCAATTTATAATAGCCAATATACTGTGCACACGTGGCGCTGACCAACAAAAGGCGTCACAATTTCGCCAGCAGATCAAGACACTCCAGATGCCTACCTTTAGTGGCCTCTTCCCCTGCTTCGAGTTGAAGCGAGGGAAGCACAGCTTCAATACTTATATGCACGATTATGCTGCGTGCCAATGTCACATGTGCTGTGTGACGGAGTAAAATAAGCTTTACCGACCTCTCGTGAAGCACGCTTCTCCTGATACAAAATTACTTGATGGTAAACGCCACTTAACAATATTGTGTCTTGCACTCGTGCCAGGTCTAAGCGGGATCGAGAGCTTAGTCTCAGGCTCACAAACGGCACCGCGAGTCCTTGCGAAATTGTGATGACAGAGTTAGCGGCTGCGAAGCTGCAGATTTGCTGTGGGTTTCCTTACCCCTGAATGACTGCTGGAAGTTCGATTACACATGGCGCTTACAACAAGCAGAGACACTTTCCACTGTGGTTATAGTGCATGTCGAGAACCCGCTTTTGGCGTTGTGCGGCATGATTGACTGCTAGTGGCTGGCTGGTAGCATGGCAGCATTCGGAGGACTATGGTAACACATGACAAACAGTTTAATAATAAAGGGCGGTACCTGAATTAGCGTGTCCGAGGAAGCGACAAGCAGCGGCTGACCATGCCAAATTACTCTCTAGCGATTCGTTAACGCTGCCAGTTTGTGTGTTTGTGTTTCATACAAGATCTTAGTGCCCTCCATGATTGGCCATACTGTTTCGAGGCTGAACTCATCAACAACTCTACCACAATTCCGGCATGACTCGTTGTATTTTGGACATCTGTCGCCAGGATGGGGCGGTAGTGCGGCTGGCTGGCCACCGAGATTCTAGGCTGCAGAATCAGCGCAGGGGATCCGCAGCTCGACATCAAAAGCCCGATCAGCCCCTGCTTCCCCGCTTCTTCTTCTTACCTTCAGTCTGGAGCTCATAACTACCAACTATCCTTCCCCTCGGCACTTTGCTGCTTCTTTCACTCATTACCGTCGCGAGTCGACATCCACTCCTTTCTCGTCTTGACGTCCTAGTGACTCAGTCTATTCTTGTGACATACTACCGCAATTGCAACTTTGATCTTAAATCATCTTTTACATATCAGAAAAAAATGAAGACTCAATCTATGCTCCTCGCGGCGCTGGCCTCTGGACCAGTGGCTTTGGCTCATACTGTCTTCACTGACATCTATGTCAATGGAGTTCCACAGGTTCGTGAATGAGGATCTATCATTGTGCTTTAGCTAATGGTATTAGGGCGATGGAGTTGCTATGCGCATGAGCAACGACCCACCGCGCTCCATGTATCCCATTAGCAGCCTAAACAGTGATGACATGGCTTGCAGTACGTCAATTCTTCCAATTCGATTACACTGTGTCACTGACCATCGACTTAGACGTCGGCGGAACGAAGGGTGTTTCTCGTGTACAGTCAGTCCCGGACGGCGCGACACTCACATTCGAGATCCGTGCTTCGCCCAAAGATCCCTCCAAGGGGCGCCTTGAGCGCGGCCACAAGGGCCCCTGTGCTGTCTACCTCAAGAAGGTTGCTTCCGCTATTGAGGACAAAGGTTAGTCCGATTTGCTCAAGCATTCATGACATTCATGCTAACAGCATCCGCAGGTGCTGGTGATGGCTGGTTCAAGATTTTTGAGCACGGCTACGACTCCTCCAGCGACAGCTGGTGCTCCGACAAGGTCATCGACAACAACGGTCTCCTCAATGTGAAGCTTCCTACTGGACTTGAGGCTGGTTACTACCTCGCCCGCCCTGAGCTCCTCGCTCTCCACAACGCCAAAGACGGTGACCCTCAGTTCTACACTAGTTGTGCCCAGATCTTCCTCGAGAGCGATGGCAACCTTGTCCCCGAGTCCACCGTCTCCATCCCCGGATACGTCGACTACGGCCAGCCCAGCACTAGCTTCGACCTCTACAACAGTGACAAGTCGACTTACGAACTCCCCGGTCCGAAGCTCGCAAAGCTGACCGCCAACTCTGGTCAGACTGGCAAGTCCGGCCAAACTACCCAAACCGAGGGTCAGAAGCCCGCCGGCTGTCTCGCCGAGAACGCAAACTGGTGCGGTGTTGAAGTTGCCGACTATAGCGACGAGAAGGGCTGCTGGGCCTCCAGCAAGCAGTGCTGGCAGCAGTCCAAGAAGTGCTTCGACACTGCCCCTTGCACTGGAAACGCAGGCTGCAAACTCTGGCAGACCAAGTGCCAGGGCATCAACGATGCATGCAAAGCGGGCAAGTTCCAGGGCCCGCCCAACAAGAACAAGGTCCTTGGGCAGGAGAAGAAGAAGATCAATGTCGGCGCCATGCTCTCGGGTGGCATCGACTCGTCCTACGTCGACACAACCCCCAAGGAGACTCCCAACAAGACTTCTGCTGCCCCCACCAAGGCAGCCAGCGCTGTGCCCGTTGCGCAGAAGCCTGTCACTACCTGTTCCTCCTCGGCCGCTGCCGCGCCGACCAAAGTCGGCGACTACTCTGCCCCCGCCATCATCGACTCGGATGAGGATGCTGCGCCTAGCGAACCTGAGTCCGGGGCCGACGCTGAGGCGCCAAAGGCTACACCCACCCAGGAGGCATCTTCCTACGACGCTGCGCCTGCGCCTACAGCTGCACCTGAAGTTCCTTCGTCCGAGGACGGCGGCTCCAGCTGTAGGGAGGGCGCCGTTTGCGTCATTGTCACTGAAATCGAGACCGTGGTGGAATATGTGACTGTCACTGCTGAGTACCGCAAGCGCGCGGCTGAGCACGTTGCGCGCCACCGTCGCGCGCGTCGCTAGATCTCGTCGTTAGACGCCGAATGTGTTCTTCTTGTTGATATTGTTGTTCTTGTTTAGTGTGGAGATTACCTTTCTGCAATTTCTATTACCAGCGTTGACTCTATGGGAATTTATCTTTGAGCGGATGGTCAATGGTTGGTTATGATACTCCTGGCTTGAACAAAATAAATGTTTACTGCTTGCCAACGGGTTTTATGTCTGTGCTGGTGATATACGTACAGTGTCTTCACGAACTCACGTCGACAACACAGCGTCCACGTGACGTGATGCTCCACTCTGGACTTGAGGTACAGAACTCATCAGCGGGATCCGCTTAATGCTCACCATCCGCAGTCCTGACCATGATACTGTCATCTTGCATACCGAAGTACACGGCAACGGGCGCCTTGATCGCTTTTAGTAGCCTATAGGCACAATGTGGATGTTAAAATTTATAGAGTGCTCTTTGATAGCTTCGACGACGTACACAACTATTATGCCGCTGCTAATGCTGAAGTATGAGGAGTTGGCGTCGGAGTGATCGACCGCTGCTTGTTGGCCGGCTGCGCGCTTTGCGGCTTCGACGTTTGATTTCGTCATTACGGGCGTGCGGGATGGAGATGGTGTGGCAACGTGTCGGCGGTAGGAATCATGTCCTGTTTTGTGTCCATCCCATTTTAGCTAAGTAAGTCATTAGTCGAGTTTGCGCCACAAAAAGACTCGCATTTGTTAGGGATTGAGATGCGCACACCTGCGTGTTTCCTTTATTTCACACGTCCGATAAAGGTCTAATAGAGTTCGTTCCGCTACAACTCAAGAATAATCTTCAGTAGTACAGTGGTCAGGCTTTCCCTTGTCAAGCAATTTACAAATTGCAGGAGACCGGGATTTAATTCTCCGCTGTAGAGTTCATCTTTAACTGCTTTTTTTTGTCTCGTTTTTTTTTCAAACATAGTTAAGATCCAGTTATCACTCAGTGGCATAAAAACAATGCGGACTCAGCAGCCTGCTGACGTTTGTCCACTTTTTGGAATCTGGCCTCCGCGCAAGTGCTGCCGCTTTTTGACGTGACAAGTAGCCAAAATGAACTTTCTCTATACTACTGAAGATGGCATGAAATGACGAAGTACTTTATTTGTTAGGAACGCATTGATAACTATACCTCAATTATAATACTGCAGAGTTCTAGTGTTGCGAAAATGAAATACTGCGTTGTTGGTGTGTTCCCTCAGCTTTTATCATCCTCTTGATCACAGTCTATCCGTAGCTGAGTAGCTTCTCATTGACAGCCCAAACTAATGCTTTGGGGGTATGCTTGGCGGGTATCTATTCCATTACTAGGAGGATTTTGAGTCTGGGATGCTGTACAGTTTGATTGCGCATCATGTGCAGCAGTGATATCACGGCGTCTTCCAACTCTGTACAGTCCCTTCTGGATTCGTTGGACCAACGACACTGATCGAGACGGTCGGTGATCATCAATATTGGCTTCTTCGTTGGCAAATGCTCCATCAGAGCTGATAGGAGGTCTAACATGTGGTCGAATGCTGTCTTTGGCTCTTCGCGGTGCCATTTGGTTGAGGACAATGCTTCCCGAACTAGGTCATGTTGTAATCGCAGGCCAGTGGAATGATGCTCCGCCAACTGGTATACTAAGCCCTTGACTATGCTCGCAAAACTTCGGCGAGACCGTTCCGTTATTGTGTGGCTCGGTTGGCAGAAGACTACGAGGACGTTATACGTCTGACGCATGTTTTCGATCGTCTAGATAGAGGTACCGGACAGCTAGTTGGCTTCAACTGATGGGCGATTCCCATAGTTCCCCCCAGCAAGAAGGAGCATTGCGGAGTTCTTATCTTCGGACCAGGATAGAAAAATTTGATCTTATATCAGTATAGCTTTTGAGATCTGTTGTAGCGGACCACGGGCTTTGCGTCTGCGCTGAGGAAAGCCAGCTGTCAAGACTCGCTTCACGCTACTTGCCACATCTAGGATGGATTGCTCTTCTACATCTTTGAGCTGCATCTGGCCTTTGAGCTCGGACAGGGCCTTGTTCCTTGCTTTAGATTCTGCATCCTGTCTTAAGCGCCATTGGTTCTCCTGGACTCGGACATTGGTATCAGGGCTCGCAATTTCAATACTCTTGGCAGTACTGCTGATTGCCTTGAGGCGGAAGGTCGTCTTCTGAAGCTCCAGCTTGATGCTGCGCAACTCCGATGCCACATCCTCAAGTTTTTGCAACATAAGGATTTCGCATTCTTTGCGCACCTCAAGTAGCTTCATGCGAAGCTTACAGACGTTTTCCATTTTGATCTCGCTTGGCGACATAGCTTGCAGAAGTCTCCTTGGCTCTGTAAAATATGCGATAGTTTCCCGGCAAAAGATAACCGCCAATTCGAAGACGGAGATGATGAGTTGTTTCAGTTGTGGTCAGGATCGAGCTCCTGAAGTGTGTTGAGTCGAGGAAAGGCATTTGCAGAGCGTTGTAAACATAACATTGGATTTTACAGATAGTATGAAAGACTTGACGAGGAGGCAAAGAGATATAAGTGAGGTAGACAGGTGATCGTGCGAGACGTTGCGGCAGATCATATAGGGATGGGGAATCAGGCAAATATCGTGCGTTAATACAATTTCCTCTGTGGACCACCAAAGCTTTAATGCTCAAGACCTTCTCTAGAGGCACGAATGAGCTGACAAGTCAAGCACCCAGACTGAGAAACATTACAAGAACGAGCTTATGCGACGGCACGATGCATCTTGATCTCTTGGTTCTGGGTCTTCTTCTCACTGCATTTGATTCAATTTTCTCTGCACCAAGTCAACATAGCGATGCCCAAATATATGCATACTTGCACACTTCTATGATCCATCGCTTTGCGCAATATTCGAGTTCATCACGAGTTCTCATTCTCATGATTGCAAGTTGGGAACCACCCAAAAGCGGATTTGAAAGCACGCTTTTGGAAGAGGACTGAAAGCAAGGAAGGAGAAGTGTCAAAACAAGAAGCCGACGGAGAAGGATTCTCAATATATTGATATAGTTACCCGATCTAGTCCGGCACAAATTCCCGCGAAGAATGATCTGAGAAGACTGCTATATTTTTTCAGCGTCTTAGAACCTTTTCGGGCACGGAGCAAACGCCGGATAGGCTTGCTAATCTATTCAGGCACTGGGGGTACTGACTTTCGAAGTAATACGGTCTCAAGATATATATCGTCCATCTTGTACATGCAGCCCGAATGTTCCACACTCATGTACTTGCGATGAAGCAAAGCGAAATGCGGTTATATATGCAAACGGAAATTAGTGAGAAGTGACTAGACCCAAGTAGCGCAATCTGATCGAATGTGTTCTGCTAGTGTTGTTATGATATTTATGTTCTACACCAGTGCAGGGTTGCTCGGCAGCGTATAGAGAAAGGTACTCTACCTAGGTAGTGCATGCAACAGCTTACTTGAAGATAGCGTGGCAGCTCATAAAGGATATCAGGGGGCTTTCAAAGTTTCTCGACATAGGCACTTAACACGCGCTGAATACCCATATTATAGCTACTCAGCTAATTCAACACTTTGATCAATGCCTCCCTTTCCCGTGGGAAGATGAAGATTCACTCATGAAAGGCTATATATACTACTATTACATACTAACATTTAATATATACTCTTCTAATATCACATGTTCAAGCTGCGCAGACAGTCATTTGCTCTTAGCATAAAGATTACTAGATTGGTTTTCTTAGGAAAGAATGACAATTCCTTTTGTAGCCCTATAGTACTCCATTGCTACACAGCCTGGGTAGCGCTTGTGGATGGGACGAGAAGTCATGACAGAAATCGTGTGAGAGTGAAGTCGGGGTTTTAGACGGCTAAGTCACGCTAAAAGCGATATACACCTATGTAAAGCAACGCTTAAAATATCTTAAGAAGGAAAGATGGTTTATTTGTATTAATTCAGAACGCGCTGATCAGCTATTTCGTGGAAACCATCGCACTTAGAGCTATAGGATTCCACTGAATCCCAACATCATACTTGATCACTTTGACTATCATCAGCCATAGGCTGCTTTTTTTAGGTTGATAAGGAAAAACAACTGTGCCTGAGTGCGATCCAAGATGCCGCCACAGAACAGACTTAAGTAGTTAATTAAAGTATCAACAAATAAGCGTTCCATGTTGAACGGCATACTTCCAGATAATTGGTACGACGCCTTGGGGGCTAAAATGCAAGTCAGCCTTCGCTTGCTTCAGCCTTCACTTGTCTCAGCCTTCTTTCGCCACCAAGTTCAAGATTGATAAGAAAGCTCGCTATCGCGCTCGAGTGCACCATCCATTATGTGTTATTTCATCCCTTGTCCATACCGAATTTGTATCGAATAAGTACTACCCGATTCCTAGTGCGAAGCCATGTCCACAAAATCCAAGTTCGAACCTATACGGACCGCATGGCATGATCTAAAGCACGATCTCAAATCCACACGATGGCTGCGCGGCTTCTGTTGGGCCCTAGACGTCTTCTGGGTATTCGGTCTCGTTGTCAGCGCAATCATGGTTGGCATGATGTCCACGTTCATCACGACTGAATCTGCGTGCTTGCCGGATGGTAGGTTTAGACTGCGGCCCGACATGTTCAGCATGTGGTCTTCTACAGGCTTCTTTCAAATCACGCTTGGGGGCGGGGATTTGAGTTTTGCGCAGGCTAAGCTCGTGGATATCGTATGGGATATTGTACGTTCAGCAGCCGTGCAGATACAGAACCGCCATGGATTGTTATGTTGACACAAAATAACAGGTTGTCGGACGCGGTGGCCAGGTGATTTTGGCAATAATATCTTGGCGCGAGTTTGCACGGTACTTGACGATTTGCATGGCGAGTGAGCCGGTCTCCTATCAAGTTTTCCGTACGATTTTTATCGAGAACGACGCCTCTGTTCTCTCAACATGCCGAACAATCAAGAGCTTCATCACGCAGCGTAGACTCAAGTCAAAATTCGCCATGGCATTTATGACTGCGACAATGCTTTTCATCCTCGCGTTCCCAACGCTCATGAGCGCTATGAGCGGCTACGATTCTAATGTTTCGTCGAGAGTTCCGGACCCGAGCGATAATCTTGTTCCATTTGGTAATTTTTCGCGGGTACTTTATTTTATTCAGGATGGCTTAAGGATTAACAAGTCGGACAGCTTATGGGTCTTGGATGAGACTGTTTGGTCGGGTACGTATACCGGGTGCTCTGGATTGCGTTGCAGTAGAACTACGATGTAACTTTACGAATAGGAAGAGACCCTGTAATTACAGACGGAGCAGTCCCGGAGAAGGACCTGGCTTATAGAGTCTCCTTGTGTAAGGCAACAAACCCACAGTTCCTACAGCTCTGCTCATCCGCAACAGACGTTAAAGCATATGGGCTCGGTGGTGGACGGGACGAGCCATCTATCTTTGACAATTCTACCTTTTCCTACTCGTCTCAGAAGGGCATGAACCACACACTGAATCCGCCCACACTCAACATCACTGCTTACACCCTTGAAGACACCAGAATGGAGGCTTATAACATCTCCGGCGCACAGGGTATGACTTGGATTAGAGATGGCGAGCTCTTCAACCGCACATACATTGAAAACAATGGACAGTGCCAAAATACGGGCGTGAGTGCGCTCCCCTTTTACCTTCCTTCTCCATCTACTTTTGATCTACGACTGAATTCTTGAACTAGACCTATAAATGGGGCTTCTCATTCCTCCAGCTGTTCCTCTGCATCCTTCTCCTCCTTGCGTGGACAATCGGAATCCACATAATGTGGTTGTATACGCACTATACCCTCCTCTTGCATTCGCGCCTCTCAGAAGAAGTTTCCGGAACGCACCGCGCCGTGCTCGAGCTAGCCGCCGCCATGCAATCCGAGCTTGATCTCGCGGACCTTGATATCTCTTTACTTCGCGAGAAACAGCTTGATGAACGGATCAAAAAGGAAATCAGGGGCGGGACAGTCTTTTATGGGTACGCGGAAGAGAAGACGGAGATGTATAGTATTCGCAGAGGACTGCGGGAGTGGTGGAGAAAGGATAAGTGGTGGTTTGTGGCGATATTTTGCATAACGACGCTTTGCTCGACATTTTGGATGGTCCCAGCTCCGTGGCTTTGGACCTGGATGTGGTCTGTTTGGCTTGGACATTTATGGGCGTTTTGTATTGGGACTACAACGGGTAGTCGATTGCTGGTTCTTCTGTTTTGGAGCGTAGTTGGGGCTTTCGCTGTTGCGATTCCTGCAATTGTGTATTAATTGTTGTATTAGTTATACAATAGTTCACTACAGGGTCTCGGCACAGTGATTTTCTCGGAAGTAGTACGGTAGTTAGACGAGGAGAAACCAAGAAAGCCTCCCCAGCGCTAAAGCTTAAGAAATAGTTTCTCTAGATTAGAAGCTTTAAACAAGTTGAATCTTGATACTGAAAAATTCTTTTGGATCCTGAAGTTACTTCTTGGCTCTAGAGGGAGGAGAGATCAGAACTCTCGATCTTACGAATTCCTTAGCGTTACAGGAAAGATTTCTAGTATTTGAAACAAAACTCACTGCGCCATCTCTCCTCTCAAATTGTATGTGCGAGGACGGAGGATATCTACGGATAAAGTCGAGTCCTTGCTAGGATGTTGTAGCCCTCATCCCTATACCATGACCATGCGCTCAGTGCTCTCTATAGAATATTCTTCCTGCATGCCGGCGCTGTGTTTTCAGCCTCCAACAAGACCACCGCTTACTCCTGGATAAAGAAGTATCCGATCGCTCTTCTCACAACATTGCAGATTTGTGTGGCCCTGCTATCTCGGGACATCGATCTCTTAGAAAAGGGTTCCTAGGTAACCACAAAAACACCATCGGCTCCCCAGGCATCACAAGGAAATCCTCAGGCTAAGGGAGATGTATGGTACCAAAATTATGTCACAGCACGATATCGATTTTTTTGAAGATAGTGTATGGCAGCCTGTCTGAGAGTTTCTGCAAGGCTGAGATTGCTTACCATCAGGCTGACACGCTAACGCATGCAAGGATCCCTGTGTCGCCAAGTCAGTTCGAGCGAGCTCGCATGGCAATAACTTGCCCAGGATGCGTGACGTGGCTCAGTGGATTGACCTCTATAAGTGCGGGGGTCAACACACATAGCCCCTCGAAACGTTTCCACATTCGGCCACAATGGCGGCGGCTCAACCCACCGGCGCCCTTCCCAAAGAGCAATATACCGTGGGTTGGATCTGTGCGCTGCCTGCCGAGCTCACTGCTGCCCGCTTTTTCCTGGATGATCTACACGCCGAACGTCTTGAGCAACAAGACACAAACGACGAAAATACTTATGTCCTCGGTAGTATCAAGGGGCACAATGTTGTATTTGCGACTCTACCCTACGGCGTCTATGGCACTAGCTCCGCAGCGACTGTCGCACGCGATATGCTTCGCACTTTCAAAAATATTCGCATTGGGCTCATGGTTGGCATCGGAGGAGGCGCGCCTAGTCGAACAAACCATATCCAACTAGGCGATGTGGTTGTCAGTGTCCCTCAGAACGGAAATGCAGGAGTCTTCCAATATCAGCATGGGAAAAACACCCAAGGCCGGAGCTTCAAGAACACGGGACACGTCAATAAACCAACCGCTCTCCTGCTAGGTGCAGTTGCCAGCTTAAAGTCTAAATTTACCATCAATGGCAACGGAATTGCGGAACATGTGCATGCACTTGTCACGAAATATCCCCGATTGCAGTCAGAATTTGGACGACCTGATCCAACCAGTGATCGACTCTACAGCTCTGATTTCATCCATCCAGATGACGAAAATGGCTTGCATCGCAGTTGCGATATAGTTTGCGGCTTCGACCCCCAGAAAATTGTCGACCGGACTAGCTGGCCCAAGCGATACGACGAGTCCGTGGTATTTCATGGTGTTATCGCTTCTGCCGACACACTCATGAAGAATGCCATGGAGCGAGACAGACTTTCTCAAGACGCTGGCGTGCTTTGCTTTGAGATGGAGGCGTCCGGCTTGATGAACAGCTTCCCCTGTCTAGTTGTCCGTGGAGTTTGCGATTATTCCGATACCCATAAGAATGACCAATGGCAAGGGTATGCAGCAATGTGTGCAGCGGCGTACACAAGAGAATTGCTGGCTATGGTAGCCCCTCACAAAGTCGATGCAGAGCCAAAGCTGGAAATTTGGCTTGATTCAAGTTAGTTGACGAGTAGTTTTAGGGTTCATCAGTTCAATCGACTAATACGTGATAGTCAAACGGACTACTTTAGAGATTCAATCAACATTGAATAAAATGAACACAGAGACTCAGCAGTCACAATTAGTGCAATGGCTCGAACCTCTCGATTTCTCCACGTATCATCGGGATGCGTGCGAACAGCATTTTCAAAACTCTGGAAGTTGGTTGTTTAATCATAACCAATTCAAGCGTTGGCTTGGGCCTTCTCAGAATTTTCTATGGATATACGGATCTCCCGGATGTGGTAAGACGGTGCTCAGCTCATTAATCATCAAAACTGTTGAAAAAACGCATTTGTTACTTTACTTTTACATTACTTTCCACCAAAAAGCAACTTTGTCGACTCATACCCTGATACGTACACTGGTCTGGCAGCTCTCTCGAAAACGTAATGCCGCACGATCTCTACTCGACGACCTCTATATATCCTGCAAGGATAGCGACCCTACAAGACCCCCGAGGTCGCCAACGACGGAGGAGTTACGAAAGGTCTTCTTGGAAATGTTGAGCCTGGTGGAAGGAGTGTGGATAGTTATTGATGCGTTGGACGAACTCGTGCTAGAGGGCTCCAAGAAGGATGCTAAAAGCGCAATGACTTGGATCACAGATCTTGTCAATTTAGAAACTGGCAATGCTCATCTTGCGGTAACCAGCCGCGATGAACAAGAAATACGCACAAGTTTCCGACATATGGTCGCGCGAAATGGATCCATTGCTGTGGAGGGCGAGGGTTTAGATGGAGACATTGCTGCTTTTGTGAAGGACGAGGTCGCTCGTCTCGAGCGTTGGAAGAATTTACCGACTATACAGATGGAGATTGAAAACAAGCTTGTTGCAAAAGCTAATGGAATGTTAGTTCCCTTTGACCTGCTTTGCAAACTGGATTCTAGAAAGCTGATATGCCAGGTTCCGGTATGTTGCTTGCCAGATTAGGGAGCTCGAGGATTGCCTTGAGCCTGACGCATTACGCGAAGCACTACAAAATCTACCAAAGGATCTAAATGAGATATACTCAAGGATCCTTTCACGAATGCCAAACGGATACCAAGAGAAAACTATACGTCTGTTACAGTTCCTTATCTACAGCCCCAACTCACTGTCCATTGAGGAGTTGGTTGATGCTGTCGCTGTAAAAGTGGACAAGCAACCAGCTTTCGAATCTGCCAATCGAATGCCTGAGCCCATTGAGTTGGCAAAATACTGTTCTAGTCTCATAAAGCTCATCATATCAGATTCGGAAAGCATCACAAAAGCAAAAGTACGACTCGCTCATTTCACAGTACAAGAGTATCTTGTGAAGTACTCGAATCATTCGAGTAAATTCACTGAAACTGCTGCCCGAGCTGACATGGCTATTGTATGCATGTCTTACTTGCGGGATATTGACTACGATTCTCCCGTTTCTCAACTGACAATCAGCTTTCCGTTCATGACGTACAGTTCTAAGAATTGGATGTCACATGCTGCCGCATCAGAACACGAGAAAGACGTCCTTGGGAAGACGACCGACTTCATGAGAGATTGCTCGGATCTATGCCATGAGTACTGGACATCTATTTATGGATGCTACGGGGATGGCGGGCTTGTCGAATCTCTAGTGTGGTGTGCTTGCAGAGAAGGCCTCAATCCTCTCTGCCTGCAGCACCTTGATATTCATTCCTATATCAGTTTACAGGATAAATATTGCGAAGTTCGGGAATATAATTTGCATGCGGCCTTAGATCATGCATGCGACATAGGAGATCTGAGATGGATCCGCTTCTTGTTCGAAAATGGTGGACTGAAATATCACTGGAGTGGGCAATGGCAAAGACCCTGTATGGATGGCAACGAAGCGGCAGTCGAGCTTATGCTTGAGATGGGGGCTTGTCTCGACGTCGATGATGGCGACTATTACGGTTGCTATGCATTCGTATTTGCTTGTCAACGGGGTCACCGACGCATTGTCGAGATGCTTATTGAGCACAGACCAGAATTTGTAAACATCATGGCCCGGGACGAAGGTATGCCCTTGAGTTGTGCCATTGAAGCCAGGAAGGATGAGATAATTCTCCTTCTAATCGAACATGGAGCTGATTTTGTAGACGACGATCTTTGCGATTCAGCTAACGATCAGGCATACTTGAGGCAGTTTCTGATCAGATATGGACTCGCAGAACATCTACAGACTCTAGCCGCAAAGTACCCGGAAGAGCTCGAATATGAGGAACTTGAGCTTGCTGTCGAGATTGGCAATGCTCACATCGTGGCAATTCTCTGCGAGACACAGGCATTTCAAGAAGAGTGCCTGAATCGTGCAATGCTTATTGCAGCAAAAAGGGGGAATGCAGAAATTAGGTCGTTACTTGTGGAATTTATGGAGAAGCAGCCCTTGAAACCGGGTACTGTTCCCGAAATCGAAACCAAATCAATGGAAAGGAAAGAGTTGAGAGTGGGAAATCAGAGCCTGAAGAAAGAACACGAAGCCAAAAGGAGACACAACATGCGAAAGAAAAAGCATAAAACTTCACACGCTCGTCAAACCACCGAAGTATTATTTGAGGATCAGTCCTCTCATGATCGATCCAAACGGCGAAGACATGTGTCCCGTTCTCGCAGCATCCCGTCAGACTCCGGTTGGAGAAACATGTGGAAAAAGTTCATAAACGCTAGACTCTGATGAAGCATCTGTTATGGGAAAGATGGCAGGGCTGCCTACGGTCCGATATTGTCAGCGCATGGTTCTTCAATGAGTACATAAGCCATGGCACGCCGCGACTTGAAATCATTCATGAATTCTACATCTTTTGTGTTCGTCCAGCAGATGATGTAGTCTTTGGGAAACGAGAGAGATTTGTAGTTCAAATTTTGGATCATGGGTCGTACATGTCAAGCATTCCCTCGAGTATCTATTCGACCCTCATCGAAAGTCACTAAGGAGCCGCTCAATGTCTTGTTCACCCCGGGTCTAGAATACACACGATCATGCTCGACAACGCAGGCTTTCTCTATCATCTTAGGAGCGCTGGTTGACCTTACCTCTGCTTACCCGACCGAGACTACAAACCTAGTACACATGGTTACGCAAAGCCCTGAACAAGCTGGATGGTAGGAAACACTAGTAAGAGCTGGCCAAGGATATTAAAAGCCATCCTGATAACTTTATTCGTCTTTCTTTTCTCTTCCGAGTCGGCTCTCTAGATTATGTAAACAGATAACAATGCAGGTCATTTCGGGAGATTTATCTCGTTTCTCTTCGCCATTTTATAGCAAACGCCTAGTTCACATGTCGCTTCTATAAGTTGGACCATTGCTGGAGGGAAGAATAAAACAGATCACTGAGTCAATCAAAGTCATACGAATCGAAAGAATGGTATCAAAAGTATCATCCCTTAGCCAAACGGATCAAAAGTGGCTGGATCGTAGTCTGTCCCCTCTTCGCGCATCTGAACCTCGACTTTACTTTTCCATATCCTATCCGAAGCTCTCTTATGGCATTTCGGAGACACGATATAGTACCATATTTTGGTGCTTCCACCTGGCGAAACGAAGGTCACTTCGATCTGTTCAAGTGTCCTTTTCTGAACAAAGTCCTGCCACAACCGCAGCATCAGGTCGCAAGTAGCCTTTTGTTTGATCTGACGTGAGCCCCATGTATCTGGGTTTGGGTACGAGGTTAGCTGGTATGAGTCGTAATCCGGATACACTTTGAGATAAAGCTGTTTGAGATGTTCAGGCGAAGTCAGGATGAGTGAATAGATCGATAAGCTGCGGAGCTCGGCCCTTCCTATGGCGAGATAACGTGTCTGTGCACCTCGTGCACGGATTCATCTCGTGCACGCTGAACACCATCTCAGCGATCTCAAAAATGAGGCTTTACAACGCCACATAATAGCTTAATATTTATAAAAACGTAATGTTATAGTAAATAGATGCTTGCGATTAACT